GAGGAGCACAGAGGAGGAGGTGGGCTGTGGAGCAGGAGGGCTCACACATGGAGGAGCACAGAGGAGGAGTTGGACAGTGGAGCAGGAGGGCTCACACATGGAGGAGCACAGAGGAGGAGGTGGACAGTGGAGCAGGAGGGCTCACACATGGAGGAGCCTAGAGGAGCAGGTGAGTTGTGGAGCAGGAGGACTCACACATGGAGAAGCACAGAGGAGGATGTGGGTCATGGAGGAAGACTGATACATGGAGGAGCACAGAGGAGCAGGTGGGCTGTGGAGCAGGAGGGCTCACACATGGAGGAGCACAGAGGAGCAGGTGGGTCATGGAGCAGAAGGACTCAGCTCAGAGGAGGAGGTGGGCTGTGGAGCAGGAGGACTTAGCACATGAGGGAGCATAGAGGAGCAGATGTTCATGGAGCAGGAGGTCTCAGCACAGAGGAGGACGTGGGCTGTGGAGCAGGAGGACTCACACATGGAGGAGCACAGAGGAGCAGGTGGGCTGTGAAAGAGTTGGACAGGTACCCACATTCATCCTGCACCCTCATGGTCTAGATGAGCTCTCAGCACAGCCCGGGCTGGCCTGCCCCTTCTCTCCTGCCTTCTGCCTTCTCTCTCATGGGTCAGGCGTTCGTGTCACTCTCTGTGGCCCCTGCAGCTCTGTGGAGCCAGGTCTGCCTCCTGGGCATGAGGAGCAAGTGCTGAGACCTGGCCCCGCAGACTCCTCTGTCCGGTGTAGCACCTTGTGGAGCACCATCTGCACTGAAGTACACCCCGTGTATCTAGCATGCCATGCTCAAAAGCCCCTCCTCATGCATGTTTGTGAGAAGTGGCATGTAAAGGGACAGACCCACCTGTCCCTGCTTACCAGATGCGGCTGTTGTCTGGTGAAGGGGTTCCCACAAGTGTGTGGCAGGACCCTGGGTCCAGCACTGAGTGTGAGCTGAACCACATACCAGGTGGCATGGCAAGTCACACAGCTCCAGAGCTTGGGGAACAGATACCCTTCCTCCAAGAAGTATGGGGCAGACATCCTTCAATATCTACAGTTACAATAACTTTTTTTCTAAAATTCTTCACATTTTCTGTTGACTTTAAAAACGTTTTTATTAGAACATTATGATCTATATAGTAGCTGGGTTCATTTTGACAGGATTATACATGCAAGGAATTTCATTTCAATCCCCATTCCTCCCTGCTTTCCTCCCTTCCTCTCTTACCCTAGTCTCTCTTCTACTGATCTTCCTTTCGCGCCTTTATTTATTTGTCATTGGTACTTTTTGTATATACATAAAGGTGAGGTTCCCTTTCATACATTTACATTTGCATATGGCAGGATTTTGTTAAACTCATTCCATGTTTCCTCCCCTTTCCATCCTTCCTCCCTCTTGTCTCCTACTCCACTGATCTTCCTGCATCTTCATGATATCCAATCCCCTCCCCAACCACCCTTCCTTTATTTTGCTCCAGTTGTCACACTTGAAAGAAAAGAGTTGACCCTTGATTTTTCTGATTCTGGCTTATTTCACTTGGTATGATTTTCTCATTTCCCCATTTACAGGTAAATGCCATTATTTCATTCTTCTTTATGGCTGAGTTCAACTCTGTTGTCTATATATAACACCTTTTCTTGATCATCTTCACCTATTGACAGATATCTGGGTTGCTTCCATAACTTGGATATTGTGAATTGTTCTGCTGTAAGCATTAAAGTGCCTATGTCACTATAGTAAGCTGATTTTGGTTCTTTGGGATAAATACAAAGGAGTGGATAGCTGGGTCATATGGTGGTTCCATTCCTAGCTTTTTGAGCAATCTCCATACTGCTTTCCAGAGTGGTTGCACTAATTTGCAGTTTAACCAACAATGTATGAGTGCACCCTTTCCCCAATATCCTCAACAGCATTTATTATTATTCATATTCTTGATAATTGCCATTCTGACTGGAATGGAGATGAAATCTTAGTGTAGTCTTTTTGTTGTTGCTGTTTTGTGGTACCAGGGATTGAACCCAGGGGCACTTAACCACTGAGCCACATCCCCAGCCCTTTCTATATTTTATTTAGAGACAGGGTCTCTCTAAGTTGCTTAGAGCCTCGCTAAGTTGCTGAGGCTGCTTTGAACTTGCAATCTTCCTGCCTCAGCCTCCCCAGCCACTGGGGTTATAGGTGTATAACCTATAACAGTGTATACCCCAGCTCAGTGTAGTTTTGATTTGCATTTCCCCAGTTGCTAGAGATATTGAACATTTTTCATGTATTTGTTGCCCATTTGTGTTTCTTCTTTTAAAAAATTTCTGTTTAGTTCCTTTGCCCATTAATTTATTGTATGTTTTTTTTAGCATTCAGTTTTTGAGTTCTTCATATATTCTGGATGTTAATTGCCTGTTTGAGGAGCAGGTGACAAAGGTCTCATATTCTGTAGGCTCTCTCTTCATTGCTCTTAATCATATCCTTGGCCGAACAGAGTCTTTTTAATTTGATGGCGAACCACTTGCTGATTCTTGGTTTTATTTCTTGAGCTGTAGGGTCTTGTGAAGGAAGTGGTGCCTGCACCTGTATTATGGAATGTCAACTGTTTTCTTCTAGCAGTTGCAGTTTCTGGTCTAACTCCTAAGTCTTTGATCCATTTTGATTTGACTTTTGTGCCAGGTGAAAAATGGGAATCCAAATTTCATTATGGAGTTCCAGTTTTCCCAGCATTGTTTGTTAAAAGGCTATCTTTTTTTCAACGTATTTTTTGGGCCCCTTTGTCAAGTATTGGATGGCTGTATGTTGGTTTGTCTCTTGTCTTCTATTCTATTGGTCTTTTTGTCTGTTTTGATGCCAATATAATAACAGTTTTTATGTATCAGTTAAAATAAGAGTTTAAGCAAAAATAATAGGAAATTCAGGGCAGGAAATATGAAACAAAAGGAGGGGGCCTCTACATTGGAAGGGTGGTGGGGGGCAGGGCAAAAAGCCACAGGGCTGGCAATACTCCAGTGAGAGAGCTAGGAAGATGGTCAGGAGCTGAGGGTAGTTTCTGGGACTGAGACAGTTCTTTTCCTTCAGCATGGACTTCCTCTCTGGCCTCCTGTGACCCTGTGCTAGGAAGGGTGAGGCATGCTTACATGCTTGCCTCCACACACAGGTATGCCCACACACATACCCACAGGCACACACACGCATATCCACAGGCAGCTACTCATGCATGCATTAACACACACACATTCACAAAGCTATCTCTAATGCATGCATGTGCACACATACAGGTACACAGGCATGCACAGAGCACAATGTACACAGACATTCAAGCAAGCGTGTGCATGCTCGTCAGAATATGCATGCATGCCTGCAGCCATGTGCAGGCACTCACACTTAGGCTCCAGCTGTGCTTCAAGTTCTTTCCTCCCTCATTGGTGCTGTGCCCTGAAAGTCGGTACACCCTCAGATTCCTGTGCTGAGTACCTCCCTGCCAGGGGATGGTGCTAGGAGCTGGCTTTGGGTGGTGCTTGGATCGAGAGGTGGAGCCTCTTCAGTGGGACTAACAGGACCCCAGGAAGCTCTTTCTTTCCTTTTTCCCTGTGAGGACATAAGAGGCTCCTCACCAGAAGCTGAGGATGAGGACATGGGACCTTGGCACCAGCTGGGGGTGGAGGATGAAGCCTGGAGGTGTGGAGCAGCCGCACCCTGGCTCTTGGTGGCCACCCTCTTCCCTACCCCCACTCCTGCTTTGCAGGCTTTGCTCAGGAGTTTTCCTCTAGCAGCCTGAGCAGCCCCCCATACCCAGCTCTAGACCCCTGACCACCCACCCCTTCTCTGGCTCCAGCAGCTCTGCAAAGGTGTAGTATGGGCCACATGGGACCTTCCTTGGCATCTGCCCTGGGTCCCCATGTCTTCAGGTGCAGCCTGCAGGAAGAGCCCAGTCACCTTCTTCAGAACCAGGTCGAGGGGGTTCTGCTCCTTGGGGAAGGGTCAGGACTCCCACCAGGTGACCCCTCTGGCTCCTGTTGGGTGCCTTGCTGCCAGGTAAAATTCATCCTCTCCCTGTGGGGTGGGGGTGAGGGCTGCACAGTGTCCATTCTACCTTTGTCTCTGAGTTTGGGGGAGGGTGGTGGGCAGGGTCCTCCTGGGCTACGAGGCAGGGAGTTCTGTTGGCATGCACCCTGCCTCTGGAAGAGGTCCTCAGCCCTGGGCAGACTGGGTTCTTATACCACCCTCACTCCCACTGAAACATTCAGTGGGAGTGAGGGTGGTAATCAACATTCATTCAGGGTTGACCACTACTGGGTCTACTTGAAACAGGCAACTTGACAGCCAGGTTGAACACAGTAGGGAAGGATGAAAGGTGGGCTGGGTCACAGGTGTGGTCAGGGCAGGGTAGATATGACCCAGGGACCTGTGCCTAGCTCCTGGCTGCCCTGTTCCACTGCCAGGACCCCAGAATTTCAGGTGGTGAGCAACCCAGTGGTCCTGGGCTCCTTGGGGTAGTGCTGGTCCACTTGAGGTGGTCCTGGGCCCCTTGAGATGTTTCTGGGTCCCATCGTGGCAGTCCTATGTACCCCGGGGGGTAATCCTGTGTCCCCTGGGGATGGTGCTAGGTCTACTTGTGGTGGTCTTGGTCCCCTAGGGGTGGTACTGGGTCTATGGAGTATCCTGGGTCCCCATCAAGGTGGTAATGGGTCTCTCTGGTGCTCAGTGCTAGGTTTCATTCAGGGTTGACCACTTGACTCCTGGAATTGTCCTGCTGCCCAGCTCCTTCCCCCCTGGACTCTAGACACTGCTCTGAGGAGGGACTAGGCCAGCTGTGCCAACCCCAAGTCCACATCATTGCTGGAGGACACAGGCATCTTCCTGCCCCTGGCTGTGCCCCTGGCCACCTGCCCTTTGCCTCCCAGGGGCCGAGGTGGAAACTGAATCGGGGACAGTGACACCAGGCCTATTTTGGAGCTGGGCTGGGCTGGCCTCTCCATGGTGGGGGCGGGGTGGGGCGGGCCCAGTCTGCTCCAGCTGACTGCGTTTGCCTGTCCTTTCGTCCCTGTCCAGTCTGAGGGCCAGCTGGAGTGTGGGCTGCTGGGTGGGAACCACGTCGGTCCTGGGCCCTAGGAAGGAGGCAAGACCCGGCAGCCCCTGACGCACCACCTGTACCCTCCGCCTGGTGCCACCCTGAGCTCCCGTAGAGACAGGTGAGGAGAGCTGTGGTGAGGGCAGCCGCCATCCTTGGCTCCTGAGTGGAGGTCGCAGTTCTGTGCAACTGCGACTCCAGGGGTCTAGCTGGGCCAAGTCCCTCCTGAGCAGGGAGCAGAGGATTCCAGTCCCCAGTCCTCTGGTAACTCAGTGCCAGGCCCTCACAGGGGGAGAAGCAGCCTGTCTCGCTGGAGCTGGGAGGTATGGGGTCGGCAGGGTGCACCCACTGCCCCTCTGTGCTGTCTGCCCCCCAGAGCTGCCTGGGGGTCCGGCTGGCCCTGCCCCCAGCTGTACCGAGATAGATGCCTGCTGACAGCTGGGGCTATTTTGGGCCTGTTGGCTCAGTGGAGGGGACAGCCAGAGGGGCACTGACACTTGATTCCGGGAAAGAATTTCCCCTGGAGTGGGGGCAGTCAGTAGGCCCAGGGTCTAAGGTGAGGCGCAGGCTCAGGAGCTGCCCTTGGAAATACATTCTGAAAGGACACAGAGGCCACAGGTCACTGGATCTGTTTCAGTGGAGGCAGAGGGCCTGTAAGCTGGGTTCCTGGGAATGGGATGAGGTACTCTGCAGGGTCCCTGAGCCACCTCCCACTCTAGGTTCACCTGGAAATACAGGCCCAGCCCTGCAAGGAGCAGAGAATAACAAAGTTCTGTGCGAGTTCGCTCGGAGGGGTTCCCTGGGGTGGGGTGGGGTGAGGAGCATGGGTGGGCTGGGGCCAGCTACAGCGGCTCCTGGGGATAGCCCAGGTGGGAGAGGGATCCAAGAGTCCTGCAGGCTGGAGAAGCCCTCTGCAGGCTGAGGAACCCAGTGTGGTCCATAGACATCGGAGAGGAAAAATTCTGACCTCAGTTTCCCCTGCTGAGAAGCTTCTGCTGTGTTTATGAGGAAGCACATTCCTAAGACCCCAGTTCAAACCAGGCAGGAGGAAGGTGCTTCTGCACGTGTCCCTGGGTGGGTTTCTTGGGACCTCAGTTTCCTCCTCTGTTGAATGAGTGCCTGGGAAGGTGAGCAGCTGCCCTTTCCTGGAGCATGTGCATGCAGCAGCCTCTCTCTGGCCTTAGTCCTGCTGACCAATGGGGATGTCTACCTGCAGGGTGGCTGAGGTCCCCTGAAGCTGATATATTTGGATGAACCCCTGGGCACCATGGTCATTACTGGGGTAAATCACCACTCGGAACATACTGGTGGCTGGAATGTAGGTCTTGAGCAGACCACAGGGCAAGACACTGTCCCCCAGAAGCCTACAAACACTTTGGGGTGTCCACCACTGTTGCTAGGCCAGAGTCAACCTGTGTACCTGCTGAGGGCTGTGGCCAGGTCCCCTTAAACCTGTGCAGTGACTGGCTGCCTGCACAAGCTTGTTCAATCTTCTCTGGGTGGGCAGCTCAGGCTCTGGGTGTGGTGGGGGGTTGGGAACCCACAGATTGACCATATAATTTCAGGAAGCACTGTTAAGACCTAGGTGCTTAGGGTCTTTGGATGCTGATGCCAAAGTAGTACTTTCATATAAAGGTGCCTCAGCAGCTTCTACACTGGGGTCCTGGTTTGTGCTGCATGGTGACCCCCACTCCCACCCAAATCCTACCGAGGCCCAGAGAGATGGGGCCTGGCCGAGGTGGTGGAGAAACAGAGGTGCTGACTGCACAGTGAGTCAGCAGACAGCAACTGCAGCCCAGCCCTGGTCCAGGCTCAGCCTCCTGGAAGGGTATTAGGGGAGATTAGGTACCTGAATCAGAGCACTGGGAGCTGGAGGGCTGCTGGGAACATGGATCCAACTACTCCATCCTGGGCAGCCCAGCCAAGAGACTGGGGGCTCTGCAGGGTACATGGTGACGACCTCTGGGTAGTGGGGTGCTTGTGTCTGCCCAGGTGGAGAGCGTCAGTGCTTCCTCCTGTCATTCTTAGGCAAGACCCTGTGCAGGCAGGCAGTCTCCTCTCTTGTACTGGGTGCTGGCTGGGGCTCAGCCTCAGGCTGACTGAGGCTTCTGACCCCTTCCAGGCCCAGAGCTGGCAGAGCTATGACAGATCTGTGGAGTGACCAGGCCACTCACAGCCCCAGACTAGCTGGAGACCCCAGGCTGTTCCAGGGGACATTGCTGACCTTGCCAGCCCCAGCTGGCCAGGATCCTTCAGCTGTCCTTTCCAGCCATGTCACTGACTGTACACTGTCCCACTCTCGAATCTCCCTGTTCCTACTTGGGCCAGAGACTTGTATGAGGAGGGCAGGCAGCAGATGAGCACTGTGAGCCAGGGTGTTGGGTCTGGAGCAGCTGAGTGGGCTTGGAGTGCTTGTTGGCTAAGAGGAGCCTGGCCAGCTGGGGGGTTCCTTTCCTTTTCTTCTGCTGCTGAAGAATGGGGTCAAGGGGATGTGTGGAACCCCACAGAAAAGGTAAGGGATAAAGGATGTGGGCACACCTGGAGTAGGCTCAGAGCAAAGCTGGTTGTGTAGAGAACTGCCACCTGTGGTACACAATGGCATCCACAGTGGGAGTAGACAGAAAACTGGTGCCCACTGGGGGCCTCTAAGGCCCAGCCTGTCTGGCCTCCCCCTCCTACTGCCAGGGAAACATAGCCAAATTGGAGTTTTAGACCCTGGTAGCAGCAGTGTGTGGCAGGGGATGGCAGGGGATGGCAGAGTGGCCCAGGTGCACTGGGTAGGTCTGTGGGGAGAGCTATCGGAAGGAAGGAGGCCAAGTGCCAAGCTGCTGGAGAAGCAGGGCTGCCTGGCTGCTGGAGGAACCTCAACTGGGGAGACTGGAGCTGGAGGGGGAGGAAGAGGAGATGCTTTTACAGTTAAAGTGCTCTGCACTGCTGGGCCATGGTGCCATCTGGCCAGGCTTGGTGGGTGGGGTAATACGCAGGACAAGAAGAGACTCCTGGGGAGGAAGCACCCCACCTTAAACTGGGTTCTGCAGGTGGCACTGAGGAAGGGAGGGGTGTAGGTGGGGCATGGCGAGGGGCTCATCCCAACACCACTGGGACCTTCTTTCCACTCCTTCACAGGTCCCCAACATTGCCACCACCATGGATCACTCCTTCAGCGGTGCACCGCGCTTCCTGACCCGGCCCAAGGCTTTCGTCGTGTCTGTGGGCAAGGACGCCACACTGAGCTGCCAGATCGTGGGCAACCCCACGCCACACGTAAGCTGGGAGAAGGACCAGCAGCCGGTGGAGGCAGGCGCACGCTTCCGTCTGGCCCAAGACGGCGACATATACCGCCTCACTATCCTGGACCTAGCGCTTGGCGATAGCGGGCAGTATGTGTGCCGCGCACGCAACGCGATTGGCGAAGCCTTTGCGGCCGTGGGCCTGCAGGTGGACGCTGAGGCCGCGTGTGCTGAGCAGGCACCACACTTTCTGCTACGGCCTACGTCCATCCGTGTGCGCGAGGGCGCTGAGGCCACATTTAGCTGCCGCGTGAGCGGCTCGCCACGACCGGCTGTGAGCTGGTCCAAGGACGGGCGGCGCTTGGGTGCACCTGACGCCCCCCGTGTGCGCGTGGAGGAGCAAGGCGAGGCGAGCAAGCTGCGCATCCGGGCGGCGCGACCGCGGGACGGTGGCACCTACGAGGTGCGGGCAGAGAACCCGCTGGGTGCAGCCAGTGCTGCTGCCTCGCTGGTGGTAGATTCAGACACGGAAGCTGCCAGCCCACCTGGGGCCTCCACGGCAGCGCTCCTGGCTCACCTGCAGCAGCGACGTGAAGCCATGCGCGCAGAGGGCGTCCCCGCCTCACCACCCGGCGCCGGCACCCGCACCTGCACGGTGACAGAGGGCAAACACGCGCGTCTCAGCTGCTACGTGACGGGTGAGCCCAAGCCTGAGATCGTGTGGAAGAAGGATGGGCAGCTGGTTACAGAGGGACGGCGACACGTGGTGTATGAGGACGCGCAAGAGAACTTCGTGTTGAAGATTCTGTTCTGCAAGCAGTCGGACCGAGGCCTCTACACCTGCACGGCGTCCAACCTCGTGGGCCAGACCTACAGCTCCGTGTTGGTGGTGGTGCGAGGTGAGGACCATGGCGCCAGGCGGCGGTCCCAGAGAGAAGCTGCCTGCGCGCAGGCAAGGGTCCTCCCTGGTCCCTGTGCCCACCTCCTTTGGCCCTAGCCGCCGCTGCCATAGGTAGCCCAATGGCGCAAGTCGGTCGTGGAATGTAGACCAGAGTTGGAAGTCTGGGTGGCTCTCGCCTTTTACAGGTTTTGTTTCTGGTTTGCACAATGCAGGGGCTAAGATCCTCTGTCTTTGCTGATTGTAGGGACCCGCTTCCCACCACAGCAGCGCAACCCGCCAAGTCCCTGCCCCTCTCCCAACGCACTTATCCCTACCCTGCCGAGACCCCTCCAAACCTCACCATTTCCGGAACCTTAATACTTAGCCCCCTGTCTTTCACGTTTTCCTTGCCAAACCCCACTTCCCCGACATTGCCTCTTCCCCATTTCTGGTCCCCATCCCCTGGGGCCCCCTGCCACCGGCCACCCTATATCCTACACCCTTTTTACCCCTTCCCACCTCCTCCACCTTCTTCTGTCTCCGAATTCTGGTCCCCCCCCCCCTTCCCAACTCCCAGATCCCAACTCCTGCACTCTGGAGCCTCCTGTCCTCCGGTATCCTCCCGACCCCTCTCACCAGCCAGTCTCCACAGAGCCCACCGTGCCCTTCAAGAGGCGGCTGCAGGACCTGGAGGTGCGGGAGAAGGAGTCCGCCACGTTCCAGTGCGAGGTGCCGCAGCCTACCACCGAGACTGCGTGGTTCAAGGAGGAGACGCGGCTGTGGGCGAGCGCCAAGTACGGCATCGAGGCGGAGGGCACCGAGCGCAGGCTGACAGTGCGCAACGTCTCGGCTGACGACGACGCCGTGTACATCTGCGAGACCACGGAGGGCAGCCGCACCGTGGCGGAGCTCGCTGTCCAAGGCAGGCGGCGGAGGGCGGGGAGGGCAGATTGGCCTCGGAGGGTCATGGCAGGCGCGCACAAAAGGGGCGAGGATGGGGCCCGGCACGGGATAGAGCGGAGCGGGGGGGGGGGGGGACCACCTGATGGGACGGAGCCGGACTGGAGTGAAGGGGTGGGACAGTTGGGGAGGGGTGGGAGGATTGGCCTGGCGGGGGTGGGCAGGGGCAAGTCAGGGGCAGGATGGGGAAATGCGACGGCGAGCCAGTATGCTGGCCGCCGGTAGGGCTAGGGGCAAGGCTGACTAGCCTGGGCTCTTCCCATCCCAGGGAACCTGATGCGGAAACTGCCCCGGAAGACAGCGGTGCGCGAGGGGGACACCGCCATTTTTTGCGTGGAGCTGGCAGTGCCTGAGGGCCCTGTGCGCTGGCTGAGGAACCAGGAGGAGGTGGTGACTGGTGGACGAGTGGCCATCACAGCAGAAGGCACGTGCCACATGCTGACCATCTTTCAGTGCAGCTTGGAAGACATGGGCGAGGTGGTCTTTATGGCTGGAGACTCCCGCACCTCCACCCAGTTATGCGTGTCTGGTAAGGCCCTGAGTGATACTGCAATGACCTCTTCCCTAGGACCCCTGCCTCAATCCTTGGGCACATGGCCATCAGCGGCCCCTGATTCTTGATCAGGGCTGTCGCGAGGCTGGGGGGAGGTGTGGGTCACCCTCCTCCTTCCAGGTGAGGCCTCTTCCGTATCAGCCAGAGACTGCAGGTCTGGGGTAGGGTCCTGAGGCCACAGCTTCCCTGATGGCAGGTGGCCCAGTCTTTTGGAGGGCTGAGGTTCTGTGATTCTTTTTCTGGGACCCCATTAGTAACCTTGGCCCATCTCTTGCTAGCCCCCAGGAGGCCACCCCTCCACCCCCCTGTGGACCCTGTGGTGAAGGCCAGAACGGAGAGTTCTGTGACCCTTGGCTGGTATCCACCACCCCACGGGGACCGCCCTGTGACCATTGATGGCTACCTGGTGGAGAAGCGGCGGCTGGGCACCTACATCTGGAGCCGGTGCCACAAGGATGAGTGGGTGGTCACACCTGAGCTCACCGTCACAGGTGTGACTGAGGAGGGTGACTTCCAGTTCAGGGTGTCAGCTGTCAACAGCTTTGGCCAGAGTCCCTACCTGGAGTTCCCGGGGACCATCCACCTGGGTAAGTGAAGCTGCCTAGAAAGGAGTGACCCCTGGCACCGGGGGCTGCCCCGGCCAGAGCAGAGCACAGCCTCCAGCAAGGCCTTGAAGAGACTCTTTGTGAGGGTGGGGACATTGGGGCCTTCTTAGTGAGAAGGGAGGGGACCCAAGACAGGACTCAGGTCCCCTGGAGCCTGCCTGTCTCCAGTAGCCCCAGGGGATGCAGCTTCAGTGCTGCCCAACTTCAGAGGTTTGTGGGATCCTGGGGTATTGCCAGGTGGTTCTGGCTCGTTCGTTCCCTGTCTGTTGTGACTTGTGCTTATGGTTCCCTGTCTGTTGTGACTTGAGCCCAAATACCCGGCCTTTGGAGGAAGAGGAAGGGGAGGCAGGGACCTCACCTGCCCTGGTCCCCTCCTAACTTGCCTGCACCACAGCCCCCCAGCTGGCCGTGAGGACGCCCCTGAAGGCAGTGGCAGCAGTGGAGGGTGGAGAAGTCACCTTCTCTGTGGACCTCACTGTGGCCTCTGCTGGTGAATGGTTCCTGGACGGGGTGGCTCTGAAGGCCAGCCGCACGTATGTGATCCGCTGTGATCGCACCCGGCATACACTCACCATCCGAGAGGTGCCCGCCAGCCTGCATGGGGCACAGCTCAAGTTTGTGGCTGACGGCATTGAAAGCAGCATTCGGATGGAGGTCCGAGGTAGGCCTGGGTCCAGGAGCCTGTTTCCTTGAGGCGGTGTCAGCATGGGGTCCTGGGAGAGCTGCCCCTGTGGAGTTAGCCTGCAGCAGCAAGAGGAAGCAGGCCCGGGGGTGGGGCGCTGAGGCAGGCAGGCCAGGCAGGGTGTGTGTGGACAGCAGGTTCAGCTGGACCCTGCCTCTCCGCCTGCCTCCTTCCTCCACCCTCCTCTTCATCCACCCACCCCATCCTGTCCTCATTCTGACCTTGTTTTTCCTTTCCCCCGTCTCCCTCCCTTACCGCCTTCCATTGTCCTGGTCCCTTCTGTCCACCCATCCCTGGCCCCCAGCAGCTCCTGGGCTGACTGCCCACAAGCCACCAGCGGTGGCCGCTCGAGAGGTGCTGGCCCGGCTGCACGAGGAGGCTCAGCTGCTGGCCGAGCTGTCGGACCAGGCTGCAGCTGTGACGTGGCTGAAAGACGGCCGTGTGTTACCTCCTGGGCCCAAGTACGAGGAACAGGCTTCAGCTGGGCGGCGGGCACTGCTGGTGCGTGACGTGGGGCAGGACGATGCTGGCCTCTATGAGTGTGTCAGCCGCGGGAGCCGTGTTGCCTACCAATTATCTGTGCAAGGTGAGGGTCTTGGGAAGGCAAGCCAGGGCCCACGTCATTCCTGGCCCTACTGTGGTGCGGGACATGCATCCCCTGACCCCAGGCTGCAAGGGGTTCTGGGCAGCAGGGCAGCATGGGGAGGGTGGGAGGGCAGGCCCAACTCTGTAGGAGGGATAACTGTGGGTGGCCACTTGGGTGAGCAGTGAGTACCATGATTGGGACTCAGCAAGCTGGCCAGGGTGCCTCTTATCTGGGTCAGAATCAATGTTCTGTGTGGTCTGTGAGCCTGGGCCCTCCAGCCTGCAGCCTCTGTGCCAGGTGTGTGGTCAGGAGCCCTGTGGTCCCTGACCACCTCTGCTATACCCTGCAGGCCTCACGCCCTTCCTACGCAAAGACACAGTGGGCGGCTGTGTGGATGCTGAGGTGGGGGGCTCGGCGAGGTTTGAGTGTGAGACCGCGGATGCCCACATCCCCGTGTGCTGGTTTAAAGATGGCAAGGAGCTGGGTGGCTCCTGCCAGCGCTTCTCTCAGGAGGACGTGGGGACCTGGCATCGGCTGGTAGTGGCCTCGGTCAGCAGGCAGGATGAGGGCACCTACTCCTGCCGTGTGGGTGAGGACTCTGTGGACTTCCACCTACGGGTCTCTGGTAAGTGCCTTATGTATACCTGTGCCCATACCTGTGGGTGGAGAGCAGATCCTGCTGTACACAGCATAATGTGACTGACCTTCTGGACCCTTCTTTATTGAGCCAGTGGTTGGGGGCAGCTTCTTCCCTGTTTGGGAAAATAAAACAAAATGCCAAACTAATGCTTAGAAGGTTGAAGGATCCAAACATGGAAAAGAAAGTACCAGGAAGGAAATTTAGGAACAAAAGATGAACTCTATCCCAGCTTTGGGAGAGTGTTTCCTCTGCCCATTGTGCCTGCCCTGCAGGGGGCCACTCTGCAGTCCTGAAAGCCTCTTGCTTACTCTGTGCTTGTGGGCTGGGCTCTGGCTGGGAAGCTCACAGGATTTTGAAGCCCTCCTTTTCCATTTAAACCTAGGGCTGAGGGGACCCACAGATATGTGAAGTGTCTTCTGAGGTTGAGATTTAAGTCTGGTGGGTCTGGCCAAGGCCCTGACCTTCCTAGAAGCTCCCAGGGCTCAGAGATATAGACTGGGAAGTTCAAGGACAAATGCATAAGGGATTCTTAGGCCTCTGTGAGGCTGTTGGGGCAGCCCACCCCAGGAGGGCTTGCTCCAGTGTGGCCATGATGGGCTCTGGTTCCCAGCCTGGGATACCCCAGGCCGGGTGCAGCTTGTGGACCCAGGGACAGGGAGGCCCTGCAATGCCAGTCGCACACCAGCTCTAGAGGCAAGCATTGGACGCTTCACACTAGAAGTCACAACCAGCTGTCACTGCCAGGGGCTGGTTGGCTATATGCAGAGCTGAAGGCAGGTGCTGTCAGGTTTCCCTGCTGGAGCAAACTCAATCTGTGGGGAGTGTGCTACAGAGGTAGGCAGGAGTTTGGGGACAAGGAAGACGTTCTCTGGGCTTATAAGGGACATCTTGGCAATTATTGCAAGGTCTGTCCTGGGACTTTGATGTGCACACCAGGGTCTCACGGGGAGAGATGGGGCATCCCCTCCCACTTTGCTTAGGGAAATGTATCCTGAGGGATCCACATGGCAGGCCCTGTTGGCCCGGGGTCCAGAGCCTGTTAATTGGAAACCAGAGGTTTGGGTGGGGCTTACAACCAACATCACTCCCTGTGTGTCCTCAGAGCCCAAGGCTGTGTTTGCCAAGGGGCAGCTGGCACACAGTGAGGTGAAGGCTGAGGTGGGGGCGAGTGCCACTCTGAGCTGCGAGGTGGCCCAGGCCCAGACAGAGGTGACGTGGTACAAGGATGGGAAGAAGCTGAGCCAGAGCTCCCAGGTGCATGTGGAGGCCTCTGGCTGCAGGCGGCAGCTGGTGTTGCAGCAGGCGGGCAAGGAGGACGCCGGGGAGTACAGCTGCGAGGCCGGGGGCCAGAGGGTCTCCTTCCACCTGGACGTCACAGGTGAGTTGATGAAAGCACTTTGGTCACAACATGGGATGGGCGTGGAGGGATATCCTCATCATGGGCCATCCAGGGCCTGTGTGAACTCGTCCTCTCCTGCCGAGTAACTGGTCACCCTGAACCTCAGAGGCCCAGAACACCAGTTGGAGCGAAGCCATGGTGGTCACCTAGGCCTGTGGTGGCAGGTCCCCCTGGCCTAACACAGGTGCTCTCCGTTGGGCTGTGGTGGAATGGCTCGCTGCACAGGGACTTCTTCCCCCTGTGGCATGGCTGGCCGTTTCTGTGTCTGCAGCCCTGTCTCCCTCTGGTCACTGCTGCCCAGCAGCTCTCATCCTGGGTGGGGTTCTCTGTGGAGAGCCCTGGTTTCTTTCTGCCTTGGCTGGACTGACTCCAGGCTCAGGAAGAGCCACAAAGCTCATAAACTTCCACCTTCCGCAGGTCAGAATGTTACTTTGTATGGTTCTGTTGGTCAGAGAAGCTTAATGCCAGCCTAATCCCAAGGACACAGAGTAGACTGTTGGGATGGGAGAAGCATATCCCATTGTAGAGGCTGTGGACTCAGGGAGGCTAGACCCATTGGAGACGTTTTGACAGTCTATTCCAAGGACTTACATGTTAATTTTTTACCACTGTGAATTTTTTTTTTTCGGGGCAGGGGGAGGGTGGATACTTGCTGTCTTATGGTTGCAAGATGGCTTTTACAGCTCCAGCCATCACATTTAACATTAAAAGCAGAAAGAATATGGAATGAGTATGTATGAAGTTTTGTGTGTGTGTGTTTGTGTGTGTGTGTGTGCGTGCGTGATCACGTGCACACCAGTGCTGTGTAATAAATTGTCACAAACATAGTGGATTAAAATGGCATGAATTTAGTGGCACACAATTCTGTCAGTTCTGGGCATGTTGTGGCTGGGTCCTGTGCTTTGTGTCTCTGGCTGGTTCATTCTGCTGGTTCCTCTTCCAAGTTGTGGGAGGAACTTGGTTTCTTCGGTGGTGGTCTGGTCCATGGCCCTGTTTCCTTGCCAGAGGTTAGCCCAGCTGCTGTTGGAGCTGAGCTCCTGTCCCTTCCTTCCCGTCTGGCCAGGAAGAGCTCGTGGTGGTGTGAGATGTGTGTTTGGTCTCTGCAGGTTCCTGGTGTCCGCTCCTGAGGCCCTGGAGTCTCTGAGGGGCTGTGTCTTGCTCGCTGCTGAGCCCACTGCTGACTGGCAGCCCAGGGCTGGTCCCTGAAAGACCAAGGCAGGGTCAGCCTCCAGGGAAGAGAGAGGGTCTGTGGGCTGAGTGGACCCCGGGTTGCCAAGGCTTCTTGCTATCTGCCTGTTTGTCTGCCGGACAGCCTTCCCATCACTGGGTGAGAAGTGGTGTTCCTTGTGCTTCAGTGTGCATTTCCTTACTGACTAATGACACTGAGCATCTTTATTTTATTTTACGGTCCTTTTTAGTCACACACGACAGTGAGTCCATTTTGACATGAATATGAAAGGGTGGTATCCCTCTTGCTCTTCAGTCCCAGCGCCTCTCTTTCCCCTCGCACTTCTGCTCTTGATCTTTCTGCCGTTGACCTACGGTTGTTTCTAAGTCAGTTTCTTGTGGGTGACAGGAAGGTGAGACTCTCGTGTTATGTCCACACATGCACACAAGAAGGTTCGTCAGGTTCAGCCACTGTCTTGCCCCAGTTCTCCTCCCTCCCCTTCGCCCCTTGTCTACTCCACTGGGCTTCTATTCTGTTGTTTCTTAATCTCCCTCTCCTCACTTATTGTGGGTTAGCTTCCACATATCAGAGAAAAGGTCTGACTTTTGGTTTTGGGGACTGGCTTCTTTCACTTAGCATGATGTGTCTAGATCCATCCATTTACTGGCGAATATCAAGTTGTTCTTTTTTTTAAATATTTTTTAGTTGTAGATGGACACAATGCCTTTATTTATTTATCTTTATGTGATGCTGAGGATCCAACCCAGGGCCTCACAGATGCTTGGTGATCTCTCTATCACTGAGCCACAACCCCAGCCCAAGTTGTTCTTCTTTATGTCTGGGTAATACTCCATTATGTATATATGCCACATTTTCTTTCATTTGCTAATTGGCTATTTTCTTTGAAGAAAAAAATCTTCTTGAATGCTCTCTTTGCCTGTTTTTTTGTTTGTTAATTTGTTTTGAAGTGGTGCTGGGAATGGAACCCAGGGCTCTGTGCTCACTAGGCAAACTCTACCACTGAGATGCACCTTGATCTCTCTGCCTGCTTTTAAGCCAGGCTGTTGCCTTTACTGTTGTTTGTGGGGTTTTAAACCGTCTACACGGGGCCTCCCCAGGCGTGTGTCTCAGCTGGTTCCCACCTGCTTCCAGACTGCTGGGTAATGCAGAAGAGCCTCTAGGCTGGGTGGAGCTATTCCTGGTCCTGTGTGTGAAGGGTGGAAACCCGCTCCCCAGGCCCGCTGCCCAGGCGCCTGTGCCCTGGCTCCTGTGCCGCCTGTGCCCTGGCGCCTGCTGCCTGCTCAGATGGGCCATGTGGAACTTCTCGCAGTGTTTTTATAACTTCATCTTTTGTACTTTTCAAATCTATTAGTTCCTTTAAAAAGCACTTTCTTTGTGCGGATGCCCTCTGGGTGAGTCCCCCTGGGCCTTCACGTCTCTGGAGTGCTCTCGGGTGCAGCTGCTGAGTTGGGAGGGGGCCGCCCAGGCTGGGACCCTGGAGTGGTCTCCTTCAGGTCCTCCTGTGGACAGGAGCAGGACTGAGGAGGAGGGGCTCCCGGAGGTGGACTGAGGTGGGCTTCACAGCTGCCGAGGCGGGTGGGGGCCGTCCAGGGGCGATCTTGCATGGCTGCTTTCCCTGCTTCTTGGCGCATCTTGTGGGTCTGAAATGCCACGGGGTGGGGGGGAGACTCTCGAGGTCCGTAGCCCAGAGTGTGTCGGCTGCGCTTTGCTGTGAAGCCGTGTGCCCTCCCGTGTGGCTGGGCCGTGACCTGAGGCCCAGGTGCTTGGTCTTTAGGGGCCCTTGGTGCAGTCCACTCTCCCCAGGCGTGAGTGGCAGGCGTGTGGAGGTGCCTTTCAGCCGGGCCCCCTCCGGCTCTTCTGCTCCCTGTTCCCCACTGCCTCGGCCACCTAGAGTCCAGTGAACCCCCCTGGGGGCAAGGCTGCTTCCCTGGGGGACCTTGACCACGAGAGCCCTGCAAGTGGAGTTTCCAGGGCTCTGCATTCAGGCAGCAGCACAGCCACGGGTCTCCGCAGTGCCCCCACCGGCCCTGCCTGGCCCGACTGTCTCCTCCAAGCCCCTCAGAGACCGGGCAGGGGATGGCTGTCTCCAGCCTCAGCTGTCTGCCTGGAGTCACACTCCCCAGACTTCTGCAGTCCTTTGGGTAATTTTCAGAGTTCTGAAAAGGTCAATTCCAGTTGTTTTCCTCTAGTACTTTCATTGCTTTGGAGGAGGAGAGAGTTTTCAGAAGTCACTGTTTGCTGATACTGCGGAGGAGTGTTTGAATGTCCAGCCGGCCTTACGTTCCTTAGATTGTGCAATCCGGTGGCCATGCACACACTTACACACATGCATACACACACACTTCAACACACATACAGCCACATGTACACTTGCATGTGCTCCCTGACACATAGACCGACACACCCATACATGCCTGCACACACACTCACATAACACACGCGTGCCTTATCCTCACACTAGGCACATAACAGACACATGCCACACCCACACACTAGTACACAGCACATGTGAATATATGCACACATAGTATGTGCGCATTTACATAGCACATTTAAACACATATACATACTCGAACACACACGCACAGATCTACACCCTCATCCACACACTGCACAGTAACACACTCATTGATGAGGTCATGCAGGCACTTAGACACACGTGCATCCACACATTTAAAGACACACTTGTGAATAGTCATGCACGCGTGTGCGCGCACGCACACACACACACACACATACACACAGTGGTTGGGAGTTCCAGAGGGTCCGGGTTCCCCTTGAGGTCCACTGTGACTCTCCGTAAGGTGAACCTTGAACGTGAGGGAGGACGTGGGGAAGCCCTGCACTAGAGCTGTGTCTGGTTTTGGCTGTCAACCAGCAGGACGTGGCTGGTTCCAGCCTGAGACAGCATCTTGCGAGTTGGGTCTGGAGGTGTTTGTTGGAGGTGGTTGTGAAGTCACAGGAAGAGGTGACACTAGCCAGGTGCTGTACCCTGAGGGAATGCGGGGAGGTACTCAGCTGGGTCTCCATCTGGGCTCTAATGGCCAGGAAGGCAACTGCAGGGAGTGGGCCTGGGTCCAGTATGTGCAGGGGTCGCCCTCCTGCTGGCCAGAGAGGCCAGTGCTCTGAGCCAGCTGTGCCTGTGGGCATTGTGCCCTGGCTTTGAGGACAGCTTTGCTATCCTTAGGAGGGGTTTGTCCCCAGGCTCCTGAGTGTGGGAGTGGTGGGTGTGGCTGGGCACTAGGGTGTCCCTCAGGAGGGTTAGCACTGCCTCCCAGGGTGATTTTGTTTCCAGATGGGTTGTTCCTGAAGGGCGAGCCTGACCCCAGAACCTCTTTGCCTTCCTAACTTCCACACTTCCTCCATAATGTGACATAGCAAGGTGCCTCATCAGGAGTAGCCCAGTCTTGGAACTTCAACCTCCAAAGCTGTGGTAATAAGCGAAATAGAGCTCCTTTCTCCACACAGTGAAGCCTCAGGCATTTTGTTACAGAACAGAAAACACACCAACTCAGGTTTGGAACTGGAAGTACATTTGAAAGGCATGTGACCCTTCTTCCGGGGGAAACCCTGGAGCAACTGGAGAGGCCAAGAAAGGGAGTGGCCTTGTGATTCCTGGGGGGTAGGCAAGGAGGGTGACAACTTAGACTATTAACAGGGAGAAAGGCAGGAGGCTTTGCAGTGCTGCAACTTGGAAAGACCAGGTCTGAGGACAGGCAGCTATCAGGAGATGGAGAGGAACACAGGCTGCAGAGAGCTTCAGGGGTGGGGCAGAGCTGGGCTCCAGCACATGCAGAGATCAGGGGGAGAAGCTCTCCGAGGTGGACTGCAGACAGGGAGGGGTGCAGGGCAGGGTGCACCTGGGAGGGCTGTGGACAGGGGCAGGTCTGAGGAGGAGGGGCTCCCCAAGGTGGACTGCAGACAGGGTGGGGTGCAGGGCAGGGTGCACCTTGGAGTGCTGTGGACAGGGGCAGATCTGAGGAGGAGGGGCTCCCCGAGATGGACTGAAGGCTGGGCAGGGAGCACCTGGGTGGGCTGTGGATAGGGGCAGGTCGAGGTGTAGACACTCTCCCCAGTGGAGTCCAGGCTGCTCAAGGACACAGTGCAGTTTCCACCTGGCAGTGGTCAGGCCAAGAGCTGATCTCTCTGGCTGGTGCAGTATATGGAGTTTTCCTAAGGTGTGGTTCCCAGTCCTCACTGGGGACGGCCCAAACCATCCTGTCATGTCCTCATTAGGTTCCAAGTGAAAAACAAAGTGCAGTGTGGTTAGCGACCAATGCTGAGAGGGCTGCAAACAGAGAGCAGGGCTGAGGGTCCCCTGGTATCCACTGTGAGCTCGTGGTGTGCAGCTCCAATGAAGTGCGGGAACCAGGGCCCATCCCCATCTGCCTGCTGAGCCTCAAAGTTCCCCCATCCCTGTAAGTCCAAGGCCCTGCTGCGGCTCAAGGCTGCACAGAAGCCTTTGGCTGGAGGTCACAGAGCAACTGAGGCCTCCTGTGTTTCTTGGCCATGACAGAGAACTGGGCCTGTCCAGGAGCCAGCCTGGGCTGCCTGGGACCCACAGAGGCAGCTGCTGCCTGGCTGGGACCTCGTGGGCACTGGGTGGTGGGCAATGGTGGGTGGTGGGAGATGTGGGATATCAATGTAGGAAGAGGGTGATGTGAGCCGCTCTTGGGGAGCTAGGGGGTCTCACTCATGGAGGAAGATGAACAGGCAGGATTCAGAGAGCGTTGTGGGGCCAAGGAGTTCTGCCAAGGGCGAGAGGAGGGCAGCAATGCCACAGAAAATGGGCAGGCCACAGAGGCTGAAGGGAGAGCCACCTGGGTGTGGATATGTGGGCTGTGGCAGAGATCAGTGGCTGTGTGGGGACAGGTGTCTTGACCGCTCTCCTGTGGGCCTGGCTCTGAGCATGAGGGACGGAGTAGGGAGAAGAGCCAGTGGGTGGAGGCTGACTGTTGCCCCAAAAGCCCTGTCCATAACTGTGTCCTGAGTCTAAGAGGATGGTGGGGTCTCCAGCCCTTCTGTTGTGGTCCTGTCTGTCCTGGCCACCAGGTCCCCGGGGGGTGGTGGGTGAGGGATAGGAAAACAGGGCTTTCCTGCACCTTTTCTGAAGACAGGCTTGGGCATTATTTCTGTCTAGTCTTTGACACCAAAACGGTCCCTGAGGCCAGGGTGCATTTTCGTGAAGGAGGTTGTTGGCTTGTGGCTCTGGAGGTTCCAGAGGTGGTACCATGTGAGGGAAGCCTGTAAGCAGGAGGGGTCACGTCCCCAGACAGGAGCCAGAGAGGTGTGGTGGGCTCACCTCTCTGTGACACCCTCCTCCAGAGCCAAGAATCCCCCCAGGTTCCCCCAGGTCTTCCTGGGCTCTGTCCATCCCTGGGGTTCCCAGGCCAGCTCTTGGTGGGCCCTCCATCTGCCAACCCACAGGGCACATGTGACCTTGGGGATACCCTCAAATCTCAGCAGACATGACAACAGAACCATACATAAGGTGGACGTGGTTGTATTTCTTAAAAGAAAAGACTTTAAAATCCAGTCCAGGGCATTGAGAGTCTCTGCACACTTGTGTTGAGATCTCAGAGAGGCGTCCTTAAGGCAGAAGTCTCTATTAGATGACAAAGTGTGAGATGGCAGAGGTACAATCAGCCAGTCTGTGTGTCTGATCCCACCAATATGATGGACTTCTGTAGTGTGGAAACCCTCTTTTCATGAACAACAAGAGATGCTGGTGGAACTGTCACACAGGAGGCGATGTCAGCACCTGACATTGAAAGGATGGGGGTTTCCAGGTGGCGGACATGAGGAGGGGACAGTTATGTTCATTCTCTGTGGGCCTGTCGGTCCGGGAAGCTGGGTCTTCCTTACACATGTGTTCGTCAGCTTCTCCTCATTGAGAGGGAATTCCCAGCAGCAACGAGAAGCAGAGACATGATGACATTGTGTTTCAAGTTGTAAGGGTCACTGGTCAGCCGTGAGCCCCAAATCCAGCTCAACTGCATTCAAAAATGAGGTAAACGAAGAATTTTCAGAAAGCATGTTCAGAGAGCTTACCGTCCACAAGATGGCCAAAGAGTCACCAATGTGTGCATTGTATAAGGAAGAAGATCCAACTTAGGCTAATGAGTGGATCCTACAGGCACCAGAATTTGAGGACAAAAAGGTGAGCCCTCATTTATTTATACCAATTGAATTCTCCTACTCTCTGTCCCCAGAGCCCAAGGCTGTGTTTGCCAAGGGGCAGCAGGCACAAAGCAAGGTGAAGGCCAAGGCGGGGGCCAGTGCCACTCTGAGCTGTGAGGTGGCCCAGGCCCAGACAGAGGTGACGTGGTACAAGGATGGGAAGAAGCTGAGCCAGAGCTCCCAGGTGCGCGTGGAGGCCTCTGGCTGCAGGCGGCAGCTGGTGGTGCAGCAGGCGGGCAAGGCGGACGCTGGGGAGTACAGCTGCGAGGCCGGGGGCCAGAAGGTCTCCTTCCGCCTGGACGTCACAGGTGGGTGCTGCTGGGGCTGGGTGAATGGAGGGAGGGTGGTAAATCTAGGGCACCTGTGGCAGCCTAGGCTCTGTGAGGCCTATGTCCTTCCTGACCTTGGACCTAAGCATCTGTGGCCAAGCTCTGGGTGGAGTTGGGCACTGGGGTTGTTTGTGGCTGGGGAGCATGTCCTGCAGGGGCAGGGGCTCCCTCTACCTGCCTGTGCCTACTTGCTGGGCCCAGAGCTCCAGAAGCCCTTGCTTGGGTCCTTTGGAATCCTGCATGTCCATCTGTCCTTCCCCCATCTCCATCCTCTCCCCACTGTGACCTGTCCCTGAGCCTGAGAAGGGGCCACAAGGGGCTCAGAGCCTCTCTCCTGATAACCCACCTGGTGCTGTGCTCTCTCCCAATGACCTGCCTGGTGCTGGTTTTTTTTCTGATTGGCTCAGGATGATGGTTCTCTGATGATTGGTCCACACTGGCACCTGGCTGTCTGCAAATTGGTTCACACTGGCACTTGGCTTTCTGCTGATTGGTCCACAGTGGCACTTGGCTGTCTGCTGATTGGCTGGCACTGAGCTCTGTGCTAATTTGCCCCATCTGGTACTGAGCTATCTGCTGACTGGCACACACTGTTAGTGAGATCTATGCTGATTGGCTGGCACTTGACTCTCTGCTGATTGGCTTGCACAGGCTCTGAGGTCTCTGCTGATTGGCCAGCACCGGCAGTCTGGTCTCCTGCATTCCTTTGGTAGCTGTGGCCAACAAAGATGTGGGTTTCTGGTTTGGTTCGGGCAAGGCGGACGCCGGGGAGTACAGCTGTGAGGCTGGGGGCTTATGTGTCCGCCTCCCCCTGCTTTTGTGCCTCCTGCATAGTGGTAGAGCTGGGAAGCCACTGATGGGCTGGGGTCCCAGGGAGGAGAAGGGTCATGGTCTATTCCCAATGGCTGGGAGGGTGGTGGCATCAGGAGGTAGGCCTGGCTGTGGTGGCCTTGTGGGCTGTGACAGTGCAGTTACCTGCAGGATCAGGGTGGATCAGGAAGTGCTTAGGGCTCTGATGAGGACAGACTGCCCAGCTGTCCACCCACCAGCCTTGGAGTTTGCAGCTTGGGTCATGAGTAGGATAGAACTTAGGCATGGCCATGCAATGTTCTGCTCATGATGGACACTCTGCTCGGCCATCCCTGGGGTGGGCTCAGGCTATGAGACATGGCTGGGTCTGTTCTGGAGTCCCTGACCTGTGTGTCCTTTCCCTGTGTCCCCAGAGCCCAAGGCTGTATTTGCCAAGGGGCAACTGGCACACAGTGAGGTGAAGGCCCAGGCAGGGGCCAGCGCCACCCTGAGCTGTGAGGTGGCCCAGGCCCAGACAGAGGTGACGTGGTACAAGGATGGGAAGAAGCTGAGCCAGAGCTCCCAGGTGCATGTGGAGGCCTCTGACTGCAGGCGGCAGCTGGTGGTGCAGCAGGTGGGCAAGGCGGACGCTGGGGAGTACAGCTGCGAGGCAGGGGGCCAGAAGGTCTCCTTCCGCCTGGACGTCACAGGTGGGTTTCTTGAGGCTTTTCCTTGTGTTGCTTGGGATAAGTGCAGGAAGTTAGGGTGTGTGCTACTGCTGGCCCCTGTTCTCACAAGGCTTCCCTACCACTATGGCCTGCCACTGGAAATTCACCCTGAAGACCTGGAATTTGTAGACTGTTGTTTTGTCTTTTTATTGCTTGCGCTTTACAACAACTCTATGTGGAAGGATTATGATTATACCTATTTTAAGATAAGGCTCAGGTAAGCTCTATAACTGGCTAAGATTTGTCTAGTAAGGATTTGCACCATCATGGGTGTGTGTGTGCTTGAAGAACTCCGGCTTCCCTATTTATGTAGCAGGCCTGCTGTGATATAGAGTCCCCACCTTTTGCTTGTATGAAAACAAGATCTCTTTCAATGCTGAGGGATCTTTTCTCTGGGTATCAAATTATAGTTCAGCAGTTACTTTTTTTTTTTTTGAAAGAGACACTTATCATATATATTTTTTTATTTTGAAGACTTTTAATTTTTTTTATTTTGTTCTAATTAGGTATACATGACAGTAGAATGCATTTTGACACATCATATATAAATGGCGTAAAACTTCTCATTCTTTTGATTGTATGTAATCATGTATGAACAAAGGGTATTTATGTCTGATTGTTTCTACTGTCATTTCTACCTGTATACTGCCTGCTCTCCCTTCATTCCCTTCTGTCTAGTCCAAATTACCTCACCCCTCCCAACCTTATTGTGAACTAGCATCTGCATATCAGGGAAGACATTTGGCCTTTGGGTCTTTGTGATTGGCTAATTTTGCTTAGCATAAAATTTCATCCATTTACTGACAAATGACATCATTTCATTCTTCTTTAAGGTTGAGTAATATTCCATTTTGTATATATGCCATAGTTTTTTTATCCATTTATATGTTGAAGGGCACCTAGGTTGATTCCATAGTTTAGCTACTGTGAATTGAGCGTAGTAGTTACTTTTTTCCTATTTAAAGAGGCCATTCCATTGTTTTGAGGTGTGGGTCTGTTATGAGGTGGCTCCACCCTCATGAATGGATGAACACTATCTCCTGGAGGAGGGCAAGTCATGGCTTCCAATATTGTACTTTGAAATATTTTCACATCAGGTTTATTATGGTTCCTTTGAGAGTCAGGTATTTTTTTTCCTTCTATTACTTTTGACTTTTTCATTTCAATTTTGATTTTCTGCAGCATGACCTTGATGAAACTTATATGGTTTCCTTTGTATTTATCCCAGCTGGGGTTGCTGAGCATCTTGAATCTGTGGGCTTATATCTTTGATCAGCTGTGGGTGTACTTGGCCTTTGCTGTCCTGTTCCGTGTGTGTCCCCTTTCAGGACTCCTGTTTGGCTCTGTTAGACATTTGCATGTTTTTTACATGTATATCTTCTCTTTGCCTCATAATCCATTCTTCTTTCTTTGCTTTAGCCAGGATATTTTCTTTTGACCTGTTTTTCAATTTAGTAATATCATGTCCTGCTATATCTAATTGTTTGTCAGTCCCACCAAAAGTGAGTTTACTTTGAGTTATTGCATTTTATGCTTCATAATTTCCACTTCATCAATTTTTTATGGATTCTAAGGTTTGAGATTCTGTAGTGAAAGTCACCCTATAATTCCTGGGTCTTATACATGTTAAGCCCACATTCTGCCAGTGAACTCTATCTCCAGTAAGTTGCCAGATTTGATTCATTTTCTTATCTTTATTTTTTCAGTACTACTAAGCATGGTTATATGCCTGTCCAATAGCTGTAATAACTGAGATCACCTTTCCTCTAGCATGGCATTTTGTGTGTGTGTGGGGGGTGGGGGTGGGGGAGGTTTGCTAATTATTATGCCAGTTTCTGGCATGTCAAATAATTTTTAATTAACTGGCATTATATGAGAAAAGATGTTGAATATGGATGACTTTGTCTTGCTTCAGAGAGAGGATTCCTCTTTGCTCTTCTAGGAAGGTAGAGGATCACTGACCCATTTGGGCACATTCCAGAATCCTCTGACTCGAGGCTGAGTTGCAGTTTGATCAGGGTCTTTTAGCTCTGGTTTGTCCTGATCCTGGGCATAGTCCTGCATGGGTTTCTCCAAAGATTAGGGTACTGTTATGGCCCTTTCCTAGGTTACCATCAGCTGTAACCATTGTTTCTTTAGGAAAGCAAGATGCTGAAATGTTCACACTAACTGTCAGAGGCTTTCTGCTTCTCTTCTGCTGTAGTTCAGATGTGTTGTATCTCGGATGTCTGTGTGTGGGCTTGGTACCTAGTGCACTGGTGTTTTGAGGTGGTGGGTCTGTTATGAGATGGCTCCACCCTCATGAACGGATGAACACTGTCTCGTGGAGGAGGTCAGGTCATGGCTTTCAGTTTTGTGACCAGATCATTACTTACCTGCAGGTGTTGGGCAAGATGTTTGGGATGCATTGGTTCTTGTGAGAAAGGGTTGTTTTAAGAATCCTGGTACCTCAATGACACCTCACATACTCTTGCTATTGGGATGCCATGAGGCCTCCTTAGAGCTACAGCAGTGCCACACCATAGCCTTGGACCTGCAGGTCTTAGCTACATAATCTTTTCTTTTCTAACATCTGGCCTCAGCCATATATTTTAGCAATACAAAACAAACCATGACAGCTCTGTAGCCTCCTGCCCCCATGCAGCTTCAAACTCCTCAAAGTCTGGATTGGAAATGACTCAAAAGTGGGCTTCATTCTCTACTGCTGTTTTCCTTGGGGGCTTGGCTCCTCAATCTCAGATTTATTCTATTTGTGTGAGAAGTCCCTGCATCTTTGGCTCCCTTCTTTCTCAGAGCTGCACTGCAGCTGGCCCTTTGCATGGGTTTTCACTGTTCTGTCATAGAAGCAAGGACAAACAGGGGCCCAGTGTGAGCACACCTCTGAGAATACCTCCCTCAGGACTTTGCCTCCTCATACCCAGACTCCTTGGACTGCTCTGAAGCACACTGCTAGGTGCACATGTCCACCTTCCTGCTCATGCCATGTTTGTTGCTGCAGGATGATCCTTGGCACTCACCAGGGCTGAGGGTCCCCAAATATCACTCTGACCATGGTGTTCCCTGGCTCTGCATCTGCACCACCAGTCTCCTCCTCCAATTTAGGGCACTCACTGATCTCACAGAGTGTGGGACCTCCTGCTCAGTCCCCTCCTCCAGCATGACGTCCTGACTGATGTCATGGAGAGTGTGTCCTCCTGCTCGATCCCCTCCTCCAGCATCACATCCTGACTGATCTCATGGAGAGTGTGTCCTCCTGCTCGGTCCTCTCCTCCAGCATGGCGTCCTGACTGATCTCACAGAGTGTGTCCTCCTGCTCGGTCCTCTCCTCCAGCATGGCGTCCTGACTGATCTCACAGAGTGTGTCCTCCTGCTCAGTCCCCTCCTCCAGCATGGCGTCCTGACCAGTCTCACAGAGTGTGGGACCTCCTGCTCAGTCCCCTCCTCCTTGGCCTTTGGTTCTTCATGATTGGCTAATTTTGCTTAGCATATTTGTCTTTTTACTTGCATGGTGCCCTGACTTATCTCACAGAGTGTGTGTCCTCCTGCTCAGTCCCCTCCTCCAGCATGGCGCCCTGACTGATCTCACGGAGAGTGTGTCCTGGTGTCCATGGTTTATCTGCCTTTGTCTTCCCCTTCTGAAAGTGCTGTGGGAGCACAGCCTTCTGTCTGACTGGGGCAGCATCTGCTGAGGTCTGCAGTTTTCTGTCGCTGCTGAGTTCTCCACAAATGGTAGCCGTGGAGACCAGTGAGTCAGTGAACACCACATCCACCGGGTGGACTCTCTTCAGCATATTTACATGCCGAAATGGACAGGGATGGAAACTAGTGCTGTGAGGGGGCATATGATTCAGTTGGAGTGGGACGTACACAGTTCAAGACCCTCGAGGTTGTGGGAGGTTGGAGATGGGAGCTGCCCGCACTGCTGAGAGTGCCACTTGGTGCCCTGTTTGAGAGGTCTCCTAAGGCCATGCACATCCTGTGCTGCCATGGACGTCCACAGCAGCCTTCCTCATTGTATCCCCATCCTGGAAAAAGCCCCAACAAGCCCCAAGAGTAAGGGAATCCCTCGAGGCGCTGTGCAGCACAACTCTGTCCCAGCACAGAGACCATTGCCTGTGTGGCCACATGGCGGTTCTCACAGACACTGTGCTGGAGGAAGGAGACCAACCCTAGCATGCTCAGCTGTGGGCCTGCTCTGAGAAAGGCTGTCAGTGGGGTGCCGTGAGGTCCCACGGGACCACCATGTGTGCTGCTGCTACATGTGCACAACTGACTTGGTCCTTGTACAACCAGAGGCCAGGCCCTGGCAGCATGTTACAGGGGTCAGAGCAGCGGCTGCCCCCGTTCTTCTGTGTGGGTAGCCCCTGGGTAGTTAGTTGGTGTGTTCTGGTTGGGTGGAAATGGGAACACCTGAGGTTGTGGAGCCAACACCTTGATGTGGGCTCACACTGAAGTGAAAGGCACAATTGGTTTGTAGAGGACAAAGGTGTGTCAGCCTGGAGTGTGATAATGAACAGCCAGGACCTGCCAATGCAGCCACTGTCCCGAGGCAGACAGTGAACCAGGGACCGGGAGTTGATGGTCCAGCCTCTTCCCTCCAGCTTCAGATCGTGCTTGGCTCAGGACATGGCCAACACGAGAAGTTGACCTCTGAGACAGGAAATGCTCTGTGAACACAAGCCTGATGGGAGTGGACACATGATGTCTCTTCGTTGAGGACCCAGTTCACGGAGCTTGAAGCTTTAGTCCTGTCAGATGGGTTGATATCAGTACTGTGTCCCTGATCTGTGCGTCCCTCCCCTCTATCCCCAGAGCCCAAGGCTGTGTTTGCCAAGGGACAGCCAGCACGCAGTGAGGTGAAGGCCCAAGCCATCAGCTGTAGCCTAGGGTTTGAATCTGGGGTGGTGGGACCCCATTCTCTGAGGTCCAGATTTCCATTTGCCTATGTGTCTCCTGCCTTACTTTGACAAATGGAGCTTTGAACATTTAACCACTTGAAAGAATTAGACCAGTAATTCACAGTTTATAGGGTAAGTTCAAGATGGGTTGGAGAATTCAGTGCAAAAGTCAAACCATAAACATCTGAGATGATGGTGTGTACTTTGTAAGGACCTGAGGAAGGAAAGCTTTCCTGCATAGAACCCAAATGCACTCACCACAAGAGCGAGGTCAATATATTTGATCACATTAGAACTAAATGCACTGACTCATCAGAAGACTCTAGGCACTGTGGAAAGATGGGAAGACGTTGACATCATAGCAGTGGTCAGATCTCAGGCATTCATTATACAAAGAAGCTGAAAGTGAAGGGAAGAGGACACTGCTACTGGGCATGGAGTGGAAACTGTGGACTGACACCCAGGATGAGTACACACTGGTGGCTAACAGGAGTGGCCCAGGCTTCAGAGGAGCTGCCAACATGCTCAGATCAGGAGGAGCTGGGCTCTGCCAGGGCCTTGCCCAGAGCTCATGCCCTGCATGGTCCTGGGGAGACTCTTCCTGGTCATTGACAGGGGGTGTAGTGTCCCTAGGGAGGAGCCTAAGCAGGAACCTGTCAGAGAGTCCCCACCTGGAACAGCCCTATGCAACAGGGGAGGGGGCTGTGTCACACACTGTGGTCCCTTGTGTTGAGGGTGATAGGACTTCTCCAGGGCATGAGCTAGTGTGGCCTGCAGAGGGTCTGTCCTTAGTTGTCCAGCCAGATGTCTTTCTCCAGGTGGCTTCCTGCCCTGGACAGAGTCCCTGACCTGTGTCCCTCCCTTCTGTACCCAGAGCCCAAGGTGGTGTTTGCCAAAGAGCAGCTGGCACGCAGCGAGGTGAAGACCGAGGCGGGGGCTAGCGCCACTCTGAGCTGCGAGGTGGCCCAGGCCCAGACAGAGGTGACATGGTACAAGGATGGGAAGAAGCTGAGCCAGAGCTCCCAGGTGCGCGTGGAGGCCTCTGGCTGCAGGCGGCAGCTGGTGGTGCAGCAGGCGGGCAAGGCGGACGCTGGGGAGTACAGCTGCGAGGCCGGGGGCCAGAAGGTCTCCTTCCACCTGGACGTCACAGGTGGGTGCTGCTGGGGTTGGGTGAATGGAGGGAGGGTGGTAACTCTAGGGCACCTGTGGCAGCCTAGGCTCTGTGAAGCCTGTGTCTTTCCTGACCTTGGGCCTCAGCATCTGTGGCCAGCTCTGGGTGGAGTTGGGCACTGGGGTTGTTTGTGGCTGGGGAGCATGTCCTGCAGGGGCAGGGGCTCCCTCTACCTGCCTGTGCCTACTTGCTGGGCCCAGAGCTCCAGAAGCCCTTGCTTGGGCCCTTTGGAATCCTGCATGTCCATCTCTCCTTCCCCCATCTCCTCCCTCTCCCCACTGTGACCTGTCCTTGAGCCTGGGAAGGGACCACATGGGGCTTACAGCCTCTCTCTTGATGGCTTACTTGGTGCTGGGCTCTCCCCCCTGCCTGGTGCAGGGTCTCTCTTGATTGGTCCACACTGGCACTGAGCTCTCTGCTGACTAGCCCATAGGGGTGCTGAGCTCTATGCTGATTGGCTTGCATAGGCTCTGAGGTCTCTGCCGACTGGCCAGCACTGGCATTCTGGTCTCCTGCATTCCTTTGGTAGCTGGGGCCAACAAAGATGTGGGTTTCTGGTTTGGTGCTCAGGTGGACTTCCCTGCTGTGTCCGCCTCTACCAGCTTGTGTTCCCTGCATGGTGGGAGAGCTGGGAAGCCACTGATGGGCTGGGGTCCCAGGGAGGAGAAGGGTCATGGTCTATTCCCAATGGCTGGGAGGGTGTTGGCATCAGGAGGTAGGCCTGGCTGTGGTGGCCTTGTGGGCTGTGACAGTGCAGTTACCTGCAGGATCAGGGTGGATCAGGAAGTGCTTAGGGCTCTAATGAGGACAGGCTGCCCAGCTGTCCACCCACCAGCCTTGGAGTTTGCAGCTTGGGTCATGTGTAGGATAGAACTTAGGTATGGCCATGCAATGTTCTGCTCATGATGGACACTCTGCTCGGCCATCCCTGGGGTGGGCTCAGGCTGTGAGACAGGGCTGGGTCTGTTCTGGAGTCCCTGACCTGTGTGTCCTTTCCCTCTGTCCCCAGAGCCCAAGGCTGTGTTTGCCAAGGGGCAGCCGACACACAGTGAGGTGAAGGCCCAGGCGGGGGCCAGCGCTACCCTGAGCTGTGAGGTGGCCCAGGCCCAGACAGAGGTGACATGGTACAAGGATGGGAAGAAGCTAAGCCAGAGCTCCCAGGTGCGCGTGGAGGCCTCTGGCTGCAGGCGGCAGCTGGTGTTGCAGCAGGCGGGCAAGGCAGACGCTGGGGATTACAGCTGCGAGGCTGGGGGCCAGAGGGTCTCCTTCCATCTGGATGTCACAGGTGAGTCCTCTGAGTTCCAAGTTAACCTGCACGAAGGTGACAATGAGTAGGGCGTTTGACCTCGGCAGATCTTTTGCCTGTGTTTGTGGCTTTCTTTTGTCTAGTTTCCCAATGTCGCCTGTCCCCAGTGCTTGCTGGGAGCCCTAGTGGGCCAGGTGGGAGAGGGCCCAGGGCTGTGCACATGGTGTCTCATGGAGTGACCCTTGGCCATGCCTCCTAGCACCCAGCATCTTCCTGGTGCTCCTTGGTGTCTGGGACTCTGGCTCTGTCTGTGCTTGGGTTCCTGAGTTCCAAGATGTCTGTCACCTGAGTGTGTGAGCTCTTCCTCTCAGGACGAGTGTCACCTGGCTCTGGTCAGAGGGAGACTTGTATATTGTGGAACTTTAATGAGGTGGAAGTTTGGCTGTAGGTCATGCTCTAAGGTGCTACAAGAGTGAGCTGTTCATGGTCGATTTCTTGGTTTGGACCCTTCCTCCCATGGGCCTGGAGCTGTTTTATCTTGTTTCCTATGTGCAGTGACATCAAGGGACCTCATTGTTGCTTGTTTCCAGAGGGACCAGGTATTGGCACTGAGGCTGATGGTGCTTATGCCAGGTGCTGTCCACAGTTTTCATTGCCATACTAGGTCAGAGCTGCCCTGCAGAAATGTAGGAACAAGAAGGAGCGAGCAGCTTCTGCCACAGTAGCAGGCTCTGCAGTGCGTTAGCGGCCGAGCAGCTGCCCACCTTCTGTGGTTGGAGTGTGCGGGCCTTGGTGGAGAAGCCTGAGAAGCTCAGTGATCTTCCTCTCTCTAGGGTCCCAGGGTGGGTGGGCTGCAGGGCCAGCTAACCTGTAGGTAGTGCCAGCTCTGGTTCCTGTGGCTTCCAGGAGTGTGCTCTCTGATGACAGATTGACAGGCTTGGTCATTTGGCTTATTCCTAGTAAACAGTGAAAATGGACATAGAAAGTACAGAAATCTGAAGTCGTCCTATGGCTTCTAGATAAATGGAATTAGTGACCAGATCTAAGCCTGATAATTTTCTGGTAAAATATATGAGATACTAATGGAAACAATTATTCCACACGTGTGGAAATTGCCGTCACGAGTGGAGCAAGGAGACGCCTCTGTGAGTCATTTTAAGCTGAGCACGGGGCAGCAGGGCCAGAACCTGACAAGGAAAGTGGGGGTCAGTGCACAGACCAGCCACCAGACTCTGGAGGATAGACGTGGAGCACTGGCCAGCCCCTTAGCAGCAGGCAGGAGGGCAGCCTGGAAGCACCAGCTCCAGCACAGCTTTCCCAGCTAAGGTGCTGGACCAAGTCGAACATTATAAATCTAGAGATCAGTGGACGCACTTAGCCTGGTTGAGTGGAGCTTTCTTCAGCTGAAGATGGGTGCAGAACACCAGGGCACCTGTCGGGGGCGCCTGGAAGGCCACCATCACTTTCACCACCTTTGTCCAGCACCTTTGTCCAGGAGCAGGGGGAAAGAAAAGTGGACAGCATAGGTGTAAGAGTGTAGAAATGAGTTCACGGGTGATGATCATCAGTTGAGGAGCCAACAGAACTGCGGGGTTGGAGGTGCCGCTGGGCACGGTCATCATATAGATGCAACGGGCAGAAAACACGTCTTTACCTACATGCACAGGTGACAGCAGAAGTGAAACTTCAGATAATTCACAACGCATCAAACCGGTCACATTCCTAGTTCTACCTCTAATAAGGATCTTAAGGTTTGGGGGCATAATTAATTTTTTTTTATGACAGTCAACAGGGCTAAATAAATGAATAGAAATTAATTTAAAAAATCAAAGACATTTACTAATAATCAAAATCTAAACAAGGGTCATGTGGGGGCAGGGCCAGTGGGAGACAAAGGACAAGTGCAGCAACCACACACTGGAGGGGACAGAAAGGCACTGAGAGGCTATGAGGTGGACAGGACATTTCCATACAGGCCAGGGGTCAAGACAGAGCCACTGCTTGGCACTCAGAACCAGGCCTGCCATTGCCAGCCCTCTCCTGTTTCTTTCTGCCTTGCGTTTGTGTGAGAGGTAGAGAAAGATGATGTTTTCATAGTGACTGGACCATTTGAATGCGTGGAAAGATGAAATGACACTGGGTATGGTCCATATGTTCCAGGGGGTCAGGGCTTCATGAGCTGAAGCCACAGACACCTTGTGTGTCGCACAGTTGATGGAGATGTCGGGGGCAGGTGCCTACCCAACTTCATCCCTAACCCTGGGGCAAGAGAAAGTTATTTGAATGAAACATAACTGAATCCATGGCTCCTAGGAAGACACCTGCGAGACAGAACAGGGCACGGAGGCCTTGAGAAATCACAAAAGAAATAAGAGCCAACTCTCTACCACCCCCACACATGAGCACCTCCAATGAAGACAGAAGGGCCGCACGATAAGTGGGCAGAAGACTTGAGCAGACACCTAAAGCACCAGTAACTGTCACAGATGCTTGGCTTTGTGCAGCCTCAGTGGGCACAGGAGCCACAGTGGCCTAGGCTCCCTGAGGAGCAGCCCACAGTTCAGAGAAGGCAGCAGTTGGGCCCTCCCAGGACCTGCCAAGAGACACACACCCAGCATGGTCCTGGGGAGACTCTTCCTGGTCACTGAGGGGCAGGTGCAGCATCAGGCCCTGAAGTTCCTCCCTGGAGGAGCCTGTGCAGGGAGCTGTCACAGTGTTCCCACCTGGAACAGCCCCATGCAGCAGGGGCAGGCTGTGTCACACACTGTGGTCCCTTGTGCTTAGGGTGCTGGGCTTCTCCAGGGCACGAGCTAGTGTGGCCTGCAGAAGGGTCTGTCCTCAACTCTCCAGCCAGATGTCCTTCCCCAGGTGGCTTCCTGCCATAGACAGAGTCCCTGACCCGTGTGTCCCTCCCCTCTGTCCCCAGAGCCCAAGGTGGTGTTTGCTAAAGAGCAGCTGGCACGCAGCGAGGTGAAGGCTGAGATGGGGGCCAGTGCCACTCTGAGTTGCGAGGTGGCCCAGGCCCAGACAGAAGTGACATGGTACAAGGATGGGAAGAAGCTGAGCCAGAGCTCCCAGGTGCGCGTGGAGGCCTCTGGCTGCAGGCGGCAGCTGGTGGTGCAGCAGGCGGGCAAGGAGGACGCTGGGGAGTACAGCTGCGAGGCCGGGGGCCAGAGAGTCTCCTTCCGCCTGGACGTCACAGGTGGGTGCTGCTGGGGTTGGGTGAATGGAGGGAGGGTGGTAAATCTAGGGCACCTGTGGCAGCCTAGGCTCTGTGAGGCCTATGTCCTTCCTGACCTTGGGCCTCAGCATCTGTGGCCAAGCTCTGGGTGGAGTTGGGCACTAGGGATTGCTTGATACTGGAGACCATGTCCTGCAGGGGCAGGGGCTCCCTCTACCTGCCTGTGTCTACTTGCTGGGCCCAGAGCTCCAGAAGCCCTTGCTTGGGTCCTTTGGAATCCTGCATATCCATCTGTCCTTCCCCCATCTCCTTCTCCTCCCCACTGTGACCTGTCCCTGAGCCTGGGAAGGGGCCACATGGGGCTCAGAGCCTCTTTCCTGATAGCCCACCTGGTGCTGGACTCTCTCCCAGTGACTTGCCTAGTGTTGGGTTTTTTCTGATTGGTTCAGGATGACAGTTCTCTGATGATTGGTCCACACTGGCACCTTGCTGTCTGTAGATTGGTTCACACTGGCACTTGGCTGTCTGCTGATTGGTCCACAGTGGCACTTGGCTGTCTGCTGATTGGCTGGCACTGAGCTCTGTGCTAATTTGCCCCATCTGGTACTGAGCTGTCTGCTGACTGGCGCACACTGTTAGTGAGCTCTGGGCTGATTGGCTGGCACTTGACTCTCTGCTGATTGGCTTGCACAGGCTCTGAGGTCTCTGCTGATTGGCCAGCACCGGCAGTCTGGTCTCCTGGCATTCCTTTGGTAGCTGTGGCCAACAAAGATGTGGGTTTCTGGTTTGGTGCGGGCAAGGCGGACACTGGGGAGAACAGCTGCGAGGCTAGGGGCTGCTGTGTCTGCCTCCTCCTGCTTTTGTGCCCCCTGCATAGTGGGAGAGCTGGGAAGCCACTGATGGGCTGGGGTCCCAGGGAGGAGAAGGGTCATGGTCTATTCCCAATGGCTGGGAGGATGGTGGCATCAGGAGATAGGCCTGGCTGTGGTGGCCTTGTGGGCTGTGACAGTGCAGTTACCTGCAGGATCAGAGTGGATCAGGAAGTGCTTAGGGCTCTAATGAGGACAGGCTGCCCAGCTGTCCACCCACCAGCCTTGGAGTTTGCAGCTTGGGTCATGCGTAGGATAGAACTTAGGCATGGCCATGCAATGTTCTGCTCATGATGGACACTCTGCTCGGCCATCCCTGGGGTGGGCTTAGGCTGTGAGACAGGGCTGGGTCTGTTCTGGAGTCCCTGACTTGTGTGTCCTTTCCCTGTGTCCCCAGAGCCCAAGGTGGTATTTGCCAAGGAGCAGCCGGCACGCAGTGAGGTGAAGGCCGAGGCGGGGGCCTGCGCCACTCTGAGCTGTGAGGTGTCCCAGGCCCAGACAGAGGTGACGTGGTATAAGGATGGGAAGAAGCTGAGCCAGAGCTCCCAGGTGCGCGTGGAGGCCTCTGGCTGCAGGCGGCAGCTGGTGGTGCAGCAGGCGGGCAAGGCGGACGCTGGGGAGTACAACTGCGAGGCTGGGGGCCAGAGGGTCTCCTTCCGCCTGGACGTCACAGGTGAGTCCTGTAGTACCTGTTTGGAGGTGATGAGACTGGCTATTGGCCTAGATGGACATTCCTGTGAGATGTTTTCCTATTAGATCTCATCTCTCCAGCTTCCATCTTCCTAACTGGAGGACAGTAGCTGGCTGGGAATGGCTCACAGGGAGAGGGCTTTTTATGAACCCCTAGTGGGGTTTCCACTCTCCAATGACCAGTCATACCACAGAGTCTACCCAGAGCCTTCTAGGTTCTCCTTGGTGTGCAGGACACTGGCTCTCCCTGTGGTCTGACGTGGACCAGATGTCATGTCTGTGCATCTTTCTGTCGGATGCTCTGGTGCCCTCATCTGCACCACGGCTAGTTCTCACTAGTAAGAGAGGTCTGAATTTCCCAACTGGGGTAATGGGTATTTCACCCATCGCAGGGTGTGTGGAATTGTTCAAGGCATATGTGCATGTTGGAGTTCTGGTGTTCTGGGGCAGCCTCCCCTCCTGTGAATGGTGTGGCCATGGTCTGTGACTCAAAGCTGGTGGGAAACCCTGACCTAATGTGGGAGGTTTTCCTCCTGTTCCATCCCACAGATAAGAACCATCCTTTGCCCAGTGTGTAGATGCTGTGTGAGGCCCTGCCCACTGGCCAGTCATCAGGTGGCGTGGTCAAGGTAGTCATAGTGTCACAGTCTGATGTTAAAGTAATGGCCCCCAAACCACAGGCTTTACTACAATGTGTTCTCGTAATTGTTTGCTTTTGTTATTAGGCACTGTTTTTAATTTCTTACTGTGCCTAATTTTAAGATAAGCTTCATCATGCTGTGTGTACGGGGAAACCCAGAAGCACACAGAGCTCTGTGGTACCAGTGTCCAGGCATCTGTTGTGGGTCCTGGGTGTGTTCTGAGCAGAGAAGGGGATGCCTCTACTGTGCTGAGGGTGCTGAGGCTTCCCCAGGGTATGAGCTGGTGTGGCCTGCAAAGGGTCTGCCCTAGCCATCCAGCCAGATGTCCTTCCCCAGGTGGCTTCCTGTCCTGGACAGAGTCTCTGACCTGTGCGTCCCTTCCCTCTGTCCCCAGAGCCTAAGGTGGTGTTTGCCAAGGGACAGCCAGCACATAGTGAGGTGAAGGCACAGGCGGGGGCGAGTGCCACTCTGAGCTGCGAGGTGGCCCAGGCCCAGACAGAGGTGAAGTGGTTCAAGGATGGGAAGAAGCTGAGCCAGAGCTCCCAGGTGCGCGTGGAGTCCTCTGGCTGCAGGCGGCAGCTGGTGGTGCAGCAGGCGGGCAAGGCGGATGCTGGGGAATACAGCTGTGAGGCCGGGGGCCAGAGGGTCTCCTTCCGCCTGAATGTCACAGGTGAGTCCTGCAGAGCACCTTGCCTTGTTTGGTGACATGCCCTGTGCTCTCCATTAGACTTCTGTGCTCAGCCGTACCCCTCCTCCCTCCCTTCTTGTTCATATGTAGCTGGGCTTGGTAGTTGTGGGGGAGGACTGCCCACCCCCTCACACTGGAGTATAACTTTGCGTGGGGTGCACTAGCACCCTGAACGCTGCCCCGCCCCTGCTGATGTTCTCTGCTGTCTGCGTTTGGCTCCCTCTGGCCTGCAACCCCTGATAGACCAGGTGTCTCCCCAGAGAATGCTGAATGTTCCTCTGCCTCCTATGATCTGGCTGCTCCTGAATGCTGTCCCCAGCACCACATGGGTAGTTGCTGGTGAGGGACATTTTAATTGATGCTGGGTAGGGTCAGAGGAAATTTTGGACACAGTCACTCTTGGTGTTATCTCAAGACTGACCTTCGGTATCTGGGATGTTCCTATGCCCTTTCTCATAGGGCAGAGATCTCCGTGCACTGCTGGGCAACCTCTAGGCCTGGGCCTTCCTGCAGTGTGTGTGGGCAGAGGGTTGGCAGCCATGTCTGGGCTGCCCCTGGAGTCAGGGTGGGCCCTCAAGGGAAAGTTTGTTTCCTTTTTGTCTTTGGTTAGCACTGTTCTATGTCAGAATTTTACTTTGGAATTTGACTTACAGATTTAGAACTGCAAAGGAATACATTAGTTGAAGCTACATCAGTTTTTGTTAAAGTTGAGTTTCTGTAGCAGGATCCACTAGCTGGTAGAGCAGAGCTGATGATGTAGAACTTCCTAGTGAGTCGTGTGTGTCTGCCTCCCTGACTGACTCACAGGGAGTCTAAGAGCCCAGTTTACTTTCCTTTCACTGTGGAGTCTTAACATCAATCAGGTGGGCTGTGGCACAGCAGACCTCCAGGTGCCCAACAGAATGGCATGGCATAGCAACAGAAGGGGTTTGTGATCATGTAAGGGTCCCCAACACCCTGTGTGTCTTTCTAAGATGTTATTTAAGGAACTCCAAGATGTTGTTTTATGATATTTTTATGGTGATAAATTTGGAAAGTCTTGACAAATTGACAGATTCTTGGGAAACAATATGAAGATGTCACACAAGAAGAAATAGACAACTCAAACTGTCCTATAACTTAAAAAAAATAAGAAATATTTTTCATAGAGAAGGGTGTAAGTCCAGGAGCTCTCCTGCTAAATGTTCTGGAAAGAACTGACTCCACCTTCCTTGAGAGTCTTCCAGAGAACAGAACAGGAAGAAACACTCTCGATCCTGTTGGACGTAGACAGCCCAGTACACCGGGAAAGTGTGGAAGACAGAGATGCATCTTCCGAGATGTCAGGCCACAACTTCAACAGCACCCAGCAAAAGTGATGGAGCAGTGGCCAGGAGGAGATGGTGCACCCCCCACCCCAGGGCAGTGTCCAGGAACTCAGCACTGGCTGAGAGTGAAACACTGGGGAACCCAAAGAGCAGCTGCGATAAGGATACAGCATCAGGCCATCCACCAGGTCCCTGACCACTACAGCAAATGGATGCGTGGATAGTAGGAAGCGCTAGCTGGCGTGCAGCGAGAGCTGGACCTTGAGGGGAAGGCACAGATGGGAAGAGGAAAATGGAATTGAAGGTACTGCAGTTGGAGTTGAGTGGAATTCTGTGGCTCTGTTCCGGAAATCCAAGGATATGTGATCAGGTGGAGTTAGTGGCTTACCAAGGTAGCCTGTGCAGATTTGAGTCCACTCTGCGGGGGGCGAGCAGCGAGCAGTGGAAAATGAAAGCTCAGAGTAGAGGATGAAGGCCTCTTATCCAGAATGTTAAGCCAGAAGTGCTTGGGTTTTAGATTTTCTTGGATTTGGGGATATTTGCATACACATAATGAGCTATCTTTGGGATGAGACCTGAGTGTAAATGTGAAATTCACTTGTTTCATACACATTCCACACATAGCTTGAAGGCGATTTTTCACAACATTTTAGGAAGATTTTGTGCATGAAATGAGGCTCCTGGTGTAGGATTTTCCACCTGGAGCAATCATATAGTCGCTCAGACAGTTTTGGATTTTGCAGCATTTTGGTTTTGGATCAGGGATTCTCACTTGTGTTTACATAAGATGCTACGTGTAAAGCAAGACATTCAAAGGCTCTTCAGGGTAAGTCAGACATTTTTGAGAGACACCAAATAACATCTAAGTAAGTGGACATAAGGGCATGGAAGAGTCAGACCATCATCAGCCTGCAGGGTCCCCATGCTGTGGAGCAGGCCCGGGTGCAGGGTGCAGAGCACGCTGGCCCTCAGGCTCTGACAGGCAAGCTGAGCGTCCCCCGTCGCTGAGAATTGACTAAAGCTACGGTAGCAGACAGCGGGTCCACGGTGTGAGACACAGGAGCCCTGCATCTAGCTGTGCCTACGGGACTCTGCATGGCCCCCACACAGGCAACACTGTATTCATTCTTGGGAATGTTTTTAGGACATGAAGCCACATGGAAACACAGCTGTCTGGTACTTCTCACCATGTACAAAAGCTAGTCAGGAGAACTAGAGATTCAGGATCCTGGGAGAGCTGCGGTGGTCTTAGATGACATCACAGATGCTTAGAGACTTCGTGCCAAGGAAAGATTTCTAACAGAACAAGACATGATCACGGTGGAGCAAGAGTGACAATCTGACTATGTTAAAACAAAGACTCAGACACGTTGGAGGCTTCTGGTTCAGTGTGCTTGGTGTTGCTGCATCTCAACAACAGGCTGGGTAACATATCTGAGAAGTTCCTGTGGCTTACAATTTTGGTGGCTGAAGGTCCAAACAGCATGGAGCCCATTTCCTGGTGAGGGTCCCAGCTGCACCACAAAGAGAAGCAGAAGGGGACTGGCCACATGCAGAGGGGGCCAGACACACCAAGATTTGTGACGGCCTGCTCTTGTGAGACCTGATCCATACCTACAGGAGCCAGCTTTCCCCACAAACCTCAATTCACACAAGAGGGTGAAGCCCTGAGCTCATCAGCTTCCACTGGGTCCCCTCCAAAGAGTCCCATGACCTCCACACTGCACACAGGAACCAGCTTAAGGCACAGGAGTGTTGGGGGACAGCACATCCAAGCCATGCAACACACAGAGGGAGTCTACAGCCATCCTGTGGGGGACAGAAAAGCTTGCACATGTAAAGAGAGCACCTAGATTAAAAGAAAAACCATCAACTTAAAATGCACATCAGGCTTGAACCTTGAAACAACAGAGGAGCACCACTGACAGCCAAAAACACGAGAAGGTCTCTACCCTCAGGACAGGACCCAGGAGCCAGAAGTGACCCATATGTCCCCAGAGGAGCTGCCAACATGCTCAGAGCAGGCAGGAGGTGGGCCCTCCCAGGTCCTGCCCAGAGCTCATGCTCTGCACAGTTCTGGGGAGACTCTTCTTGGTCACTGAGGGACAGGTGCAGCATCAGGCCCTGCAGTCCCTCCCTGGAGGAGCCTGTGCAGGGAGCTGTCACACAGTCCCCACCTGGAAGAGCTCCATGCAGCAGGCTGTGTCACACACCATGGTCCCTTGTGCTGAGGGTGCTGGGTTCTCCAGGACACAAGCTGGTGTGGCCTGCAGAAGGGTCTGTACTCAGCCACCCAGCCAGATGTCCTTCCCCAGGTGGCTTCCTGCCCTGGACAGAGTCCCTGACCCATGTGTCCCTCCCCTCTGTCCCCAGAGCCCAAGGTGGTATTTGCCAAGGAGCAGCCGGCACGCAGTGAGGTGAAGGCTGAGGCGGGGGCCTGCGCCACTCTGAGCTGTGAGGTGGCCCAGGCCCAGACAGAAGTGACGTGGTACAAGGATGGGAAGAAGCTGAGCCAGAGCTCCCGGGTGCGCGTGGAGGCCTCTGGCTGCAGGCGGCAGCTGGTGTTGCAGCAGGCGGGCAAGGCGGACGCTGGGGAATACAGCTGTGAGGCCGGGGGCCAGAGGGTCTCCTTCCGCCTAGACATCACAGGTGGGTGCTGCTAGGGCTGGGTGAATGGAGGGAGGGTGGTAACTCTAGGGCACCTGTGGCAGCCTAGGCTCTGTGAGGCCTATGTCCTTCCTGACCTTGGACCTCAGCATCTGTGGCCCAGCTCTGGGTGGAGTTGGGCATTGGGGTTGTCTGTGGCTGGGAAGCGTGTACCTGCCCGTGCCTACTTGCTGGGCCCAGAGCTCCAGAAGCCCTTGTTTGGGCCCTTTGGAATCCTGCATGTCCATCTGTCCTTCCCCCATCTCCTCCGTCTCCCCACTGTGACCTGCCCCTGAGCCTGGGAAGGGGTCACACAGTGCTTAGAGCCTCTCTCTTGATGGCTCATTTGGTGCTGGGCTCTCTTCCCTGCCTAGTGCTGAGCTCTCTCTTGGTTGGTCCACACTGGCGCTGAGCACTCTGCTGACGGGCCCATAGGGGTACTGAGCTCTATGCTGATTGGCTTGCACAGGCTCTGAGGTCTTTGCTGATTGGCCAGCACTGGCATTCTGGTCTCCTGCATTTCTTTGGTAGTTGTGGCCAACAAAGATGTGGGTTTCTGGTTTGGTGCTCAGATGGACTCCCCTGCTGTGTCCGCCTCCACCCGCTTTTGTGCCCCCTGCATGGTGGGAGAGCTGGGAAGCCACTGATGGGCTGGGGTCCCAGGGAGGAGAAGGGTCATGGTCTATTCCCAATGGCTGGGAGGGTGTTGGCATCAGGAGGTAGGCCTGGCTGTGGTGGCCTTGTGGGCTGTGACAATGCAGTTACCTGCAGAATCAGAGTGGATCAGGAAGTACTTAGGACTCTGATGAGGACAGGCTGCCCAGCCGTCTACCCACCAGCCTTGGAGTTTGCAGCTTGGGTCATGCGTAGGATAGAACTTAGTCATAGCCATGCAATGTTCTGCTCATGATGGACACTCTGCTCGGCCATTCCTGGGATGGGCTCAGGCTGTGAGACAGGACTGGGTCTGTTCTGGAGTCCCTGACCTGTGTGTCCTTCCCCTCTGTCCCAGAGCCCAAGGCTGTATTTGCCAAGGGGCAGCCGGCACACAGTGAGGTGAAGGCCCAGGCGGGGGCGAGTGCCACTCTGAGCTGCGAGGTGGCCCAGGCCCAGACAGAGGTGACGTGGTACAAGGATGGGAAGAAGCTGAGCCAGAGCTCCCAGATGCGCGTGGAGTCCTCTGGCTGCAGGCGGCAGCTGGTGTTGCAGCAGGCAGGCAAGGCGGATGCTGGGGAATACAGCTGTGAGGCCGGGGGCCAGAGGGTCTCCTTCCGCCTGGACGTCACAGGTGAGTTCTGAGTTTGCTGGTGTGTGAGGATGAGACTGATATAGCGGATGTTCCTGGGTGCTCCTGCCCTCAAACTCCATGTCTCCACGTGCCCCGTGCTCACCTGTGGTTTTCAATCCTAGTGTGAGTACCGATGGCCAATCCATGTGGACAGCTAAGTTTCTGCACCAGACTTGCCCTCCCAGGTCTAATGCTGAGGGGCGTTTCTCAGCACTTGGGAAACTATGCACTACGGGCTGTGGCTTTACCTGCTACTTGGGCTGAGGTGGTCCAGAGACCTGAGGCCATTGGGATCGTCGCCCTTTCAGTGCTCTGGGACACTCTTCCCTCTGTCCTCATGGACCTGAAAGCTCTCTGAGCAAGTTCATGGGGGAAACACAAGGACCCTAATTTTGTTGCACTGTCTGTGCAACATGAAGGGCGGGGTGATGCATTTGCTGGGAAGGTGGGAGGCCAAAAAGTCTCTTTTAATAAGACCTATTTTCATTTTGTCTCAAGTTGGAGCAGTCAGTGTCTACATTCCCTCCATGGCTTGGTTTATAAATTCAGAAATGAAAAGGAATAAACCAATGAAGTCACATCTGCATGCTTCATTAAAATTGATTTTCTACACTCTTAGCTGCTGATGGGTAGAGCATCAACGCACAGCATCCCCCTAATAAGCCGTGTGTCTGCTCTCCCTGGCTGGTTGGCAGGAAAGCCGGGAGCATCTTCATTTCCTTTGTTGAAGGAGTCTAATGTCACAGAGAGAGGACCATGGGCACAGTGCTCTGCAGTTGCATTAAAGTTTTGTGGGTGTATGTGGACACCAGGGAATCCCACTAAGTTCATTGGAAATGTCATGGTGTGAGGATAAGCCATTATTTTATACAAGGCAACAAGGCACCTTTTCTTAGTAATCAATTACTAGAAGATCATGTCAAACCTACACAAGAAAAACTAGGGAGTGGAACAGTCCTCTAATCTTCTAAAGAAGTAGGATCATAGTAATAATCTTATAGAGCCCTATCTTAGCCCAGTGGCTCTGCTAACAAATCATACCAAATATTATCCCATGTTAATAGAAATTCTAGAACACTGAGGGAGGAAGTACACTCCCTAGCTCATTTTATGTAGGTAGTACATGATCGACGCCAAAGCATACAAGGTCAGCAGGAGGCTTATATTGCCAGTGTGAAGTTCAAGCTCCTCTGCTGATGTTAGCCCAATGAGTCCAGCAAAGTGAAGGGTTTGTCTGCTCTAGGAGATGTGAAGTGCAGGAGTGAAGGCCTGGTTCACCCAGGAACATCAGGTGGTCACCAGGGCCCAGTGCTAACAGGCTTGAGGGACAGGGTATGACTCATCCTGGGCATGCAGTGACAGTATTTGATGAGTGTGACATCAGAAGTTGTGAAGATTGTTTGACACAATTCAACATGCAGTTCTTAGCAAACTCTGGATGAGATGATTCCTCCTTAGCTTAACAGAGTGGTTGTAGGAAAAGTGAGGGCAAAGGGACACCAGTGGTGCAGACTTCAGAGAGTCACCTTCAAGACCAGGAGTGGACAAGGGAGGGGTTGCTGTCGGCATTGGAAAGAGAAGGAATGGGGCTCGGACACTCGTGCTGGGGCTCACAGAGGACAGGGTTATCAGTGCAGAATGCCGGAAATATCGAATGCCGGAAATATCGTTGACTGTGTCCAGGAGGAGAGCAGGGGCAATGTCCATGCTCAGGTGTTAGTGTACAGACTCTTCTTCACCCACACGATTAAGCAAGCAGATGATGGAAGTGGAGTTTCCAAGAACTAGCGCAGAGCCAAGAGCGTGGCGTTACTGTTCCAGGTCTTCTCAGACACAGGCCCACAGACGTGGTGAAGATGCACATCACTAGACACTTGAGAGGAAGCAGAAGGGGTTTAAGTGCATGGAGGCAGTCTGTGGGAGAGCCAGAGGTTCGCAGTCACAGTCCAGGTGCCTGCTGCTTCTCTCCAGGAGTAGGAATATCGACAGGCCAAATGGGCAGAGCCACTCCTGGAGAGCAACTGGAGGGCACGGGCGACCAGAGTCAGGACATCCGCATGGCTGAAGGCAGGAGCAGACAAGAGGACAGGGGCAACTGAGCAGTTAGCTCAGAACAACTAGGTAGCTGGTGGGCTGGCCATGCCTGTAACCCCAGGGACTCGGAGAGGCTGAAGCAGGAGGAGGCAGGTTTGAGGCCAGTATCAGCAACTTAGCAAAACCCTGTCTCAAAAAATATAATTTTAAAAAGCGAATTGGGGATGTAGCTCAGTGCTAGAGTGCTTGCCTAGCATGTGCAAGATCCTGGGTTCAATGCCTAACATCATGCACACAAACACACACACACACACACACACACACACCAAAAAAAAGGAAAGAAAAGGGACACAGCTCTGAGTGTAACCAGGTCCCTCTCCTCCTTCATTACTCTGTTCTTGTGCTACCAGGAGGTATAGAGAGGGATGTTATTTTCCAAACTAGTTCTAAGACCATTAAACTTAGAAAAAAAAATTGAAAATCAGATATCCAACTCAACACAAAAGGAATCCAATACAGGCTGTACCTCAGCGTAGAGGTGAAGCAGGTCTTCAAAGTGGACCTCAGTGGAGGTGAGGCGGGCTCTTAGCAGGTGTCCTGTGTTTCTCCATGACTTCAAGTTAATTGTACTTTTCTTAGAGAGAACATAGGGCATTGGCCATTAAGCAAATGGATGTATTTACCTATGGAGAAACTGAAACTGCCCCATCAGAAGACACTCTATAGGAGGAAAGGGCAAGCCCCTCAGATGGGGCCTACTCAGGACCCATGACTGTCCACAACCTAGCAGGTAATCATATGCAGAGCTGCTAAGAAGGAATTGGAAAACACAGTGCTACTGAAAGTGGGCAGGATAGTTTAGCAGGACTAGCCCAGAGCAGCCCACAGCAGGACACAGCAGCCCAGAACAGCCCAGAGCAGCCCAGAGCAGCCTACAGAGCCCACAGTAGCCCACAGCAGCCCACAGCAGCCCAGAGCAGCCCACAGCAGGACACAGCAGCCCAGAGCAGACCATAGCAGACAACAGCAGTGCACAGCAGCCCACAGCAGCCCAGAGCAGCCCAGAGAAGCTCACAGCAGGACACAGCAGCACACAGCAGCCCACAGCAGCACACAGCAGCCCAGAGCAGGACACAGCAGCACACAGCAGCCCAGAGCAGTCCAGAGTAGGACACAGCAGAACATAGCAGCCCAGAACAGCCCAGAGCAGGACACAGCAGCCCAGAGCAGCCCACAGTAGCCCAGAGCAGCCCAAAGCAGCCCAGAGCAGCACAGAGCAGCCCAGAGCAGCCCAGAGCAGGACACAGCAGCACACAGCAGCACAGAATAGCCCATAGCAGCCCAGAGCAGGACACAGCAGCCCAGAGCAGTCCACAGCAGGACACTGCAGCCCACAGCAGCCCACAGCAGGACACAGCAGCCCAGAGCAGCACACAGCAGCACACAGCAGCCCAGAGCAGGACACAGCAGCCCACAGCAGGACACAGCAGCCCAGAGCAGGACAAGCAGCACACAGCAGCATAGAACAGCCCAGAGCAGCCCAGAGCAGCCAGCAGCAGCCCAGAGCAGCCCCCAGCAGAACACAGCAGCCCAGAGCAGCACAAAGCAGCCCCCAGCAGGACACAGCAGCCCAGAGAAGGACACAGCAGCACACAGCAGCACAGAACAGCCCAGAGCAGCCCACAGCAGCCCAGAGCAGCCCGCAGCAGCCCACAGCAGCCCAGAGCAGAACACGGCAGCCCAGAGCAGGACACAGCAGCCCACAGCAGGACACAGCAGCCCACAGCAGGACATAGCAGCCCAGAGCAGGACACAGCAGGACACAGCAGCCCCGAGTAGTCCCAAGCAGGACACAACAAACCACAGCAGGACACAGCAGCCCAGGGGAGCCCAGAGCAGGACACAGCAGCCCACAGCAGCCCAGAGCAGCACACAGCAATGCAGCAGACATCGGCAGCATCTACCTCATGGGGCTAAGGAGAGTGGGTGGGAGCCAGAGCAGTGTAGACACACCCAGAGGGATATTCGGCTGGCCCTTCCAGACCCTCCCCAGAGCTCATGCCCTGCACAGTCCTGGGGAGACTCTTCCTGGTCTCTAAGGGGTGGGTGCTGTGTCCTCAGGGAGGAGTCTGAGCTTTCACAGTGTTCCCACCTGGTACAGCCCCAAGCAGCAGGTACAGGCTGTGTCACACACTGTGCTCCTTTGTACTGAGGATGCTGGACTTCTCCAGGGCACGAGCTGGTGCGGCCTGCAGAAGGGTCTGTCCTCAGCTGTCCAGCCAGTTGTCCTTCCCCAGGTGGCTTCCTGGACAATCTCTGACCTGTGCGTCCCTCCCCTCTGTCCCCAGAGCCCAAGGCTGTGTTTGCCAAGGGGCAGCCAGCACACAGTGAGGTGAAGGCCCAGGCGGGGGCCAGCACCACCCTGAGCTGTGAGGTGGCCCAGGCCCAGACAGAGGTGACGTGGTACAAGGATGGGAAGAAGCTGAGCCAGAGCTCCCAGGTGTGCGTGGAGGCCTCAGGCTGCAGGCGGCAGCTGGTGGTGCAGCAGGCGGGTAAGGCGGACGCTGGGGAGTACAGCTGCGAGGCCGGGGGCCAGAGAGTCTCCTTCCGCCTGGACATCACAGGTGAGTTCCTATGGGACACTAAGTTGGCTTGTTTGGAGGTGATGACTGGCTGTACCCATGGCTGACCCAGTGGTCTTTCCACTTGACTTCCCCCAACTGTTTACCCCATCTTCCCCACTCCATGGTCAAGCCTAAGGCTGAGCCGGGGGTCCTGGAAGGGAAGACAGGAAGGACGAGGGCCCTCTGTGCCTCAGAGGCTTGGTCATGACTGGCACCTGCTCAGAGCTGTCCTGATATCCCTCCGGGTCCAGGACTGCGTCTCTACCAGGCTTTCAGTTCTGAGGTAGACCAGCGTCACTCTCCCGGTTGTGAGGGTTGTGACTGAGCTTGAGCTGGAGGTTCTGGCAGCTCCAGAGGCCCACATCCAGCTTCTGATTTCAGTGTCTTTGACCCTGATGAGGGGAAACCCAAGCTCTGGTCATACTAGGAGTTATCTCAGGGTTGACCCACAGGTTATCGTGTCTATGTGTCTGGCCTGCTTCCCTCCTGGCATGTGGATTCAATGTTCTCTGTGTGCCCACTGTGGCATCGTGCAAGTCCACAGTCTGTGGCAACGCCTGTGCTGCATACGCCAGGAGCAGTGATTGGTTGACACACTCCTTAGGCAAACCTCTGAGGCTTGGAGTCTTCTTTTTAGAGCAAATTTTGTTTTTCTCTTTCTTGATTATAGCACTGTGCATCAATGTGCCTCTTAGGAGTTTAATTTGTGAACATGGAAGTGGAACAAGTGTGAAGCTTATGGCACACCTGTGGGTTTTGTTGGAGCTGTGTCACTGCCACAGCAACCTGACTGGCCAGGCAGAGAGTTCTGAGCATTTCTCTGGCGATTCCTGTGTCTAGCTTCACTGCTGACCCCTGAGAGCTCTGGGAACTGGTGTAGTGCCCTGTGTCAGGGTGCACCTGGGGGGCAGGTGCCCTGAGCTGCCGTGTGATGGCTTGGTCCTGTGCCCCGTGTGAGCGGTTGTTGCCATGGGCACCAAACACAGGCTCACTGTGTGTGTTCTTGTCAAGGTATTTGTGACATTTTATGATTTCATGCAAGGAAATTTGAAAAAAATTGACAAATTAGCCAGTTCCTGGAAAAGTACATCAGAACTTACACAAGAAAAAGTAGAGAACTCAAACAATCCTATAGCTTTTTAAAGCAATGGAGTCTAATTTAAAAAATCTCTCAAAAGAGCTAAATTCATTTATCATGGGTAAATTATACCATGTATTTTTGAAATAAACTACTCTGTTCATGATCATCCTTCTAGAGAATAGAAAGGGGATATGTGCCCCCTGACTCACTTTATATAGATGGTATAATACTGACATCAAAATCTGGTGAAGAGTGCATTCAACTTTGCAATCACAGGCTCATCTCAGATGGATACCAGGGCCAAAATCCTGTGCAGAACACTGGCAAACTGCATGGGGCCCATACTGAGAGCACAGTACACACTGGGTGAAGATTGGAATCCAGGACACAAGGTTGTTTATTGATCAGAATATCAACAAATCAGTATGATTATGGCTTGAAGAGACCATGAGAGAAAAGGCATGAGTCTCCTTCAGAAGATAAGAGTGCCGGGTTTCAGTTCATGACTAAAAGGCTCAGGGGTCACTCCAGGGAAACTGGGCTGACTGGACTGCGCAAAATAACCACACAAGAGACACAAATACCTTTTTCATTGAGGTCGCTGTGACAGATCCTCTGACCTTAAGGGTCTGCAGGAAGAGAGAGAGAGAGCACATGCTGACCCCTTTTATTAAGGAGAAGCTATTCAAATGAGGCAAGGGGTCAGGTTTCAGGGGTCTGAGTCTATCTTCATGATGTCCACTGTCAGCAGGTTGACTGACACCTGGGTAGGCCACAGCCAAGGGCACAGTAAGAGAAGGGGACACACATAAGGCACTTCCATGGAAGATTCTATCCTAAACAGGGCAAGGGGTTATATTACAAAGGAACAGATGAGCATAGCTCCACCCATGGGGCTGTAGCAAGACACACCCATGCATGAGACACCGACCCTCGGACCCAAGAAGGGTGGGGAAAGCTCTGTCACATTTCTGCTACTGAGTGCCTCAGCACCCAGCTGGGGAGTATGACTCAGTCAAGTGCAAGATTGGTCTCCCACAATAGAGAATGGAGTGCTCGATAATGTTACAGAAAATATGGCACTGGAGAGAGACAAGCTATGCTTGGAGATGTAAAGAGCAAGATTCTTTCAGCTCCTGTGTGGCTCGACAGAGTCTTCTCCAAAGGCTGAGCTCTCCCCTTTGTTCTCAGCATCTTAATACAAAACAGACTCCTGGGTTTCAAGACTTCCCTCATGCAAATGGCCTTGCTCCCTCCTCGATCTCCCAGCCGCTGCCACAGCTGCTGAGCAAGTCTGATTACAGAAGCAGAGACTTGCAGACTGCAGCTGTTTACACAGAGAGACCCCTCAGGAAGGAGTTGCTGCTGCAGTAGAATTTGACTTCTCGCCTGAGAGACATAGTTTAGTTTTCTTTTGTGTTTAGACCTTCTTAGGCTGGGGTGTGGCTCCATGGTGGAGCACTTGCCTGCGTGTGGGAGGCCTATCAGGTCCCAGCACTGCAGCAAACCCCTGCCCTGGTAAGAAGAGGAGCTTCCTAAGCCCTCTGTGGAGGGCACCACAGCAGCAATCGCCACCCTTTAGCATAACTCTGAGTACTTCCCTTTTAAGGACAACAGGGCCACATGACAGTGTGTCCAGCCTCATGTGGATACTGAGGAGGAATATCAAACAGAGACTGACAGCTTGGGTAAAGTGAGCGTAGATTCCACAGAGGCGGTGGTCAACCCTTCTGTCTGTAGATGGGCTGCAGAGAGTCAGAAAGTAACAGAACTACCATAGCATCCCCAGTACCGTGGTTGTAACTGCATGCAGAGGAAGCATATTTAAGGCCTCAGAGGACAAATTAGTAAGTATGTTAGGGGGACACAGAGGTGACACGAGTCAGTGTTGAGAAACTTGTAGAAGACAGAGAGAAGTCTGCTCCTGATTATCCACAGAGTTCTTTTTCAGGGAGTGTGAAGATTGTCAAGTTGAGTCCAAAGGCCAGGTGGAGACACAGTACCATGAGCAAAGAGAGAACATTCAATCTGTCTAAACCCAGACGTACTCTTCAGCCATAGTACAGAAGACAGCTGGGCACCACAAGGGCATAGAGACAGGGTCAGGAGAACAGCACATGGAGCCCAGAGACCTGAGCATCCTCAGAGCACCTTTTACCATGGCAAGGGTGTGGGGAACAGAAAGAGGATGGCTGCCAGGTGAGTGGTGTGGAGACCTCAGCCACAGGTCTTCATGGAAGAGAATGGAAGTGACGTCTCCCTCTCTCCACACACAGTCATCAATTGGGTGCGTCAGACTCCCACCTGGAGTAGAACCAGCTCTTAGCAGGTGGTGTAGATCGTGTATGACCCCAGGGTAACAGGTTCCTACACAGGACATGATGGCGCTGCCCACAGAGGCAGATCGACATATGTCTCCTGAAAGGAAGGACTATTATTGAAATATGTAATGAGCCCCAGAACAAACATGAAGGAGAGCTCACGCTACTGACTACTGAGTACAAGTCTCAGCAGGGAGACCAAGCACCATTGGCTAGAAAAGGAAAAGCCTCAGCCACATGGGCCTCAGGATAAGGCACAGGAGTGGCCGAACATCACCAGAGGAGAAGCTGTCAGGCTCATAGCAGGCAGGAGCTGGGTGACCCAGCAGAGCTCATGCCCTGCACGGTCCTGGGAGGACTCTTCCTGGTCACTGACGGGCAGGTGCATAATCCCCAGGGAGGAGCCTGTGCAGGGAGCTGTCACAGTGTTCCCACCTGCAACAGCCCCATGCACAGGGGCAGGCTGTGTCACATACTGTGGTCCCTTGTGCTGAGGGTGCTGTGCTTCTACAGGGCACAAGCTAGTGTGGCCTGCAGAAGGGTCTGTCCCCAGCCGTCTAGCCAGATGGCTTTCCTCAGGTGGCTTCCTGCCCTGGACAGAGTCCCTGACCTGTGTGCCCCTCTCCTCTGTCCCCAGAGCCCAAAGTGGTGTTTGCTAAAGAGCAGCTGGCACGCAGCGAGGTGAAGGCCAAGGCGGGGGCGAGTGCCACTCTGAGCTGCGAGGTGGCCCAGGCCCAGACAGAAGTGACATGGTACAAGGATGGGAAGAAGCTGAGCCAGAGCTCCCAGGTGCGCGTGGAGGCCTCTGGCTGCAGGCGGCAGCTGGTGGTGCAGCAGGTGGGCAAGGCAGATGCCGGGGAGTACAGTTGCGAGGCTGGCGGCCAGAGGGTCTCTTTCCGTCTAGATGTCACAGGTGGGTGCTGCTGGGGCTGGGTGAATGGAGGGAGGGTGGTAACTCTAGGGCACCTATGGTAGCCTAGGTTCTGTGAGGCCTATGTCCTTCCTGACCTTGGACCTCAGCATCTGTGGCCCAGCTCTAGGTGGAGTTGGGCACTGGGAATTGTTTGTATCTGGGGAGTGTGTCCTGCAGGGGCAGGCTCCCTCTACCTGCCCGTTCCTATTTGCTGGGCCCAGAGCTCCAGAAGCCCTTGCTTGGGCCCTTTGGAATCCTGCATGTCTATCCCTTCTTGCTTCCTCGTCTCCTCCCCTCCCCACTGTGATCTGTCTCTCAGCCTGGGAAAGTGACACTTTTGGTTGGGAACCTTGCTCCTGATAGCCAGACTGGTGCTGGGCTCTCTCTGGATAGACAGACAGCTGTCTGCTGATTGGCCCACAGTGGCACATAGCTCCCTACAGATTTTTTCCACACTGGCATTGAGCTCTCTGCTGATTTGCTGGCAGTTGGCTGTCTGCTGATTGGTTTACACTGGCACTTGTCTTTCTGCTGATTGGCCCACAGTGGCACTTGGCTGTCTGCTGATTGGTTGGCACTGAGCTCTCTGCTAATTTGCCCCATCTGGTACTGAGCTGTCTGCTAACTGGCCCACACTGTTACTGAGCTCTATGCTGATTGGCTGGCACTTGGCTCTCTGCTGATTGACTTGCACAGGCTCTGAGGTCTCTGCTGATTGGCTAGCACTGGCAGTCTGGTCTCCTGCATTCCTTTGGTAGCTGTGGCCAACAAAGATGTGGGTTTCTGGTTTGGTGCTCAGGTGGACTTACCTTCTGTGTCTGCCTCCCCCTGCTTTTGTGCCCCCTGCATGGTGGGAGAGCTGGGAAGTCACTGATGGGCTGGGGTCCCAGGGAGGAGGAGGGTCATGGTCTATTCCCAATGGCTGGGAGGGTGGTGGCATCAGGAGGTAGGCCTGGCTGTGGTGGCCTTGTGGGCTGTGACAGTGCAGTTACCTGCAGGATCAGGGTGGATCAGGAAGTGCTTAGGGCTCTGATGAGGACAGGCTGCCCAGCTGTCCACCCACCAGCCTTGGAATTTGCAGCTTGGGTCATGCGTAGGATAGAACTTAGGCATGGCCATGCAATATTCTGCTCATGATGGACACTCTGCTCAGCCATCCCTGGGGTGGGCTCAGGCTGTGAGACAGGGCTGGGTCTCTTCTGGAGTCCCTGACCTATGTGTCCTTCCCCTCTGTCCCCAGAGCCCAAGGTGGTGTTTGCTAAAGAGCAGCTGGCACGCAGCGAGGTGAAGGCTGAGATGGGGGCCAGTGCCACCCTGAGCTGCGAGGTGGCCCAGGCCCAGACAGAGGTGACGTGGTACAAGGATGGGAAGAAGCTGAGCCAGAGCTCCCAGGTGCGCGTGGAGGCCTCTGGCTGCAGGCGGCAGCTGGTGGTGCAGCAGGCAGGCAAGGCGGATGCTGGGGAGTACAGCTGTGAGGCCAGGGGCCAGAGGGTCTCCTTCCATCTGGATGTCACAGGTGAGTTCTTGTGGTTCTACCGTCACTGAGTTTGGAGATGAAGGGGAGCCTTGCCAGTGCCCACAGTGACCTGGTGTATTTTCCATCCATGTCCATGTCTGTACGTCTCCTGAACTCACACCTGTGGCTAGGTTACTGGGTGTGAGAGGAAGTGTGTGAAGAGGCCACGGCTGTGTGCTGCACTTGGCGTGTCCACCTGTGATGTCCATCTCATATTCTCAGAACCTGTCCTGACCCAGCAGTGTTAGACTTTTCTGGACTCTGCTCTTCCCTGGTGCTCAGGGCTAAGCCGACTCTCTGGAGTATACCACAGTTCCTCCAGGACTCACCCAGCCCCCTACACGCTCTTCCTGCCAAGAGATATTTGAGTTTGTTGAACCAACCTGGGAAAATCCCAGACACTCAGCCAGATCAGGATTTGACCAATGCTGACATGGGCTCTGGAGGGTCAGTTGTGTAGGTGTTCTGGAACACTCTTCCCTTCTTTCCAAGGACTCGGACATGCTGTCTACCCCTCTGTGGACACATGCTGTGCTACTCACAGGAGAGGTTGGAATCCTGTTTTCAAAGCAATTCATGTTTTGTGTTATTTTATCTCTCTCTCTCTCTCTCTCTCTCTCTCTCTCTCTCTCTCTCTCTCTTTTTGTGGTTCTGGGGCACCTAGGGCCTTGCCTTGATAGACAAGTGCTCTACTCTGAGCTACATCCTCAGCCCCAGTTCCAATATTCTGGACCAGAATTCCCCTTGTTGTTCAACTTAGCAACTTAGAAGTAGAACGTAGTTCTAAAAAAAATGTAGTTCATCAATATAGTGCTTTGGCACAGTTGGTGAGGCCAGGTTACTATCTGGCTAGGCTGTTCTCTTTTCCTGGGGACTCTGTGTCTGGTTCCCTGCTGATTCATGGAGCCTGCTTGTTAGGAGAGTTGAGCTTCCTGTCAGTGTGGGCATAGTCCACAGGGATACCACATAGCATCCCCAACCTGCAACCCCAGATGCTCCCAAGGCAGAGGCTTTGTGCTGACATGACACCACAAGTCATGGGCTCCACATTGCACAGCTTCACTTCATATACAAAATTATTAAAAACACTATATAATCACCTTCGGGCTCAGTGTTTAAGGTCTTCATAAAACATAAATGAATTTTGTGGTTAGCATTGGGTCTCATCCCCAAGAAAGCTCAACATTTGTCTGCAAAGATCTTGAAATCTTTTTTTTTTTTTTTCAATCTGAAATCCAAAGCACTTTTGGCCCAGGCATTTTGGAAAAGGGATTCTCAACCCATATTTGGTCTACATACCAAACCCTGTAATATCTATTTTTGATACATTCTTTTAGTAAGCATATACATTATTTTATGCAACCAGATTTGAAAAGTTTTGATAAATTATCCAGTTTCTTAAAGACTAAATAAAAACTGACCCAAGAAGAAATAGAGAGCTTACATAGTTCTCAGGGCTGTTAACAGTGAAGCCAGGAGGAAAGTGGCTTTTCAAGGGGCAGTAGAAGCCAAGTGGCTCCAGTGGAGAAGTCCCCACATGTTCTGGAAGTGAACTCTCCTGTATCCAGGGAGGTTCCTGTAGAGAATAGAAAGGGGTGCACTTTTAAGTCTCACTTACAGAAGTAGTAACATTGGTACTAACACCAAACCAAAAAAATAGGAGGAATTCATATTTTAGGCCAATCTGTTGTCAGTATCAACTGAACAAAGATTTAGCAGGCTGAATTCAGTAATATATTAAAGAATCAGAATGCTAATGGAATTCTTCATCCAGGGATACATGTCTGCTTAACATTACAAATATCAGGAAATCAACATGAAGCATTATCATATCTGATTGGAAAAAATGTAGTTCACCAATATAAGTGCAGAATAAAGTATTTGATAAAAATTTGACACTGTAAATTCAGAAGAAATGTTTGACAAAATGTATCCTCAATCATGCTATAAAATTCTTTTGTCTTAAGATTTGTAAGGCAGTGCAAAAGGATGTAAGAAGAAGGTTCTTTCTCAATTTAGTAAATAGTATTGTACAAAATTCACAAAGGGAAACCCTGAGAGTGTCTCTGAGAGCAGGAACCTCCCAAGGCAGCAGCTGTCACAGGTGGAGCCGCAGTGCACAGCACGGTTAGGGAGGAGAGGAAACGAGAGGCGTGAAATCAGGAAGAAGTGGAGGTTACAGATGGTATGATTTGTCCAAAAGCTAAACCACTGGCTCAGTAAGATCTGAGACATTGCAAGTGCCATATATAAAAACAATATAAAGTAAGTGTGTCACAGCACACTAGCAATAAGTGATTTGAAAACGACCCCATGAAAGATCTGAAAGAGCTTCAAAAGTGCTGTTAGTAATTTCAAGCCTGATAAAAGACATCAGAGACCCTGTGTGCTTTTTTGAGAGATGACAAAGATATACATAAATGGACAGAAATATGTGGAAGGATCAGGGATGCTCAGTCCCAGTCAACATCTAAGCAAGTGTGTTTTGGGATGGGGTGCAGAGGTGAGCTCACACACAGACTTGTGCAGAGGTGGAGTCCCAGTACCCGGTCTGCATTACCTTTTCCCATTCTGCACACGTGTGAAGAAAGGATGGCTCTTCTGTAACACAAGGTTGTGTGAGCACGGGAGGGTTCCTGTCTCACAACCTGAGAACGAAGTATGCACATAATGCTGGGTGCGAGCTCGGTAGCAGGTTTATTAGAAGCAAGGCCAGCTCCCACAGCATGGGAGGGTCCCCAAGGGCACTGTGGGACCCTCTGTCCAGGAGTCTTCTGTCCAGGAGTCTTTATACTGCTTTGATGAGGAATTAACCTTTGACTGGAGAGTTCACTTGACTGTTGTCTTCCTATGACTCAATTCAGAGTATGCAATTTTAACTTCTTATTCCCACAATGGGATGGTGTAATGTGTTTGTTAACTTGAATGTGTCTTGTTCTCATTCTTTAAAACAGAAGAATTGCCTAGGTTCAGAGCAGCTCCTTGGCATGGACCAATGTTGAGGTCATCAAGAAACCTGGGGGAATAGCAAGAAATGTGGGTTCCAAGCACGAGTAGAGTCTTCCAGTTAGGAGCCCAAACAAAATAGAACCCAAGCCATCAGCTGTAGCCTAGGGTTTGAATCTGGGGTGGTGGGACCCCATTCTCTGAGGTCCAGATTTCTATTTGCCTATGTGTCTCCTGCCTTACTTTGACAAATGGAGCTTTGAACATTTAACCACTTGAAAGAATTAGACCAGTAATTCACAGTTTATAGGGTAAGTTCAAGATGGGTTGGAGAATTCAGTGCAAAAGTCAAACCATAAACATCTGAGATGATGGTGTGTACTTTGTAAGGACCTGAGGAAGGAAAGCTTTCCTGCATAGAACCCAAATGCACTCACCACAAGAGCGAGGTCAATATATTTGATCACATTAGAACTAAATGCACTGACTCATCAGAAGACTCTAGGCACTGTGGAAAGATGGGAAGACGTTGACATCATAGCAGTGGTCAGATCTCAGGCATTCATTATACAAAGAAGCTGAAAGTGAAGGGAAGAGGACACTGCTACTGGGCATGGAGTGGAAACTGTGGACTGACACCCAGGATGAGTACACACTGGTGGCTAACAGGAGTGGCCCAGGCTTCAGAGGAGCTGCCAACATGCTCAGATCAGGAGGAGCTGGGCTCTGCCAGGGCCTTGCCCAGAGCTCATGCCCTGCATGGTCCTGGGGAGACTCTTCCTGGTCATTGACAGGGGGTGTAGTGTCCCTAGGGAGGAGCCTAAGCAGGAACCTGTCAGAGAGTCCCCACCTGGAACAGCCCTATGCAACAGGGGAGGGGGCTGTGTCACACACTGTGGTCCCTTGTGTTGAGGGTGATAGGGCTTCTCCAGGGCATGAGCTAGTGTGGCCTGCAGAGGGTCTGTCCTTAGTTGTCCAGCCAGATGTCTTTCTCCAGGTGGCTTCCTGCCCTGGACAGAGTCCCTGACCTGTGTCCCTCCCTTCTGTACCCAGAGCCCAAGGTGGTGTTTGCCAAAGAGCAGCTGGCACGCAGCGAGGTGAAGACCGAGGCGGGGGCTAGCGCCACTCTGAGCTGCGAGGTGGCCCAGGCCCAGACCGAGGTGACATGGTACAAGGATGGGAAGAAGCTGAGCCAGAGCTCCCAGGTGCGCGTGGAGGCCTCTGGCTGCAGGCGGCAGCTGGTGTTGCAGCAGGCGGGCAAGGCGGACGCTGGGGAGTACAGCTGCGAGGCCGGGGGCCAGAAGGTCTCCTTCCACCTGGACGTCACAGGTGGGTGACGTCCTGCCAGGGCTGGTCAGGACGGATGCTTGCCTGACCAATTGGGGCAATCAGTATTTACCTGCAGGGCTCTCTGGCCTTGTGCATGTTGGGGCCCTTGAGGGACCCCTTCCTGGAGCTTCCAGGTGCTGGAAAGTCCTTGGGTCAGATCACCTAGCCATTTCCGCACATTTCTGGGTCTCCTGCCCAGGTTCCTGTACCTGTCCACCACAACCCTATCATAATTCCTGTGATTGAGGCTGGGGCACAGGAGGTACAGGAAGCTGTTAGGGCCCAGAGTTGGTGGAAAGAGCTCCTCCCCAGCTGGAGTCTCCATCCATGCTAAGGCTCCCTGCATGCTGGGATTCCAGCCTGGCTGTCAGAAGTCTTGGCCCCAATGTCCTCTGCAGATCCTGGCTCTTGTCTCGATCCTGGGGGTCCTGACAGTCCAGCTCTTCTGAGGTGGGCACTGTGGGATGGCACCCTGCCCGCTGCACCTCAGTCTCATTCGCAGCCCCCTTCCCTTTCCTCCATAGCCCCACCCACCCATATGGTCCTCTCTGCACTCTGTGGGCTTGGCATCTATTGAGCACACAGTACCTCTGTCAGAAAGGCTGGCAGGAGTGTCCCTGCAGGCTGACACCCTCCAAAAGACTGCCAGCAGTGTTGATGCAGAGCATCCCACACTAGACGTCTCACTGTGGCAGTCTCTGACCTTGACTGTGCTCCTGACCACTCGCCCACCAGCCACCGACTCTGCAGCCAGTGCTCTATCCAAGTGCTCCAAGGGCAGGATGGGAGGGCCTTCTTGGCCTCCCTGGCCTCCACTGGCCCTCTCCCTTCTGGGGCTCTCTCTGTGTCTCCCAGTGCCTACCTGTCAGTCTCTGCTCTTGGGTTCTGACACCCACACAGTTTCTTTGGGCTGCCTTTGAGGATGCCACCCTCCCTGCAGGTGGGGGAGGCCTGATCTGGACTGCTAGCTGCCCTTTCTCCCTGTGGTATCTGTTTGTGGGTGGATTTCTCTCTGAAGGGCAGGACCTTGGGTACAGAGCTGGTGGCCCCCAACCTGGTAGCAACTCCTTCTGGCCATCCTGTATGACCCTGGGGACCCTAAATGGTGGCCCTTAGGTGCTGGCCCAACAGAGGAAGTGGTTAGGGCTAGTGTGGAGAGTCCTACACCTTCATGTCAACTGACCTCCCCCAGAGCCAGCACCTGAGTCCCAAGCCCTGGAGAGATCTGGCCGCAGGGAGCCTCTGGTGATCAGGGAACATGAGGACATCGTCCTGACAGCCACGCTGGCCACACCCTCTGTGGCGGCAGTGACTTGGCTCAAGGATGGTGTGGAGATTCGGCGCAGCAAGCGGCACCAGGCCACCAGCCTGGGGGACAGGCACACCCTGACAGTCAGAGGAGCCCAGGTGCTTGACAGTGCAGTCTACAGTTGCCGGGTAGGCACGGAGAGTCAGGACTTCCCAGTGCAGGTGGAAGGTGAGCTCCTCCAGGACCACTGGGCCTGCTGCACCCACCTGGTGCAGCCACCCATAGCAGAGCCCCGTGGAGCTCGGGGTACACAAGGTACCTGACGGACATCCCCTTGTGCTTGCAGAGGTGGTTGCCAAGTTCTCTAGGCCTCTGGAGTCCATCACGGGGGATCTGGGTGGCACGGTGACCCTGGCCTGTGAGCTGAGCCCACCACAGGCGGAGGTGCTGTGGTACTGTGGGAGCACGCAGCTGCGGGCGGGCAAGCGCTTCCAGATGGCCGCTGAGGGCACCCTCCGCTTGCTCACGGTGTCGGGCCTGCGTGAGGAAGACGCAGGAGAGTATGTGTGTGAGAGCCGTGATGACCGCACCAGCGCCCAGCTCAGTGTCCGTGGTATGCTAGGTGGGGTGGGGGGTGTAAGCTGGGGATGGTAAGGGGATGGGGCAGTGGGCCACCTTCCAGCAACTTCCCTGAGAAGGTGTGCAAGGGGTGGAGATCTTCACAGAGACACTCCTACCTCCTCAAGCAGACCTTCCCCTGCAGTGCCCCGTGTGGTCAAGTTCACATCTGGGCTGAGCGCTGTGGTTGCAGAAGAGGGCTGCGAGGCCACCTTCCAGTGTGTGGTGTCCCCCAGCGATGCAGTGGTCACGTGGCACCGGGACGGCATCCAGCTGCAGCCCAGTGAGAAGTTCCTCATATCGCAGAGTGGTGCCAGCCGCAGCCTGACCATCTCTAGTGTGGCAATGGAGGATGCAGGCCAGGTCACAGTGGAGTCTGAGGGCGCCGCCTCTTCAGCTGCCCTCCGGGTCAGAGGTGAGCTTGGGAAAGGGACCTGTGGGGCAAGCAGCTCCCTGCCACAGACTCCCCTGCAGGCTGGTTCCAAGGAGCTGTATTGTTCCTGCAGCCAGCTAGTCTGGCTGACCTCAGGGGACACAGAACCTGTCCACCAGGAGGCGGAGGTGACTTGGGTAACATGAGGAGCTGGGCGCCTTCTCCCTAGAAGGAAAGATACCATCCTGCAGATGCATCTGGTGGGGAAGGGCCAACCGAGGTTGAGGCACTCAAGGGAGACTTCCTGGAGGAGTCGGGGCCCAGCTGATCTGGTGATGGGAAGGTGAAGGGAGTGAGGCTGGCAGCTGGTAGAGGCAGAGGCAGGAGACGGGGAAAGCTTTGAGAGCCAGAACTTCACCTGAAATAAAGTGGGAGTCATGGCAGGTTCCTAAGTGGGGGAGTGATGGGGACAAATGCACTGGGGCACTCACAGAGCAGCCTGGGGTGGGGAAGCCTTCTGGAGTCTGCTTTTCATTCCTTTACACAAGCACATGTTCTTGGTTGTAGTAAAGTGCAGGGATTCTAGTGGCTCCGATGGGCACCACCCATTTGCTGGAGACCAGATACTGCTGGCCTTGGGCCACACTTGGTAGTTCCAGGCACTAGGGCATGGCACGGTTGTTCCAAGCTAGGAGGCTGGGCAACGTAGGGACCTGGTGGGGGCAGTGCGGCCATCTGGGCTATGGGTGGGCTGGCCCTGGGTGTCTAGGATGACCTTGGCTCTTGCGCCATCCCAGAGCCCCCCGTGCTGTTCAAGAAGAAGCTGGAGCCGAAGACCGTGGAGGAGCGGACCTCTGTGACGCTGGAGGTGGAGCTGACGCGTCCGTGGCCCGAGGTGAAGTGGACCCGGAACGCCGCAGTCCTGGTGCCAGGGGAGAATGTTGAGATCCAGGCGGAGGGCACACGCCACCGCCTGGTGCTGCGCAGCGTGGGCTTCACCGACCGCGGCTTTTTTGGCTGCGAGACACCAGACGACAAGACGCAGGCCAAGCTCACTGTGGAAAGTGAGTGGCGCTGTGCTGGCTGGGGCCTGGGGCGTCGGGAGGGGCTGGGCGCCACCTTCTCCCGAGGGGCAGGTCCTGGGGTGTGGGCTGCTGGCCGCTGGCCTCTGCTCACCTCTGGCACCTCCTGGGGAAGCTGGTTGTGCCTACACTGGGGTCCCAATGCTGGCTGGTGGAAGGGCAGGGCTCTGGCTACTGCGGACCACTGGCGCCTCTCCTGCATCTCCACAGTGCGCCAGGTCCGGTTGGTTCGGGGCTTACAGGCAGTGGAGGCCAGAGAACAGGGCACAGCTACTATGGAGGTGGAGCTGTCGCATGCTGAAGTGGAGGGTACCTGGACACGCGACGGACTGCGACTGCAGCCAGGGCCTAGGTGCCATGTGGCTGTGCACGGGGCCACGCACATTCTCACACTCTTGGAGCTGCAGCCACAGGACAGTGGGCTAGTGGCCTTCAAGGCAGAGGGCGTGCACACGTCTGCCCAGCTGATGGTCACTGGTGAGTGGGTGGAGGTAGCAGGACCTACTCCAGAGAGGCCTGCCTCCTTCCCCAAGGTGGCCTGGGAGGCAATGGGGACATTGAGGACCAGGATGTATGACTTGAGACAGCCAGAACTCCCTATCACCCGCCTGGGAAGCACCTTCTAGACCATTGATCACCTTCCTCCTATCTTCCCAGAGCTGCCTGTGAGCTTCAGCCGCCCACTGCAGGACATGGTGGCTACCCAGAAAGAGAAGGTGACCCTGGAGTGTGAGCTGTCCCGTCCCAACGTTGATGTGTGCTGGCTGAAGGTGCTTCTCTCCCACTCCTTTATGCCCTCCCTGCCTCTCATCAGTGGCAGCTGCCCTCCACCAGTGCCTGACCAGGCCTCTTGGTTCCACAGGATGGTGTGGAGCTACGGTCAGGCAAGACCATGGGCATAGTGGCCCAGGGTACCTGCAGAAGCCTCATCATCTACCGGTGTGAGATGGGGGACCAGGGCATCTATGTGTGTGACACTGGTGAAGCTCAGAGCTCTGCTTCTCTGAAGGTGCAAGGTGAGGCTTGGACAGGTGGAAAGGGCAGGGCCTAGGGTTGTGAGTGCCTCCTTGTGCACCTGCAGCCTGCAGCCAGGTGCTTGGCTGCCTGTGCCCTTAGCTCTCAGCAAACTGGAGCCCTGGGTGGGAGCACCAGGATGGCCACTGTACCTGCAGGCATGGCTGGGTCTTGCTCCCTCCTCAGGCCGCAGTGTCCAGATTGTGCGGCCCCTGGAGGACGTGGAGGTGATGGAGAAGGAAGGTGCCAGTTTCTCCTGTGAAGTCTCCCATGACGAGGTGCCTGGCCAGTGGTTCCGAGAGGGGATTAAGTTGCGGCCCAGTGACACTGTGCGTATTCGCCAGGAAGGTGCGTGTGGGGCAGGCTGGCTGCAGGTGGGGTGGACCCGCCCCCAGGCTGCTCCCTTCATTCCAGGGCTGGGGGCTTTTGTCCCTAGGAAAGACATACACTCTCATCTACCGGAGGGTCCTGGCAGAAGATGCAGGGGAGATCAAATTTGTAGCAGAAAATGCAGAATCGCGAGCCCACCTCCGAGTGAAAGGTGAGTGGAGTGTGGAGGGGAGGGACTGGGGTGTGGGGGTGTATGGGGTATGTGATAGCCCCGCCATCCAGACCAGACCGCTTGCTGGGACTGGGACAGTAGTGGTCAGGAGGAGGAACAGGAGTGTCACATCTTTCACAGGAAGATGTGGTCGCAGAGGGAGGAGCAACCTAGGGGGTGTGAGGACTCAGGGTCTCAGTGAACTCTCCCTCCTTGGGTTGCAGCCATCACTGGAGAGGAGGGTGTGCACTCCAGCAGGTGGCAATGCAGCCTGCCAGGGCAGGAGAGGTGGGAGGGTCTGAGGTTGTGGGTGGGGGTAAGCGCAGGGTGGGGGCATGTGGGATGGGGCTTTGGCACTGGGACTGTGGTGTGTGGAGCTGGACATGCACATTCAGGGTACACATCAGCTGTGATGTGAGAGGCGTGGTGGGGGGCACGATCACGGTGCCAGTGGTTTGTGGCACACAGCTGGTCCTAGACCAGCCTGGATGGGGACAATCTGGCCCCTGCTGCCTCAGGTGTAAGTGCACAGGCTGTTGGGGGTAGCATCCAGTCCTTCAGCAGCCCTGCTGGGGGAGCCTGTTGCCAAAGTGCTCATGGTTGGGTCCTGAACCCACTGGCTACACCCCGCAGAGTTGCCAGTGACCCTCCTCCGCCCGCTGAGGGACAAGATTGCCATGGAGAAGCACCGCGGAGTGCTCGAGTGCCAGGTGTCCAGGGCCAGTGCACAGGTGCGGTGGTTTAAGGGTGGCAAGGAGCTGCAGCCTGGATCCAAGTATGAGATGGTCAGCGATGGCCTCTACCGCAAGCTGGTCATCAACGACGTGCAGCCAGAGGACGAGGACTCTTACACATGCGATGCTGGAGATGTCAAGACCAGTGCCCAGTTCTTTGTAGAAGGTGTGTTCCAGGCCAGCGGCAGCTCTCAGGTTCTTAGGGGTGGCTGTGGTTCCCAAGATATGTACTGGAAGTCCTGGAGGTGGCCCAACTGGGGACATCCAGGCAGCTGGATGTGGACACAGGAAGTTGTGGGTGCAGAGGGAGGAGCAACCTAGGGGATGTGAAGACTCGGGGTGTCAGCGCACTGTGGGGAAGGTTTGTGTTCAGGAAGGACCTCAGAGCCTGCGGGGGTGGACAGGTCCAGCCTCCAGGTCCACCGTGACTACCTCCTCTCCCACAGAGCAGTCCATCACCATCATACGGGGCCTGCAGGATGTGACCGTGATGGAGCCTGCTCCTGCCTGGTTCGAGTGTGAGACTTCCATTCCCTCAGTGAGGCCACCCAAGTGGCTTCTGGGCAAGACTGTGCTGCAGGCGGGGGCGAACGTGGGCCTGGAGCAGGAGGGCACAGTGCACCGGCTGACCCTGCGGAGGACCTGCTCCACTATGACTGGGCCTGTGCACTTCACCATTGGCAAGTCCCGCTCCTCTGCCCGCCTGGTTGTCTCAGGTGAGCTGAGGTGGGCACGGCTCAGGCCTCCAGTGGGCCTGGCTCAGGTGGTGGGTAGTTATGGCCTGGGCTCACAAGGTGGGGTGTGTGGGGATACACAGGACAAGGTGGGCAGGATGTATGTAAGGGCTGGGCACACCATGGTGCTTGTGGTACCTGGGCCCGGGGTGGCGGGTGGACACAGCTCAGTGATTTGTTGGGGGAAGGATCAGGGCATGGGAGATTTTGGCTGGAGCTGGTGCAGGGTTGGGAACCAGTGGTCAGAGGCCTGCAGAGCAGGGTGGAAGTGCTGGGGCAGGGCAGGGCAGGATGTGTGGGGCCAGGGCATGCATGGGTAGGTGTGTGGGGTGCGGGGTATCTTGGGGACAGGGAGGGGTGTGTGGAGCAGAGTGGGGCAGGAGAGGAGGGGCAGGTCATGATGTGCAGGGCAGAACGTGGACTCAGTGGTGTGGGTAGAAGACGACAGAAGAATATAGCTCAGACCCAGGGCACCCAGTCCTGTGGCCCCACAGCCCTGCCTTATTCGCTGTAGACATCCCGGTGGTGCTGACCCGGCCACTGGAGCCCAAGGCCGGGCGTGAGCTGCAGTCGGTGGTCCTGTCCTGTGACTTCAGGCCGGCCCCTAAGGCCGTGCAGTGGTATAAGGAGGACACACCGCTGGCCCCGTCAGACAAATACAAGATGATGCTGGAGGGCCAGATGGCAGAGCTGCGCATTCTCCGGCTCACCCCTGCTGATGCTGGCACCTACCGGTGCCAGGCAGGCAATGCTCAGAGCAGTGCTGAGGTCACTGTGGAAGGTAGGACATGAGGTGGGCAGGCCATGGGAGGGCCTGGGGTGGGCTGTTGCTGTGGGCAGCACTAAGGCCCGGTGTGTGCCTTCTAGCTCGGGACGTGGCAGTGACTCAGCCGCTGCAGGATGCTGAGGCCACCGAGGAGGAGCGGGTGTGCCTCTCATGTGAGCTGTCCCGCGAGGATGAGGAGGTGGAGTGGTCGCTCAACGGCACACCCCTGTACAACGACAGCTTCCACGAGATCAGCCATGAGGGCCGCCGCCACACACTGGTGCTGAAGAGCGTCCGGCGGGCTGATGCAGGCACCGTGCGCGCCAGCTCCCCCAAGGTGTCCACTACTGCCTGCCTGGTTGTCCGAGGTGAGCTGTGCTTGTGGGGTCTTCGGGTCCCCTCCGTTCACGGACAGGTACCAGGCTTCCCTCACCAGCCCCATCTTCCCTGCAGCCAAGCCAGTGGTGTTCCTGAAAGCACTGGATGATGTGTCCGTAGAGGAGTGTGGTACGCTGGCCCTGCAGTGCGAAGTGTCAGACCCCGAGGCCCGTGTGGTTTGGCGCAAAGATGGCGTGGAACTTGGTCCCAGCAACAAGTATGACTTCCTGCACACGGCGGGCACACGGGGCCTCGTGGTGCATGACCTGAGCCACGAGGATGCTGGCCTGTACACCTGCCATGTGGGCAGTGAGGAGACCCGGGCCCGGGTCAGCGTGCATGGTGCGTGGCCAAGGGCTGGCCAAGGTGGGGTGTGGGAAGGGTCGGCACATGGTGGTCTTTCTGCATCCCAAGAGGCCCATGCTGCTCTCCAAGACCCCGGGGCTGCTTTGCAGAGCTGGGAGAAGTCGGGAGCTCCCACAGTGGCTGGTGCTTGCGGAGGTCCTGTGAGGTCCCAGAGTGGACAGGCAGGGGGATGGGAGACTCTCTGGACGTGCCTGGGGGCTGAGGTGGGCAGAGACATTGCTTTGTGCTGCAGGAGCAGGTTTCTGAGCAGAAACCAAGAATTCAGGGTCCGAGCAGGGCCTGCCTAGGAAGGGCTCCCTGGCCAAGGGCAAAGCCTGGTCATGCAGTGAGGGCAGCTGCACACAGATGACATACACTTCCCTTCTTAAGGAGCCAGACCCAACCCTGGACCCTGAACTCTTGGGTCTTTTGAGTGCATCCTTTTCAGCCAGGGTTGGGTTCCAACTGCAAGGCCAGCACCCCCTATCCAGGTTCAGCGTCTGGTCATCCTGAACTCAGTCCCTAACATATTCTGTTTCCACGGTGTGTGGTTGGCAGGCCCACTAGTTACTGATCTTGTGGCTGCTGGCCCAGGTTAGCCTTGGTGGTTTCTGATGAGACAGGAAAGGAGAGGGGGGTGGAGTGTTTGTCACAGAGTGGGGCTCACGCTGTCTGAAGACTCTTCTCCTGAGGCTCCTGTCCTTTTTCCCTTGGGGTTTGTGAGTGGTGGGAAATGTGGGTGGTCCTTGCTTCCCCTTCTTTGGAGCTCATAGCCACTGGCTACACAGGCACCAGGACATGGCCAGCCCCAGGCCAAGGGTGCATCATGATTTGGTGATCATGCCCTGCATGGGTCCTGGGCCTGGGGGCAGGGGGCCAGCCCACCTGCTGGGGCTAGCCCTGCCTGGGGTCTTTCATGGGCAGTGCTGCTGGTGTCTGGCTCTGGCCTGAGGAATCTCTGTGGCTTGCAGACCTGCACGTGGGCATCACCAAGAGGCTGAAGACAGTGGAGGTGCTGGAGGGGGACAGCTGCAGCTTCGAGTGCGTCCTGTCCCACGAGAGTGCAGGCGACCTGGCCATGTGGACTGTTGGTGGGAAGACAGTGGGCAGCTCTGGCCACTTCCGGGCAGCACGCCAGGGCCGCAAATACACCCTGACCATCCAAGAAGCTGCGCTCAGCGATGCTGGGGAAGTGGTCTTCTCTGTGCGGGGTCTCACCTCTAAGGCCTCACTTGTCGTAAAAGGTGAGTGTGATGAACCCAGCTGGGGACTTGTCACCAGAGGCCCCCAGGCTGCTGAGCCTGAGACCCTCTCCAGGTGGCCAGGAGTGGTTGAGGGACTGACCCCAGCCCTCAGTGAGCTTTCCTTTAAAGGATGTGGGGGCATAGAGGCACCTGCTGGATCTGGGAGAGATTCTGGCCCTCTGAGGGGGTCACTCTGAGCGAGTGTCCCTGGGCCAGGCCCAGGGTTCGGGTCTTAATCTGACTGCTCCCCTGGCTGGGGTTCCCAATGCACATGGCTCACCCTACCATCCCGCAACTCTTGAGCCAGGGCCACAGGGTCTATGCTTGGCTGGGAGGTTCCCAGATGTCTGGGCCTGTGCTCTTGGTGTACATGCCTGGTGCACACTGCAGGCTCAGTGTTGAGTTTCAGGAGTGGCCTGAGCACTGCTGTGCTGGGTGCTTTCCCCTGGTGGCCAGGGCTCCTGGCAAGTCAGTGTTGGAGGCTCCTGGGGCCTAGGGTCCAAGCTCTGTGGTGTTGGTCTTGAGATGGATGCTCCCAATGCCCACCCCTGCCCCTGCCTCTGGCTGAGCATGTCTGTGCTTCCTGGGTAGACACCTTTGCTCCCTTCAGAGAGGCCAGTGGACATCACGAAGCCCCTAGAAGACCAGCAGGCCACGCTGGGGGAGGATGTGGTGCTCACTTGTGAGCTGTCGAGGGCAGGCACTCCTGTGCGCTGGCTGAAGGATGGGAAGGCCATCCGTGAGAGTCAGAAGTACAAGCTGCTCCGCGAAGGCACGCAGGCTGTGCTGGTCGTCCATGGAGCCTCTCTCAAGGACTCTGGCACATACACGTGTGAGACGGACGCTTCCAAGAGCACAGCCAGACTCCGTGTGGATGGTGAGTGCCCACACGGCCCCACAGCAGCTCTCCCTTGGCATGCCCAGGACCCCTGCCTCAGAGCAGGGGAGGTCTCTCTCTCAGGGCTCTGCTTCCACGGCCGGCCGGAGGGACAAGGCTGGCTTGGGATGTATGCAAGCTTTACACTCACCTCTTCTGTCTTCTCTCCCAGAAAAGGCCAACAGGTTTACAGAGGAGCTGGTTGACCTGCAGGTGGAGGAGAAGGGCACGGCCGTGTTCGAGTGCAAGACGGAGCTCCCAGCATCCACCGTGACGTGGCGCAAGGGCCTCAAAGAGCTGCGGGCCTCGGGAAAGCACATGTTGAGCCAGGAGGGCTTGGCCCTGCGGCTCACCATCCGCACCCTGGAGAAGACGGACAGTGACACCTACACCTGTGACATTGGGCAGGCCCAGTCCCAGGCCCGGCTCCTGGTGCAAGGTGAGTGGCTGGTGCAGCCACAGTGCTCACGTGTGCCCTGGCTTTCAGCACCTCGGGGGCTCAGGTGGGCCTTATTGAAACTGACCCTAGAGGCTCTGCTTGGCCTGCCCAGCCTCTCCATCTCTGAGGTAGAGGGGATGAGCTGGGGGCCTCTGGGGTGCTCCCTGTGCCTTTCAGTGGGTGAGTCGATGGCTTCTTCCCCTGGAGCCATCCTTGCCTGCTGCACGTTCCTCCAGGGCTCAGGCGCACTCTGCTCTGGGCCTGCACACCTTTTTTCCTCTCCCTGCCCACCAGAAGGGCAACCTGACCCAGATGCTGACAGCAGGGAGCCCAGGTGTTCCCAGGGTGGAGCTGTTAGTGTGTCTGTGACAGTAGATGTCTAAACAGGTGGAGGGAGATTCTCCAAAGAATAATGATGTCACTCGGAAGAGTGGAGAGTTGCAGGGCTATGGTAAACTAAACGTGTGCCAGGGAAGCTAAGGCCAGGGGAAGGCTTTGGGGCACAGCAGGGAGATAGCCAGGTCCAGAGTTGGTGGCCTTGGAGACCCCATGCAGGTGCTGGTTTCTGCGTAGGTGGAGGCCACTGCTGTGCAGGTGTTCTGTCAGAGGTCTGGTTTGCAGTGCTGTGGTCTGAAGGAATGGAGCGACTTCTGCTCCTGAGCTGCTGGGTGTGAGGTGTAGGACTGGGAGGTGTTGAGAATGTGCCCATCTGAGATGGGCAGGCGGAGCCTTCCCTGGGGAAACTTCCACCTCTGGTTTTGCCAGGGTCTCAAGGAGCGTTTCTCCTGGATAATGGCCTTTCACAGTGGTTGTGAGGGCTTGTTTGCATCTGGTGTACTGGGTGAGAGCCACCATTTTTCTTGCTTTGCAGACAGGTAAATTGGAACTAAAAGGGTCTGTGGTGGCCTGGGGTTGCAGGATGTACCACCAGCATCAGGACAAGTGCGTCCCAGCCCTCCCGACCATCCTTCACCTGGCCCTGGCATCTTGGGCTGGCATCCAGGGCCAAGTTTGCTAGAAGTTCTTTCTGGGTCTATCTTCTGGGGATGGCAGAATGGTGTCGAGAGCCTTGCAGACCTGAGCTGGGAGATGGGACTGGGACTCAGAAGTCACCCTGAGTCAGAGTGTTCTGCACTGTTCAGCTCCCACGTGCATCCTGTTGTCAACCCTGACTGGCTAACCAGTCACTTGCTTGCTGCTGGGAGCCCTCCTTGGGTCTGGAGAGAGCCAGACTTCCCTGGGCAGCAGGCCCTGATGGCTGTCTGTGCCCTGCAGGGCAGAGGGTGCTCATCACGGAGGAACTGCAGGACATGGAAGTGCACGAGGGCTCCTCAGCCACATTCTGCTGCCGTGTTGCCCCTGCTGACCACGGGCCTGTGCGCTGGTTCCTGGACGAGACACCCTTGCATGCCAATGAGCTCAATGAAATCGTGGTCCAGCCTGGGGGGTACCATGTGCTCACCCTGCGGCAGCTGGCGCTCAAGGACTCGGGTACTATCTACTTTGAGGCGGGTGACCAGAGGACCTCGGCCACCCTGCGGGTCACTGGTAGGTTTTGTACCTCAAGGCCAGGGCCATTTGGGGTGGGGATGTCATACTGTTCATGCTGCTCAGGGTACAGCTTTGAGGAGGGTGGGCAGCAGCTCAGGTGACAGCTGGGTCATGTCTGAGCGTGGGTGCAGACTCATGGTGACGTGAGACTAGCTGTCCTCAGCATGGGGATCCTAGGAAGGCAGGTGTGTGCACTGGGGCTGTTTGGGATGAACGCCCCTCGGTAATGCTCAGAATCGTGGTCAGCATGTCTCAAGGTGACCTGCTCCCTGCCAGGGCGAGAGCCACACAAAGCCCACCCTGTCCCCTCAGCATTCCCGTCTGTGGCTGCAGCCCGAGGCAGCGGCAGACATGGACAGGATGATGACCATCTGCAGCAGGGGCCCCTCTTGCAGCAACACCACAGCCCCAGGGACCCTTGGCTCCTTTCTCTTCCCCCAGAGAAGCCGAGCATCTTTTCCCGGGAGCTCACAGATGCCACAATCACAGAAGGCGAGGACTTGACCCTCATGTGTGAGACCACTGCTCCTGACACCCCCGTGCACTGGACCAAGGATGGGAAGATGCTGCGGCCATCTGCCCGGTGCCAGCTGAGCTACAAGGGCTGCTGTGCCCAGCTGGTCATCGCAGGTGCCACTCCGCAGGATGGTGGTCGATATAAGTGTGAGGCTGGCGGGGCCTGGAGCAGCTCCATTGTCAGGGTCCAAGGTGAGCTCAGTGCCTGTGGCTCCCAGTCTACCTGGCAGGCAAGGGCTGGGGTGCATGGGTGTCCATGTTGGTGGGTGGCCTGAACTGCATGGCTGCCCTCCTGCTGCTGACCTGCCTCACTCCTGGCTCCCTGGCTTTCTGGCCCCTTGGCTGGCCTCAGATTGCTTGGGCTGCCCCATCCTGGGCAGATGGGAACCAGGACCTCACCTCCCGGCCTGGAGGCTTAGGGTCTTGAGGTCGTAGGTCGCAGGGCTGGTGCCTTCTGAAGCCACCCGCCTGCATGTTCTGTGTGTGTCTGGAATTAGGGTCCACTTCTAATTATCTGCCTCCCACACTGTGTCTGGAGGTCCTGGGTCAGGCTCCGGCGCCCGTTTCTTGGGGCATGCTGGTCTGCCGCAGGTCTGCCGTGTGCCTGTCCTGCTGGCCTGCCTCCTGTGACCCTTCAGGAGTGCGGCAGCAGGGCTGGGACCACTCCCACCCTGGCTGAGAACCTCGTGGCTGGGGGTTCCTGCTCAGGGAGGTGAGCAGAGCATGTCTCTCCGCAGCTCGGCCGGTTAGGTTCCGGGAGGCGCTGAGGGACTTGGAGCTGCCGGAGGGTGGTGCCGCCACGCTGCGCTGTGTGCTCTCCTCGGTGGCGGCGCCCGTGGAATGGCGCCACGGGGAAGATGTCCTGAGGTCCAGCAGCAAGTACAGCCTGCGCCAGGAGGGTGCTGTGCTGGAGCTGGTCATCCGGGACCTGCAGCCCCAGGACGGGGGCAAGTATTCCTGCTCCTTCGGGGACCAGACGACCTCAGCAACACTCTCTGTGAAGGGTGAGCACCTCTGCCTGTCTGCTTGCCCACATAGCCTGACTGGCTGCTTGACACTGTAGAACAAAGTGATGTTCTCTGTGTCTTTGGTCCCCTCAGCCCTGTCTGCCCAGTTCATAGGAAAACTGAGAAATAAGGAGGCCACGGAAGGGGCCACGGCCACGCTGCGCTGCGAGCTGAGCAAGGCGGCCCTTGTGGAGTGGAGGAAGGGGACAGAGCCCCTCACAGATGGGGACAGACTGAGCCTGAGGCAGGAGGGGGCTGTGTGTGAGCTGCAGATCCAGGGCCTGGCAGAAGAGGATGCTGGGGAGTATTCGTGTGTGTGTGGGCAGGAGAGGACCTCGGCCACTCTGACCGTCAGGGGTAAGGACCACTGTGGCTATGCAGGCGGGTCTTGGTACCAAGTATGGACCCACTCTCCATCAGCTTGTCCCTTTCCCTCCCGTCTGTGCCACCCTCCTCTTGTAGACCACAGGGTCCTTCCTGCTTCCTGGGCTGTCGTGAACCAGGAGACTCCAGTGGCCATGGCCAGTGTCCCTGATGTCACTGTGGCCTCCCCTGTTACCCTGCTGGCTCGTCTTGTCCTTTGTCTGGTCACGTGCTGTCTCCCAACATCACAGTGAACCTGAGGCCCTGTGTTTTCTGACCCTCCCCAGCTCTGCCCGCCCACTTCGTAGGAAGACTGAGGAGTAGGGAGGCCACGGAAGGGGCCACGGCCACGCTGCGCTGCGAGCTGAGCAAGGCGGCCCCCGTGGATTGGAGGAAGGGGACAGAGTCCCTCACAGACGGGGACAGAATGAGCCTGAGGCAGGAGGGGGCTGTGTGTGAGCTGCAGATCCAGGGCCTGGTTGAGGAGGACGGCGGAGAGTACTCGTGTGTGTGTGGGCAGGAGAGGACCTCGGCCACGCTGACCGTCAGGGGTAAGGACCATGTGTGTCCTCAGGCACTGGCTGCTGTGTGTCTGAAGACAATCTCAGGTTCCCTGTGTGCTGTGTCTGCTGTGTCCTCCGCTGCTGTGTGCTCTCAGGCTTCTCTCACACTTGCACTGTGGGGCCTGGCTCAGACCCAGAGCAGCAGAGAGTGGGCTTTTCCCGGCCCCGTGGGTCACAGCCTGAGATGGAGAATGTGGGTGAGGCCAAAGCATTAAGATGGCGCAGGAGGCCTTCAAGGGGTGCACGCTGGAGAAGGTGTGGGCGGGAGACAGAGGAGGAGCAAGTGGAGGGGACTCTTACAGGTTTCCCTCCAGCCAGGGCAGCTGCCTGCACTGGGGCCGTCTGATGGGCAGGTGAGGGCCCCAGTGTCTGTTCAGTGTGGCGGGAAGGATCTCCCTCAGCTGTGAGGGGCCTCTCACCCAGGATGCTGCTGTCTCTGCTCCCATGTCAAGAGTCAGGAAGGGACTCCTGGGGCAGTAAAGTGTATTGTGGGGCGGGGCATGGCCATCTGTTCACCTCCACCTATAGTGGAGGCCCCACTATGTGCACAGATGTTGGTGACCTCTGTGGAGAGGCCCCAGTGCCATGACATGTTGGAGCATGGACGGAACGTGTTCCTGCACAGAGGTAGACCCCGGTGTGACAGAAGCATGTGCACACCAAAGCCCACCGTGTTGCTGCAGGACGTTGGAGGGAGGCCACCGGGAAGATGCTCCCTCCCTCGACTCAGGGAGCGCTGCCTGTGGCTGGGAAGTGGGACCCTGCTGACCACCTGAGAGCTAATTCCAGAACTGGGTGTGGCCCAGGAAGGACCAGAGGTGCACAGCCCACCTGGGCCCTTCCAGAGAGTGCTTCACTTTCTAGGATGCCCCGAGGCACTGTTGCCCTGAAGCCCCTGGGGCGGACGGACCTGGGCTGGTGGCTGGAGGGCTCCAGGAGCCAAGCTGTCCTCCCTTCTCTGTGGGGGCTACCCATGTGCTGCCGTGGATGGGCCGTTGTTCAGTTGTGGGTTATCTCGTCAATTCTGCTGTGGAGGCGAGCTTGCTGGCACTGTGAACAATGGACATGGACCCTGTGGCTGTATGCTCCAGGGTGACAGTTCCAGGAGGAGAGTGGGGGCTTCTCTCCCTGGCCAGGGTGCTCCTTTTCTTGGTTTGCTCTGGAAGATGGAGTCGGGTGTGATTATGGGAGGGTTTCAGGCAGGCTGTTGATGTCTCCAGCCATCTATCAAGATCAGAGAACAGCTGTTACAGAGACCTTCAGAGAAGTTGTGGCCAGGTGTGGTTTGAATGCAGCTGCTGGCCAGGCTAGGCCCTTCAATCTGGTGCTGTACAGAATCTGAGCTGGGCCAGGCCACAGAGGACACTGTGGAGGAGCATGACCCTTTCAACCCATGTTCCTGCCCATCCGTCTGGGCCCTGTGACCTTCTGTGGGCCTGTCCTCATGCTGAGGCCCTCTTCCACATCTCACTGGCCTCCACATGAATGGACAGCCAGTCTGCTGTCCGACCCCCTGGGCTGCCTGTGTCTGGTGCTTCTATAACTGTTTCCAGGTTGTCTCCCTTGCTGAGTGCCGTGTCTTACCCCACGTGTTCTGCAGAGACCCTGGTGTTCTTTGTGGACTCCTCAGGCCAGTCCCGTTCATGCCAGGCATGAGGTCCATGGATGCTTGGAATAGACCCTGGCTGGGAAGCATGTGGGCAAGACCACGGGAAGCCTCAGCCCACAGATGGTGCTGAGCAGCCCAGCACCGGACATGTCCAGCTGGGCTCACGTCCTCTCTGTACTGTCTGTGTCCTGTCTCTTCTGTGCACTCAAAGAGCATAATTGCATCCATGTCTTTCTGGCCCCCAGCCCTGCCTGCCAGGTTCACAGAGGGTCTGAGGAATGAGGAGGCCGTGGAAGGGGCCATGGCCACTCTGCGGTGTGAGCTGAGCAAAGAAACAGCAGTGGTGTGGAGGAAAGGAACAGAGACCCTCAGGGAAGGCCACAGACACAGCCTGCGACAGGAGGGAGCCTTGTGTGAGCTGCAGATCCGGGGCCTGGTTCTGGAAGATGCTGGGGAGTACTCCTGCATGTGTGGGCAGGAGAGGACCTCGGCCATGCTGACCATCAGGGGTAAAGAATGTGTCTTCATGGGTTGTGGCTTGGCATCTTTGTGTCGTCCACTGCCACTTTCTGCTCCATTTGTAGTACTGCTCCTGCATGGTCTGTGGCCCTGTCCTCTGCCTGGGGTCCTCCTGCTCTTGTTCATGTGCTGTGTTGTCCTCCCCACTGCCCATTTCCCTCCACATCTGTACATTAGTTCACCATCCACACTGTGTGGCTATGTGTGTGGTTCTTTGTGGATCACATGTGCCTTTGGAGTCCTCCAGACTGCCCCATGTTCTCAGTGATCGCTTGGCCCTCCCCAGCCTTGCCTGCCAGATTCATAGGAGTGAGAAGCCAAGAGGCCACAGAAAGGTCCATGGCCACTCTGCGGTGTGAGCTGAGCAAGGTTGCCCCTGTGGAGTGGAGGAAGGGGTCTGAGACCCTCAGGGATGGGGACCTGTACAGGCTGAGGCAGGAGGGGGCCACGTGTGAGCTGCAGATCCAGGGCCTGACTATGGCAGTGGCTGGGGAGTACTCGTGCATGTGAGGGCAGGAGAGGACCTCGGCCACGCTGACCGTGAAGGGTCATGGCCACTGTGGCTTCCCCGTGCCTCCTGTCTCCTGTCTCCTTATCAGGTGGTCTGTGTCTTCCCTGTGTCTCTTGATGATGTCCTCTGATTCCCTGCCAGCCTTCTGGGTGGTCCCTCCCAGGTGTGCACCAGGGATGTCCTGGGCCAGAGTCAGAGTGGACTCCAGGGGTGCCGGGCAGAGACCCGGGGAGCAGTAGTGAAGGGCTGGTGCCTTGGTCCACTCAGGCTGCTCTAAGGAGGTGCCACAGACTGGGTGGCTCAGAGGACAGGGTCATGTCTCTCCCAGCTCTGGAGGCCATCATCCATCACAGCTTCTCAGCAGGGCTGGTCCCTCCTGAGGCCACTCCAGGGCTTGCAGATGCCATCTTTCCCCCTGTGTCCTCATCTCTTCCTCTATGGGTATTGGTCACCCTGGATTTGGGCCACCTGATGACCTTCTTCCTCCTTGAACAGTCATGTTCTGAGATGCCAGGTTAGGATTCCAACCTGTGGCACCCACCAGTGACCCTAGGGTTCAGGTCCTTCTCACATGCAAAATACACTGAGTTAGCCCCACCCAGCATCAGACCTTGTCTAGTCTCGTCTGAATGTCCCCAGGTTGAGACTGGATTCCAGCTCACCTCAGGGCAGAGTTCCTCCCTGGCTGTGACTAGAGCCAGGCAAGGCACATGCTTCCAAAGTGTGGTGGGCCCAGTGTGGGACAGACCCTCAGAGGAGCAGGAACAAGGATGTGGGTCACAAGTCCAGATAGTCGGGAACAGTAGAACCAAGCTCCCTGGATTTCAAGGCTGGACAGCACTCTGCTTTGACTTGGTGCTCTGTCCTGCAAACCTACCAAGGTTGAAGTCTGCCCCCAGCCTGAGTGGAGCTGGCTGGTCCTCTGAAACCGAGCAGGGGACAGCCTCGTGCTCTTCCAGGCATGTGGCAGTGGTACTCCTGCCACTCTGACCAACTTCATGGCCGTCTTTTGCTTGAGGGGAAGCCCATGTGTGTGGCTAGTGGCTGTGCTCATCCTGTGGCAGCGTCCTTCATCTCACTTGACTGCTGTCCCTGCAGTCCACGCTGCCAGCATTCCTGCTGCTATAACGTTTTCAGCCAGGCATGGTGATCCACGCCTGTAATCTGAGTGACACAGGAACCTGCGGCAGGAGGACAGAAAGTTTGAGGCCAGTCTCGGCAACTTAGTGAGGCCCTAAGCAATTTAGCAGGACCCTGTCTCATATAAAAACTCAAAAGGGCCAGGGATGTGGCGTGGTGGTAGAGCACCCTGGGTCCCATCTCCAGTCTCCAACCACGTGTGTATCTTCAGGACCTCTGTTCTGCCTCGAGGTTGGCGAGTGTCACACCTCTGGCACGCGTGTCCTGCGCAGGGCTTTACTGTTACCCTTGGCAGTCTTGGCTCCCAGGGAGGAGCTGCCTGGTCACCAGCCACCCGTGAGTCCCCTTAGCAGGTGCTCAGCCATGCCTGACGCTCTCAGGGCATCTCCCACTCTCTTCACTGTGGATCCAGGTGTTTTCTAAGTCTTCGGGGCTGGTTCCTTGTTGATGGACAGTTCTGCCTTCTCACGCTCTCCTGTGAGCCATAGGGAGACAGCAGGCCATCCCTGCCACACTTGGCTTAGCTGTCTCCCAGCTGGACATCCATCTGGTCCTGCTGTTTCCCACTGTTGCCCTCCACAGAACACTGGAGCACAATCTGGCCACTTCTGTGCCACTTCATAGCCAGGATCAGCTTTCTTCCACTCCCCAGGAGTGTTTCCCTGTGTCCATCTAGTCCTGGCCAGAAGCACTGTTAGTGTCTATATTCCCTCTGTCAGGCTCTTTCTGGCCAGCTGGGCTTTTTCTAGCATATACCTCAAAAGTCTTCCAGTCTCTGGCTGCCATCCAGCTCCAAAGCTGTTTGTAGTTCTTGTGGGACCTGCTGACAGTGTGGCTGGAGCCTGCAGTGAGAATCCCACTTGTGAGGCAGGGAGGCTCACAACTGGGAGCGGCCTCCCACAGGGTCCAGGGAGAGGGGTAACCGCGTGGTACAGACGTGAGCTCACAGCTCTAGGCACCTGGTGTGCTTCCCAGCAATGAAAAGTTGTGGGTGGGCAAGATGCCCTTGAAGGAGGACCTGGAACGGAGCCCTGCTCCCAGCCACCTGCGCGTGCAGGACCTCACTCAGACCCTCACAGATCTCCCACTCCTGTGACCCTCCAGCCGTCCTGCTTTATTTTCCTTCCTTGATGTTCGGGTCTTGACCTCAGAACCTGCAGAAGGTTTGATGGCCTCTGTCCATGTGATCCTTCCTAGCCTTGCCTGCACGATTCACTGAAAATCTGAAGTCCAGGGAGGCCATGGAAGGGACCACGGCCACACTGAGGTGTGAACTCAGCAAAGAGGCCCCTGTGGAGTGGAGGAAGGGTGTGAAGACCCTCACCAGTGGGGACAGACTCCGCCTGAGGCAGGACGGGGCTGTGTGTGAGCTGCAGATCTCCGGCCTGGCCACAACTGATGCTGGGGAGTACTCGTGCGTGTGCGGGGAAGAGAAGACAGCAGCCACGTTGACCGTGAGGGGTAAAGACTACATGGCCGAGTAGATCTGTGTTCTGGTGTCCACATACTGACCTCATGTCAACTGTCCACTCAGTCCACCTCTCTTCCGGGTCTGTGACACCCTCTTACCCCTGCATGGGATTGTAGCCAGCTGGTTTGTCAGTCTGTCTCTTGTCCTCATTATTGTCATGTTCTGTCCCCTGAAGTTCCCCAGCACACCTGGGGTTCTTCATGTGTTTCAGACCCTCCCTGGCCTTGCACGTCAGGTTCACAGGGAGGCCTGCGGAGGCCACAGAGTGGGCCAGGGCCACATGTGCTCAGGCTGCATTGGGGAAAGATGAAGGCCTTGGTGCTCAGCACACCCAGCAGGGGGCTTATGTACAGTTGCATTTCATGTCCTTTCTGTTGTGCATGTCCATCCTCTCCACGTGCCTGGAGAGCATGATTGCATCCATGTCTTTCTGGCCACCAGCCCTGCCCGCCAAGTTCACAAAGGGTCTGAGGAATGAAGAGGCTGTGGAAGGGGCCACGGCAATGCTGCAGTGTGTGCTGAGCAGAGAGGCCCCTGTGGAGTGGAGGAAGGGTGTGAAGACCCTCACCAGTGGGGACAGACTTCGCCTGAGGCAGGACGGGGCTGTGTGTGAGCTGCAGATCCAGGGCCTGGCCCGGGAAGATGCCGGGGAGTACTCGTGTGTATGTGGGCAGGAGAGGACCTCGGCCACGCTGACAGTCAGGGGTAAAGACCTCGTGTGGCCATGTGAACCTCCAGCTGGTGTCTGCACCCTGTCTCCGCCTCCTACCTCCTGCATCCACACATGGCCCAGCTCCTGTGGCAGCCCCGTGGCCACCTGTCCTTTCCTCCCCTGGGCTTCTTTCATCTCTCCTTCTTGTGTCCATGTCCATCCTACTGCGTACTCTGTTCCTCTGTGTTTACTTGCTTCCTTCCTCATCTGTGCCACCACCCACCTGTCCACATCATGGTCCTCTGGCAGTGTGTGGCCCCATGTTCTCAGTGACCGCTTGGCCCTCCCCAGCCCTGCCCGCCAGATTCATAGAAGATCTGAGAAGCCAAGAGGCCACAGAAGGGTCCACGACCACTCTGCGGTGTGAACTAAGCAAGGCAGCCCCCGTGGAGTGGAGGAAGGGGTCTGAGACCCTCAGAGATGGGGACCGGTACAGGCTGAGGCAGGAGGGGGCCACGTGTGAGCTGCAGATCCAGGGCCTGACTGTGGCAGAGGCTGGGGAGTACTCGTGTGTGTGTGGGCAGGAGAGGACCTCGGCCGTGCTGACCGTCAGGGGTAAAGACCTCCCATGACTGTGGGCTTGTTTGGGTTTCTGCCTTTGCTCTGCGTCCAGCCATGGCTATGCTGCCCCTGTTGTCCAGAGGGAGGGTGCCCTTTCCCTCTGTCTCATGCTGTTTCTCTGTCCTGCTTGGATTTCTGTCATAGCACTGCCCAGTGTACTAGTGCCTTGCCAGTCTTTCCAGGGACCTCATATGGCCAGCTGTCATGGAGGGACAGAGTTCCCACCTTGTTTTCCTAATCACCTTTTGTCATTCCTCCTCAATCTCTGCATGCCACTTATAGCCCAAGATTTTCATTTGGGGGCCCTAGGGGTTCTGATGCCCAGGGAGGTTCCCCAGCCTGGGCTCTGCACCTTGTCCCTGATTGCCAGTGTGTCCATGTGAGGCAGTCAGCACCTGCTGCCCCTCAGCATCTCAGGGGCATGAGGGACAATCCTGCCTGGGGATTACTGGGACAGCCTGGCCTGCAATGGGGAATTATGGCCTTTCCCGTGGACTCAGCCATGCCCTAGGGTCTGGCCTGGGGAGGCACAAAGCCCTGCCCTGTGATCTGAAACCCGTGACCCTGTCCTGGGGTCTGGGAGGAACAGGGCCTTGTCCACAGTCTGGGAAGGATATTGCCTTGTCCTGTGGTCTTGGGGAGAATCACCCTTCTCTGGGGTCTGGTGGGAGTGGGACAAGGTCTTGTGCTGGCCAAATGACTGTATGACTGGACTTGGCTCTGCTCTGGTGGTCCAAGGGGGACACAGCCCTCTGGCAAGGCTAGAGGTCCTGAGGGGGAGGCTGCCATTAGAAAAGCCTGTGGCAGATCTCTGCTCTGCCCCCAGCTTCCTCACCTCCCTCCTTACATAGACCCGTCCTGTGGAGGTAGGCCAAGGGGCTGGGAGAAGCTGGGCTCCCCAGCTCTGGCCAGCTGTGTGCCTGATCTTGACCCTGCCTCCTCCCCATCTGCAGTTCCACAGGCTGTGTTCCGGGAGCCCCTGCAGTGCCTGCAGGCCGAGGAGGGCTCCACAGCCAGGTTGCAGTGCGAGCTGTCCCTTCCCAATGCCACTGTGGTCTGGAGCAAGAACGGCCTGGAGCTGCAGGCTGATGGGCGCCGGGAGTTGCAGCAGCGAGGCTGCACCGCCGAGCTGGTGCTGCGGGACCTGCGCCGTGAGGACGCGGGCGAGTACAGTTGTGCTTTCGGCTCCCAGGCTACCAGTGCCACCCTCACGGTAACAGGTGGGCGACCAAGACAGGGCGAAGCCTAGCGTGGGTGCAGAGTCCGCGCTGACCCTCAAGGCTGCAACCTGGGGGGTCCCAGCAGAGAGGACCCGGCTCAGTGGGGCAGAGCGGACCTGCCCTAATAACTTTGCTTGCTCCTCCCACCTCGTGGTTCTGACCGCCCAGTTCCTCCCTGCGCCCCAAAACCACAGGACAAGGCTGTGGACAAGGTCCTTCCTCCCAGACCCCAGGACAGGGAGCACCACCTAACCTTTCCTCTTTCTCTCTCCCTTACCCGTTGGGCGCCTCTTCCTGTGCAGTCCCCCAATTCCTCCTGGTGGCTGTGATCCCGCCCCCTCCCCGTAGTGCGGGGGTCCTGCCCCTGTGCGAAGCAGCTCGCGTGTGCTCCGCTTCTCTATATCGGCTCCAGGACCTCGCTTCCCTGGGTCTCTCCCTTTCTGGTAGCTTTGCTGGCCGGTATTGCCTCTGCCCCATGCAGTTCCCCAGTTGTTTCCCAAGGGTATGCCTTGTGGGTCCGACTCAGGATTTGTCCTGATGTGGTTCTCCACCTATAGGGTTCTGGGTCTTAAATGCTCAGAGTCTCGCTGTCATGTTCTCTTTCCTGCCCCGCAGCTGCGCCCGTGCGGTTCCTCCGGGAGCTGCAGGCCTTAGAGGTGGATGAGGGAGCTACAGCGCACCTGCGCTGCGAGCTGAGCCAGGCGGGAGCGAGCGTGGAGTGGCGCAAGGGCTCCCTGCAGCTCTTCCCCTGCGCCAAGTACCAGATTGTACAGGAGGGCTCGGCCACCGAGCTGCTGGTGCGCGGGGCGGAGCAGGAAGATGAGGGAGACTACACCTGCGATGCGGGTCAGGCGCAGACCACAGCCTCTCTTTCCATCCGCTGTGAGCTGCCCACTGGCCCCTGTGCTTCCCCAGCAGCCTCATACCTCAGGGGTGGGCAGGCACCTTGCTCAAGGCGAACATGAGGTGGGAACCCGCAGTCTTAAGCTTTCCTTTCTTGTCCCTCAGCCCCCAAGCCCAAGTTCAAGACCCGGCTGCAGAGTGTGGAGCAGGAGGCAGGCGGTGTGGCTCGGCTCTGTTGCCAGCTGAGCGAGGCTGAGCCAGGGGCCCCTGTGCAGTGGCTAAAGGAGGGCGTGGAGCTGCCTGTGGGCCCCAAATATGAGATGCGGTGCCAAGGGGCCACGTGCGAGCTGTTGGTCCACGGGCTGGAGGCCAAGGACACAGGAGAGTATGCCTGTGTGGTGGGTGGCCAGAAAACCTTGGCCTCCCTCAGGGTCAGAGGTGAGCCAACCAGGACCTCATGCCACACCGTCTTCCTGACAGCTCCCCTGGGGGCATACCTGGCTGTGACAAGTGCAGCTCACAGGGTGGTGGAGGTCCCTCAGGTTATAGGCTCTCTTCTTCCTACACCACCCCCATTCTGATCCTCCAAGAGAAGGGCTTTATGGGGGTAGGCACGAAGCCTGCAGCACTGAAGGCTGTGCTCCCTCCTGCCCCCCAGCTGGCAGCAGACTGGCCTGAGCTGGCCTGGTGGCCCTTTCTGGCACCTACCTGCTCTTCCTGAAGGTCTTACTTTCCTGGTGACCTGGCCAGGACTGGGCCTGCAGCAATGTTGGAGCCAAACAGGGCATCTATCCACTGTCCTGCAACCAGAGCTGTACCCTTGGCCTTGGGGAGACAGCCGCCCCAGCTATTACTAGACTCATTGAGTGAAGCAGCTGGCAAATGCCACACAAGGCAGAGGAGTGTTAGGTGGCCAGGAAGGCTTTCTAGAGGGGCACTGGGGCTGGCCCAGCCTGAAAAGGGACCCTTCTTACCACCCACTAGAGCCTGAGGTGACCATCGTGAGGGGCCTGGTTGATGCCGAGGTGCAGGCTGACGAGGATGTGGAGTTCAGCTGTGAGGTGTCACGGGCTGGGGCCACAGATGTGCAGTGGCGCCTCCAGGGCCTGCCACTGCAGAGCAACGAGGTGACAGAGGTGGCTGTTCGGGATGGCTGCATCCACACACTCCAGCTGAAGGGTGTGACACTTGAGGACGCTGGCACCGTGTCCTTCCATGTGGGCAGCCATGCATCTTCTGCTCAGCTCACTGTCAGAGGTAGCCAGCTCTGGGTGGGCCTGCCCTATCACTGCCCCTGGGAGGCTGTCCCGGCCCAGCCTCTGTTTGGGCCAGAAGTGGACAGCAAGGGTCCCTGCTTTTGGGAACCTTGGGTGTTAGTAGAGAGAGGGACTATGAACTGGCCATTTCTTAGTAGCTCCAGTCAGGACGGAATGATTCTGGGCTGAAGACTGAGTCATGCTGGTGAGCAGGCAGTGGTGGGCTTCCCAGAGCTTACCAGTTTTAAAGCTCCAGTTTCCCTCTCCTGATTTTCATGAGGGGTCACTGCAGACTGGCCGCCCCAGCCTTCAGCCATCTTGGCATTTCCCTTTGGTCAGAGCCCTGGCTAGAGGAAGGACTGATAACACACCCCCATGTACTGTCTTCAGGAATTGGGGTGGGGTCACCAGGGAGGACCCCCAGGATATGGAAGCTATGCTAAAGAAGGGAGCATCCTGGACACAGAGGCTGACACCCATGCCTACCCTGTGTCTAGTCCCAGAGGTGACCATCCTGGAGCCCCTGCAAGACATGCAGCTGAATGAAGGCCAGGATGCCCACTTCCGGTGCCGGCTGTCCAGAGCTGCAAGCCAGGAAGCCCGCTGGGCTTTGGGAGGGGTACCTCTGCAGGCCAACGAGATGAATGACATCACCGTGGAGCAGGGCACACTTCACTTGCTCACCCTGCACAAGGTGGGGCTCTGGGACTTGTTCCACTTGGACAGGGATGGTTCCAGCTCCATTCAGAAAGACCCTCCGCTAGGGGGTCGGGTTAGGGAGGTGATGAGCCCCATCACTGGGGGCTGGCTAGATGGACCAGTCCTTCCTGTCAGGATGAATTGGCCAGGGCTGAGCATCTTCCTCCCTGTGTCCTCAGGTGACTCCTGAAGATGCGGGAACCATCAGTTTCCAAGTGGGCTCATGCAGCTCAGAAGCCCAGCTGAAAGTCACAGGTGGGCAGCTCTCTCCCATACCTAGGTCCTGGCCTGTGGATGCCTGTTTTCTGGGCACCACAGCGTCTTGCCTAGTGGCAGCTGGTGTGTGTGTGTGTGTGTGTGTGTGTGTGTGTGTGTGTGTTGGTGTGGGGAAGAAACCCTAGACTTAGCAATTTTCCAGTCCTTGATCCCTCAAGTCATGGAGTGGGGTAGGCTGGTGAAGATCTTGAGGAATGCCGTGTATGGGGGGAACACAGGCCAGGATTGGTATTCTCTGTAGGAGAGCCTTGCTGCCTTGGACCCTGAGGTGGAGACAGGGTCTTCTGGACATCATCTTCCAATGCCTGTCCTTCTGATATGGTCCATGTGGGCCCACACACATCCATGTTGAAACACTCTTGCATACCACACAAGCTCAAAGGTGTGGATGCAACAGCTCATGCGTGACACCTGTGTGGACTCAGGCATGGTGCACATGGCCCCAGAATGCAAACAGGACTTTAGGAATCTTCAACTTGGATTGTACCTTGACTCCACAGGTCACTCTTGAGTGCATTCCCTTGCTGCCCTATTCCTGGTTCTCAGACTGGTCCCATCAGTCCACACCAATCATCCATTCATCCATCCACCCCTTAACCACCTCTCCATCCACCCTCCCATCCATCCATCTCTATCCATACATTTATTTATCAACCATCCATCCATCTACCATTCATTCATTTACTACCACCATCTGTCCACTGTCCACTCATGCACCCATTATCCATCTGTCTATCCCTCCACTTTCCACTCATCTATTACCTATCTTCCATATCTAGCTATCCACATACCTTTCCACTCATCCTCTGTCCATCCATTTATCACACATTCCTTCATCTACCACCAGTTCATTATCATTCTGTCCATCCACTAACCCATTAACTATCCATCCATCCACCCATCAACCATCTACCAGCCACTATCAAACCACTTATCTACTCACCATTGCGGAAGCCCCTACCATGGTCAAGTCCTGGACCTTGAGGTCCAAAGGTAGCTTTGCCCTCAGGGATTCCCCGTCTGCTTGGAGGATCTGGACATGGAGACAGTGTATGTTTGAATCTCATGCTCTCCTCCCCAAAAACCTAAAGAATGGACAGATATGGTCAGCTCTGTGGCCTGGGGGCTGGGAAAGGCTACTTAGTGCCTTAGGTTGAGTGATGAAGATGAAGTGTCATGGGTTTCCTGAATGGGAGCAGTGCAGGAAGGGCCTTGTGTGTTCCTGGGGCGATGACTATGTGGGGGTGACATGGCTCTGTGTCCCTTGCCTGGGAAAGATGGCTCATTATGCATACCTCACTGTGATCTCAGGGGGAGGGCCCTGGGCCTAGGTGTGTGAATGGATGTCCAGGTAGGGGTGTGATAGGCAGACCTGGGAACTGGTGCTGGAGGCAAGACCCAGGAGCTGGCAGAGCAGGAGAAGGAGGTGCAGATGTACGCTTGGGGAAGGCAGGTGCTGGTGGGTTGCATCAACGGGGAGGAGTGTGGAGAGGCTCCTGAGGGAGGGCTTGCTGGGGTGGGCATGGGGGCTCTGGTGTCTGCCAGTGACTCCCACCTGTCCCATGTGGCCCGCCTCATGGGGTAAAGGCATCTAGGCCTTACCAAGCTGAACAGTGTCTCTGTCTTCACAAGGAGGCCCCAGGATGGCCCGTGGAAAGTGCTCAGAGAAGCATAGGGTGGGGGTGACATCCTCCCTGCCTGGCCCCAGGCAGCAGGTGGTGGAAGAAGTCTCTGTCTGGTCCTACTGGCTGTCCTGTGGGGGATGGGAGGATTAGACGTGGATGCTGGTATCCTCTCCCTCCAACCACCCTGAGTGTCCATCAGGAGGTAGACAGGATGGAGACTGTATGGAGGACACAGGAGGGCAGCCATGATTCATCTGGGAAGGCCCTGAGCTCGGACCTTCTGTGTGACAGGGACAGGAATATTTGGATCCAGCATCAGGGCCCTGAACCCTGGGGCTGAGGGACTTCAGAGGACAACTGGATGAGGTGCCCTCTTGGTATTGGAGGTGCCCCCAAGGACAGAGAGGTCCCCTTCTGAGGCCAGCCACCACCCCCTGGGGAGAAGCAGGTGCTGGGGCCTCTGCTTCCTGCCCTAACCTGGGTCAGACGAGGCATCTGCACTAGAAGGAGCCCCAGTCATGGGGCTTGGGGCTTGTCTGCTCTCCTGATGATCAGGGTACCATGCATGGCATGGCCTCCTCTGGGTGAAACCTGTAGTGTTCTGATGGGGTGTGAGCTGGGCTCACCGTGGTGGCCTCTGTGCCTCCCTCTGTGATGAGGGTGGATTTCTAGACCCCAGGGCTCAGGTCATCCTTTTGGTCTGGATGGTGCCAGCAGGCCCCAGGGTGGCCCCACACCAGTGAATCTCAGAACTAGGCCAGCACATCCCATTTCCGACATCTGTTCTAGAGAACGGTCACTATTCTCTTCCTGTCATACTTCCTCAACCTAGAACATTTGACCAGACACTCCCAACAGACATAAGCAGTTCTCCAGTGGACACCCACTGGGTGTCTTGTGATTCAGTTCTGACACTATCTACCCAGATTTAGCACAGACCCTGCAAGCTAAGGGCTCAGTCCATAGGCTTCCCCGGCTTCAGATATCAATGGCAAATCTCAGGTTGCTACCCAAACTTCTGAGTGGCTTCAAGTGAGGGCTCCCACTGTCCTCTCCTCATGCTTGACCAGTTTGCTAGGACAACTCACAGAAGTCAGGGACACACTCACCTTGGATAGCTTGTTGCAGAGGATCCCGCTCAGGGACAGCCAGGTGAAAGACAAGAATGGGAAAGGACACAGATTCCATGTCCTTTCCACGCTGCCCTCCCAGCCTGTGTTCAGCACTGTGGAAGCTCATCTGGTCTTGTTAAGAGTTTGTCTTATGGAGATTGATGTCCAACCACCCTGCTTTCTCAGAGGATGGGGCTGAGCCTTGTAACCCTGTAATCACTTGATCTTCTTGGTGACCAGTCCTTTCCTGAAGCTATCTCAGGGCTGGGCCTGAGTCACCTCATTAACATAATCTCAGGTGTGATTAAAAGAAAAAAAGAGCCTGTTATGTATAACGAAGGGACTTGCAGCATTTTCAGGAGATTCTGCTGGGTTAGGAGCTCTGGGCCAGGAACTGGGCATAAAGATAAAACCTGCTATCATAGGACACACCTGCACCAGTAGCCCCAGGTGGCCTCTAAGTGATGGACCCAGCCCTCCTTCTTGCCCTCTTATGCAGAGGCTGCACTGTGCCTGGTCCGTGGCCTGCAGAGTGTGGACGTCTTCGCAGGGGAGGTGGCCACGTTCTCCTGTGAGGTGTCTCGTGCGGGTGGGCCAGAGGCCCGCTGGTGGCTGGATGGCACCTTGCTACAGGACAGCCCCCAAAGTGCCATCACTGTGCGTGATGGGACCTTTCATTCCCTCACACTCTCGGGCCTAGGGGTGGCCGACTCAGGCACCGTCACCTTCCGCACAGGGCCCCTGGTCTCCACAGCCAAGTTGTTGGTCAAAGGTATTGACCACTGGGGATTTCCCCATGCTGGTGCTTCTGCTCCCGCTGCCACATGCTTCCTGCGGGCTCCTGGGGAAAGGGGGAGGATGGGCACTGAGGGTGGGGACTGTCCCCAGAGCCAGAGGCTGGGCATCACTCTACATGTGCCACCTACCCTGGGCACCCCAGGAGGCACAGTGAGCAGCTCTTACTTTTGAATGGGAGATCTAGCTGGAGGCTAGGTCCACTGCCACCTTCCAGGTAGGGCCAGTGCATTGCCACCTGCTTGGCCACCAGTCACCTAGTTAGCTGCACATCCCCAGCCACGGGGGCCAGTCCCTTCAGGGGCCTTTTTGGGCTTCTGAGGAGAGGCCCATGCCCTTGGCCCTGGCCTACCTATCCCTGCTCACATCTGCTCCTCTGCTGTGAGCTCAGCTGAGATCCGTGCCCTTCTGGGGAGGAGCTGGCCAGACAGGGAGAGTAGCAGCTGCCAGGGTCTCCCTAGCCCCTTCCCAACAGCTCTGCCTGGTGCCTGCTGTGTGCTGTCATGTAAAATGTGTTGAGATTTCAACAAATGGAGATGGAATGGGGGCCCTGGGTGGGCAGCAAGGCCCCTGGAGAGGAGCAAGCAGGGCAGGGGCTCTGGGTTCTGGGGCAGGCCCTAGGGCATCCAGAGGAGCCTTTCCAGTGGCGTATGTTTCTGGGGGCCAGCAGGTATGTGGGGCCAGAGGAGCTCTGCCTGGACAGAGGTGAAGCCTAGGCACTATGCTCATGGGTGAGGTGTGTCTGGTGGAGGGCTCTGGGCTGCGGTGTGGGTTCCCTTCCTAGCCACATGCCAGGCAGCTCCTGCTAAACTGTCACCATGAAGCTCCATGCTTGCAGCCGCTGAAGCCACTAACACTGAGTGGGGTGGGTGGGCCATGGTGGTGCTGTTTCTCAGGGCTGATGCGTGTCCGGCGTGTTGGCCGACAGATCCTACGGTGGAGGTGGTCAGTGCCATGCAGGACCTGGCAGTGGAGGAGGGTGGCTCTGCCGAACTCCTCTGCCAATACTCACGGCCGGTGCAGGCCACGTGGAAGATGGACGAGCGGGAGGTACACGCAGATGGGCACCGTGTCATCATAGAGCAGGACTGGACTGTGGCCAGGCTGACCTTCAGGCCGGCCCTGCCCTGTGACAGTGGCATCTATTCTTGTGAGGCCGCAGGCACTCGCGTGGTGGCACTGCTACAAGTGCAAGGTGAGGCCACCTGGCGGGCAGCCCAGGTCCAGCACGGCTTTGGCGTGGCTCTGGCCATGCAGCAATGGTGGAGTGGCAGGCAGCAACAGCCAGCTCCGCACTGCAGGGGACCTACATAGTGGGAACAGGCCGGGGAGGTGGCAGGCAACCTGCCCTGGGCCTGCACTGCTGCCGGATCAGGGCATGCTGCTGCTGAGCTTGTGCTTCTGGGAGGAACCATGGCCAAGAGAACCTGAAAAGGAGGGGGGGACAGGGGCCGAGGACCAGGGAGGCCTCCATCAGCAGGGCTATGGGGGGAGTGTACCTGAGCAGTAGCAGGGCCAGGAGTGCTTTTGGGACACGAGGACAGGGTTGTGTCCATGCCTGTGACTGAGCTGGCTGGGTGGTGTGAGTCTGCGGTCTGTGAACACCTGTGAGTTTCCTATGGTCAGGAGACCACTGTTGATGTGAGGGGCCCAAAGGGTGGGCAGGGTGTGGAGGGAACCCTACAGGCCTGGGTGCCGCCCTCCTGAAGCTGCTGGCTCTCCCAAGGGACAGTGAGGTCAGCAGTCCCTGAGCCTTGCTCTCCCTACAGCCAAGAACACCGTGGTCCGGGGCCTGGAGAATGTGGATGTGCCTGAGGGCGGGGAGGCCTTGTTTGAGTGCCAGCTGTCCCGGCCTGAGGTGGCTGCCCACACCTGGCTGTTGGACGATGAGCCCGTGCACACCTCGGAGAACGCGGAGGTGGTATATTTCGAGAACGGCCTGCGACACCTACTGCTGCTCAAAAACCTGAGGCCACAGGACAGTTGTCGGGTGACTTTCCTGGCTGGGGACATGGTCACCTCTGCTTTCCTCACCGTCAGAGGTAATGGCAATGAGAGCTGGCGGGGCGGAGGTGGGTGAGACCCCTCCTACAGGAGGTTGGGCCACTTTCTGGGCAGCCCAAGGTGGCTTCCAGGACTCTCCCACCAGAAGGGAAGTTGCTCCTTGGGAACTCCCACCCTACCTCCAAAAAGAGTTGTCTGGGCTGCTCACTCAGGGGGATGGAGGATGGGGCCTGGGACAGGAGCAGCTTGCAAGAGAGTCCTCCACCTGGGCTGGTGGCCTCTGGGAGAGTACTGGGGCCCTGCACCGCTGCTGGATCAGGGCATGCTGCTGCTGAGCTTGTGCTTCTGGGGGAACCATGGCCAAGAGAACCCGAGAGGGAGTGGGGACAGGGGCCGAGGACCGGGGAGGCCTCCATCAGCAGGGCCATGGGGGGAGTGTACCTGCGCAGCAGCAGGGCCAGGCATGCTATTGGGACACGAGGACAGGTTTTGTCTATGCCTGTGACTGAGCCGGCTGGGTGGTGTGAGTCTGCCGTCTGTGAACACCTGGGAGAGGGCAGGGCCTGGAGAGTTGCCTGGAGGCAGGACATCAGTCTTTGAGATAAGCCCTGCGGCTAGGGAATGGAGTGAGATGTGGGGAGCCCGAAGGGGGTCTCCAAGACTCCTCCAGGGGCTGGGCAGCGCTCCCAGGACTGGAGTGCAGCTTCCAATGCAGGGCGTGTGTCTCCCAGGCCCCTCCAGTGTGGGGCTCTGCAGGTAGGGAGAGCTGGTGGAGATGGGGTCTCTGTCCACTCCCACTCAGTGGGAGACCCAGTGGGCCATGCTAGGCTTGCCCTCTCTGGACCCTCCTACACACCCGCATTCATTCCACCCCTGACTGCAGGCTGGCGCCTAGAAGTCCTGGAGGCCCCCAAGGATGTGGTGGTGCGAGCTGGCGCACAGGCTCACTTCACCTGCGTGCTCAGCGAGGCCCTGCCGGTGGGCGAAGCCACCTGGTACATCAACGGAACTGCGGTACAGCCTGACGACGACTGGACCATCACAGCTGACGGCAGCCACCACACCCTGCTGCTACGCAATGCACAGCTACACCACGCTGGGGAGGTCACCTTTGCTGCCCGAGACGCAGTGACCTCAGCTCGACTTTCGGTGTTGGGTGGGTGGTTGACTGTGTCCCTTCTCTGCAGATTGGGTCACACTCCTGACACCAGGGTGGATGACCATCCTGGGCTGGGTCCTGCTATGAATCTGTCCCACCCTCAGAGTCTTAGGATGCTCCCTCCATTCCTAGGTGGCTTCTCCTGCAGGTGTGTGGGCCAGGTCACTAAAGTCTCAGGGCTGCTGTTGATCAGATGAGTCCTGGCTCAACCCTGAGTACCCCCTGAGGCCATGGTCCCCAGATCACTGCCGCAGTCCGGCTGCAGCAAACTAACCGGGGAGGGGTGACGAATAATTTGTGTACGTTGATACAGCAGGAGTAGGAGCCGTTTATTACAGGACAGGAGCAGTATTTGTACATTCCACACAGCTTATCTAATTAGCATAAACTAGATACATCAGTCAACCAATAAGGAATCTCCACACTTAATGGCTTGCTTTTGTTACTTCTCAAACCACGCCCTCTGGCATTTTGCCAGGCACCATCCAGACTTGTTTACCAACTCTAACATTCCCCTGGCAAAATGCCAGGTGTTATTTTGACTTGTTTACAGACTCTAACAGATCACCACCTACCTTCCCCTGCTTTGTACCTAGGAGAGGTCCAAGCTGGGCCCTGGAGGGGTGGGCAGGAGGAGCAAGGTTGCCAATCCATACGTGCTGGGGGCTCTCACTGGCCCCCCACTCAGAGTGGGCTCTGGGTATGGTCTCACGATGGTAGAGAAACGTATCAGCATCCCTTGCTACCAGAGCTCAGGGAGGTGATCTGCCCAGTGCCTACACTGTGTCCAAACCGGACCTCAGGGGTTGCTGGAGGGGGCCCGCAAGTCCCAGTGAATACACTGACCTACTCTTCTTCCATGCAGGCCTCCCTGATCCCCCAGAGGATGCCGAAGTGGTGGGTCGCAGTGGCCACTCCGTGACGCTGTCCTGGGTGGCTCCCACAAGCGATGGTGGAGGGGGTCTGTGTGGCTATCGGGTAGAGATGAAGGAGGGGTCCAAGGGCCAGTGGCGTTTGTGCCACGAGCTAGTGCCTGGGCCTGAGTGTGTGGTGGATGGACTGACTCCTGGGGAGACCTACCGTTTCCGAGTGGCTGCTGTGGGCCCTGCAGGTGCTGGGGAGCCTGTGCACCTGCCCCAGATGGTCAGGCTGGGTGAGTAGCCATCTTGGTCCTGGATAATGCCCAGCTTCTCCAAAGTGGAGGGAAGAGTTGGCAGGGTGAGGTCTGCACCCTGGAATGCCCCCACACCTGATGTGGCCTGTCCTCCGTGGACACTGTTCCCCAGCAGAACCAGTGGAGCCTGTACCTCCCTCGCCCCCTACCCCTGTGAGCCGGCAGGTGGTGGCCGGAGAGGATGTCTGTCTGGAGGTGGAGGTGGCAGCTGAGGCTGGCGAGGTCGTCTGGCACAAGGGGACGGAGTGCATCCAACCCAGTGGGCACTTTGAGGTCCTTTCCCGGGGTCGGCAGCAGACACTGGTGATCAAGGGCTTCAGGGCAGAAGACCAGGGCGAGTACCGCTGTGGCCCTGCCCACGCCCTGGCCTCCATGGAGGCTGCCACCTTCCAGGGTGAGTACTAGGTTTTGGGCTGGGAAACCTTGAATGTGGAAGGAGGTGGCCTGTCCTTCCCCATCACTTTCTCCCGGGAGGCTGTCAGTGCCCCACCTCTGAGCCTGATCCAGGTGCATTCCCTGTGCATGTGTCCCACCCCTGCAGTGTGGGCCTGTGATTCTAGGCCCAGGCTCACTGTGCAGAGCCATTTTCTGTTCTGGTCACCACATTGTCTATGCAGGAGGTGAACTGACATAGGGAGGGAAGACTGAGGCTCGGTGCTTCTAGACCTGGTAAAACCAGGTGCCAAGTGGGGAACAGAGGTCCAGTGATGGGCTTGGGGTCAAAGCTCTGGTGATACCCTCCTGCTCTCCTCAGTGGTGCTGACCCCTGGCTCTGGGGACGAGGCTCCCACACAGCCCAGCCTGCCCCCTGAGGCAGCCCAGGAGGGTGACCTGCACCTGCTGTGGGAGGCCCTGGCCAGGAAGCGTCGCATGAGCCGTGAACCCACGCTGGACTCCATCAGTGAGCTTCCAGAGGAGGATGGCCGCGTGCATCACCTACGGCAGGAGGTGGAGGAGGTGGCCCCTGACCTCTCTGAGGGCTACTCCACAGCTGATGAGCTGGCACGCACTGGAGAGGCTGACCTCTCGCACACCAGCTCTGACGACGAGTCCCGGGCAGGCACACCTTCCCTGGTTACTTACCTCAAGAAGGCTGGACGGCCTGGGGTCTCACCCCTGGTCAGCAAGGTGAGCCTCTGCTTGGCTTGCAAGGGGAGGCCCAGTGTTTTACCCTTGCCACTACCACCCACGTGCTTGTCCCTCCTTCCACAGATTTCTCCACCCGTGCATCATCCATCTACTGCTAAACCCTTTTCCTATAAAGCTGGGGCCAGTCTCTCTGGTGTTCCTTGTTACCCATCAGTCCCCACTAGGGACTGTATAGAGTGATTTCAGGGAGTTGGGCTTGCTTTGTGATAGCAACAAGAGCCAGCAGGTACCTCATACTCCATGAGGCTGGCACAGTTGCCAGGGCCTGAGAGGCAGAATGGATAGCCGTCCGGAGATCAGTGCTGGGCCCTGGTCTTATGTGTCTGGCCTCGGGGCCCCTGTCTCACTGTGATACTGTGCTCTGTGCCCACAGGCCAGGGCCCCAGCACCCTCCTCTGTGGAACCACAGAAGAAGCAGGAGCACCCAGCCCAGGTGCACCCACCACCGATAGGTCTGAGTGCTGAGGATCTGGGCGACCCCTCCATGGACAAGGCAGCAGTGAAGATTCAGGCTGCCTTTAAGGGCTACAAGGTCCGGAAGGAGATGAAGCAGCAGGAAGGACCCGTATTCTCCCACACATTTGGGGACACTGAGGCCCAGGTGGGGGATGCCCTGAGGCTGGAGTGTGTGGTAGCCAGCAAGGCTGATGTGCGAGCATGCTGGCTGAAAGACGGCGTAGAGCTCACTGACGGGCGGCACCACCACATCGACCAGCTCGCGGATGGGACGTGCACCCTTCTGGTCACTGGCCTGGGCCGTGCCGACACTGGTCGCTACACCTGTCAGGTGAGCAACAAGTTTGGCTGTGTGAGCCATAGCGCCTGTGTGGTGGTCAGTGGCACCGAGAGTGAGGCCGAGAGCTCCTCCGGGGGCGAGCTGGACGACGCCTTCCACCGCGCTGCCCGGCGTCTGCACCGGCTCTTCCGCACCAAAGGCCCAGCGGAGGTTTCTGACGAAGAGCTGTTTCTCAGCGCTGACGAGGGTCCCGGGGAGCCAGAGCAGCCTGCGGACTGGCAGACCTACCGCGAGGATGAGAATTTTGTCTGCATCCGTTTCGAGGCCCTGGCCGAAGCTCACAGGGCAGTCACCTGCTTCCGAGAGATGTTCACCACCATGGGCATCGGGGTGGAGATCAGCCTGGTGGAGCAGGGGCCCAGGGGGGTGGAGATGCGCATTGGCAAGGTGGCCCCTGCCCCTGCAGCACCTCCGGAGCCAGTGTCCACTCAGCTGACTTCTGATGCCGGTGAGTCCAACTGCTCCACAGAGTTGGGTCGGGAGCTGGAGTCCAAGGGGGTAGAGGAGGAGTGAGGCCAGCAGTGGCCAGCACCAGCTGAGAGGTCCAGGGGTTACCTGGGCTCCAGCACTCTGCAAGTGCAGCCTCTGAGGTGTAAAAAGTCCCGACTTATTGAACAGAGCTGAATTTGAATCTCAGCTCTGCCTCTTATTAGCTGTGTGCACTTAGGGAAGCCACATAGTCTGTCAGAGCCTCGGCTTTCATGTGGGCAAAATGGGAATGTGAATACTTACTTTCTGGAGAGTTTTATTTATTTTTTCCCAAGGAGTCTTGGAGATATAACCCGTATAGGACAGGCACCCACTTCCACAAGGCACTCCACTTCCATTTCACCCACTGAGTTACTTATCAGCCATGCCACTGTGCCTGAATCTCTGCAGGGACAGGAGGTAGCTGGGATCAGTTACCCTGGCATGCCCAGAAGTTGCTCTCCTACACTCCAGATCCCTACCAGCCCTCAGCCTTCCGCAGTTACTGCTCTTCCCATCCCTGTCTAGCGCTTCATCCCTCTTGCCTCCTGGTGGCCTGGGCAGCAGGAGAGGCTTTTAGAGAGCTGGGGAGAGGGCTAAGCCTAGCAGGGAAGCTTCAGGGTCTGTGTCACGTCAGGTCTGCAGGTGCTCCCACATGGCCTGTTGCCGGGCAGCTCACGCATGTCAGACCACCCAGCTGGTGTGATCGGTGTGTTTGTAGCCACAGGTGTGAGTGGCATGCCCAGGCTAACATGCTACATGCCCCACCTGCTGTTCTAGCCCCCGTGTTCCTGACGGAGCTGCAGAACCAGGAGGTGCAGGATGGGTACCCCGTGAGCTTCGACTGCGTGGTGACGGGCCAACCTGTGCCCAGTGTTCGCTGGTTCAAGGACGGGAAGTTGCTGGAGGAGGATGATCACTACATGATCAATGAGGACCAGCAGGGTGGCCACCAGCTCATCATCACTGCTGTGGTGCCCGCAGACATGGGCGTCTACCGCTGTCTGGCAGAGAACAGCGTGGGCGTCTCCTCCACCAAGGCTGAGCTCCGAGTGGAGCGTGAGTGCACTCTGGGGGTCTGTGTTACCAGGGTGGGGATGAGAGTCTCCTGAGCAGGGCTGGAAGAGTGATCCAGGGCTCTGGTCTCAGACCAGACAGGAGTTAGGGCCTTCAGGTCTTAAGCTGATGGAGACTTCCCTGGAGCCAAGCTCAAGGCCACAGTTCCCCCGGGAGCCCAATGGTGGAGGGTGGAGGTCTCTTGTGTCTGCTGAAGGCGTCCAGGCTGGGGAGACCAGGAAGGTGTGGAAGAGGAGCCAGGGGAGCCCAGCTGCTCAGCCATTGCCTTGGGGCTACTCTGGAGCCCTGGCTATTGTTGCAGGAGCCCTCAGGAGACGCTTGGGCGTGCTGGTAGCTGCTGCCACTGAGTATCAGGACACTTGCTCTTTGTTTAGATTCCTGATGGTGCTCATGGGCCTGGGATCTCCTGGGTGTTGAGGGTTTCTGTTGTTCTAATGAGGTGACTCTTGCAGGGTCCCTGTAGCCTTGGTGGGCAGGCCGGCCAGGAAGACCAAGCTTTGACAGGAAGCCTGGAAAGGGCCCCACCCCATCCACTGGGGATGGCGTGTGACACAGCTGGAGTAGGGTGCCCAGGCTGTGGGCCTCAGGGAACTTCGGCCTGATGGAAACAGAGGTGCTGGCAGGGGCTGTGCCCACCACACCTTGCCCGACATGATCTCACATCTGGCTGCTCCTGAGGTGTCCTTAAGACACCTTCAGCCTAGGCAACAGGACCCTTGGTTGGCTTCTATGAGCTGCCATGGCAGGTTACTCCTGCCCCAGGGAGGCCATGGGTCCTGATTTATAGCCATTGGGTCCACCCCAGCGAGGAGCCTGGGCTTCTGACTGGCCTCTGAAGCAGGTTGTCTTGGGGCCTGACCTCGCCCCAGGCAAACAGGGTCAGAGCTGAGCTGGGCTAGAGGACATGCAGCTGGCGGGTGCCCTGGCCGCAGAGCTGCTGCTGGTGTGTGTGGGGTCGTGGTGGAGGTTCCCCTGCACACAGGCATGCTTGGAGCCGTGGCATAGTGTGCGCTGATGGCTGGTCTCCTTCCAGAGCTGAAAGAGCTCTTCACGTGTTCCTGATTCCGGGCTGCATCAGAGGCATGACCTCGGTCTTTCCCTTTCTTGAGGGCACCGTGTCTGGCCTGATGAAGGCTAGGGTCTCTGCTCTTTCTTGCCTGCTTGGGCTTCGCCACACTTATGCAAGTGCTGCCTGAATGTGAGACATAAAGACCCACATGTGTGCTTTCTTCTGGAAACTTTGTGGTAGCTCTTAAGTTGAGGTCTTTGGTTCCCTTGGAGGGAATTTGTGAGTGTGAGGTAAGGCTCCAAGTTCACTCTTGCTCAACACCATTTGTAAAAGACTATTTTCTTCCATTTTATTATCTAAGAAATCTTGTAAAGTCCCCCAATTTTACCTGAATGTCACTGAGAACGTGGCAAGAAGGGCCAGGGATCTCAGGTCCTTGGCTGAGGCGCAGCTGCCATTCAGCTCCCACTGGCCCCAGGCCCAGGGCCACACCTCCCAACCATCCTGCTGGGGTAGCGTCTCAGCATGGGCACTCTGGGGACTCTTGCTTGGCCCACAGTGGTGGAAGTCCAGCTTGTTGCCCCTTCTTGGCCAGAAATCCAAGTCTCTTTCTCTTGGTTTTGAGGCTTGTGTCTCCAACCTCTCGTGCCCTGGTGGGATGGAACCAGAAGGTTCTGCCACTGTCCCTGTCTGCTGTTCCTGGAGACTCAGGTCATATGACATTTTGTGCTGGGCCTAAGAGGCTTGCAGTTAGTTATGGGTGTGGAAGAATGAGGCTGGGAACAGCAGGAGTGGGCAGGCCCAGGAGGGCGCGTCCCCCTGAAATCCCAGAGTCCTGAGCCTCCTCCACTCACTTTTCCTCCCCAGTGACCAGCACAGACTACGACACTGCCGCAGACGCCACGGAGACCTCATCCTACTTCAGTGCCCAGGGATACCTGTCTAGGTGGGGCCACACAGACAGCAGCCCAGGGCCTCCCGGGAAGTGGTGATCTGGGCTGGGTGGCTTAGATTGACTGTCCCAAGCCTGCAGCTTTCAGTCAGACCCTGGCCGTTTCTGTCCCTCTGCCCCTCCACTCAGCAGACAGGGAACCTCAAACCCATCCGCCTCTGATCTTCACCCCGTGGGCCCTCCCGCCTGGCCCCTCAGCCTGCTCCACTTTATGGCTACCCTCTTATTTGTCTTTTTTGCCAGCCGGGAGCAAGAGGGAACCGAATCAGATGAGGGGCAGCTGCCCCAGGTGGTGGAGGAGCTGAAGGACCTCCAGGTGACCCCTGGTACACGCCTGGCCAAATTTCAGCTCAAGGTGAAAGGTGAGGTGCTGGGGAGTGGGCACCGTAGCTGGAGGGAGGCCAGGAGCTGTCTCCCGTTGGTCACACGTGGGAAGGGCCTGACCAGTGGAGGTCAGGAGGTCATGTGTGCCTGCTGCTGGGCAACAGGAGGCTGCCACCCCATTCCCCACACCAGAGGCTCGCTGGCCTCTGAGCAACCTCTTTTCTGGGCCTTTGTCTGTCTCCCATCGAAAGAGTATAGTGACCATTGAGAATGGTCCTGTGCTGACCACTCTCCTCCATGGGGTAGGCTACCCAGTCCCCAGATTGTACTGGTTCAAAGATGGCCAGCCCCTGTCTGCATCTGCCCACATTCGCATGGCTGACAAGAAGACACTGCACACCCTGGAGATCGTCTCTGTCACCCGGGAGGATGCTGGCCAGTATGCTGCCTATATCAGCAATGCTGTTGGTGCTGCCTACTCATCTGCCCGGCTGCTGGTCCGAGGTGTGTGCCCTGAAGGAGTGAGCAGTGCCACATGTACTGCATGCCAGGCCCCATCAGGCCGGGGCCCAGCCCATTGCCCCTGTGCACAGTGGCACAGATGGCAGAATTGCCCCACAGGAGCGGGTGCCCAGTGGGGCTTGGATGCCCTGAGTGATGGGCAGGCTCTTGGGGGAAGCGGACGAACACTGGGCCCAGCAGACCTGCACAAAGCCCCAGTGGCAGCTCTGACAAGAAAACTCCTGTGTCCTTATTTTCCCAAACGTTCTGAGCACTGAGAGCTGACTCCCAGTTTCACCCACACTGGTCCTGCAGAGAGACTGTTGCTGGGTCCTCCTCTTGCCTCTCAGGGTGCAGCCCCAGCTGCCATCTCCCAGTGCCCGTGTGGTTCCAGGTGGGGCCCCAGACTCCCAGTGGGCACAGGGAGGGTGGGGATGTCACATGGATGTACACTGGAGTGTGAGTTCCTTGGCCTCCCAGCCAAGGTTTCAGGCAGGGTAATGGACCTTTGACCATGGGTGGGGCCATGCCCAGGTCCCCCCACTGGGCAGTAGGACCGGGACCTTCCCACGTGTAGGGAAGCAGGGGAATCTATGCGTGCTGCACATCTGACTCCCTCTGCACTTTTCAGGCCCCGATGAACCAGAAGAGAAGTCTGCATCAGGTGAGATGGCCCTGTGGGCAGATAGAGACTGGGTGGATTGTGGGCGTGAGGCCAGAGTGGACCAGCCCTAGGCCTGGTAGTGGTGGAGGTGCAGGAAGAGGGCTCTCTGGGGCCACAGAGAACTACCTGGGGTTCCCAGAACAAGGACATCAGGACGTGGGAGCTGAAGGAGGGGTGCCAGGTGTCCCCATGGCTGTCCTTGCTCTCCCAGATGTGTGTGAGCAATTGGTGCCACCCCGCATCCTGGAGAGGTTCACCCCCAAGAAAGTGAAGAGGGGCTCCAGCATCACGTTCTCGGTGAAGGTGGAAGGTGGGCATCCTCACTCCCCAGAGAAAGAGCACCCCCAGGGCCCCCATGCCACCCTCCCATGGGTCGCCCATGTCACCCTCCCACAGGCCACCCATGCCACCCTGCATGGCCTCCTGCTCCAACCCTCATATCACTCAGGCCAAGCACCCTCTTCTGGAGGCCCATAGCCAGTGGGGCTGTGTACCCACTGAGCCCTCTCCTGCCCACAGGATGCCCGGCCCCCACCATACACTGGCTCAAAGAGGAGGCCGAGAGAGGCGTGCTGTGGATTGGCCCTAACACCCCAGGCTACACTATGGCCAGCTCTGCCCAGCAGCACAGCCTGGTCCTGCTAGATGTGGGCCGGCAACACCAGGGCACCTACACGTGCATTGCCACCAACGCTGCTGGCCAGGCTCTCTGCTCTGCCAGCCTGCAAGTCTCAGGCCGTGAGTAGGGAGCCTGGGTGTGCTGAGGGACCAGCTTGGGATGTATGGCCTTCACCCACCTGTGATCCTTCTCCTGCAGAACCCAAGAGCAGTCTGGGCCCAGTGGTGCAGGCCAGTTTGGCCTGGAACCTCAGACCTGCCCAGATGGTACACAGATGGCCTGCGGGCCCTGCCCAGAGCCCTCTGTTCAGCCCCTCTGAGGGATGGTGCTTGGAGGGCAAGCCTGTCCCCCAACCCCATGGGTGACCAAGCACTGAGAATGGACAGGGAGGTGGGCTTAGGCACAGACCCTTGCCAGGGCTTCTTAGGGACAGTGCAGGCAGGGCCCCCAGGGTGGTCTAGATGTCCTGGGTAGAGGTCACAGCCCAGGACTCAAGGTGTCGGAGTGCAGGACTGGTCCTGACAGCTCCCCTGGCTCTCTGGACAGTGCCCAAGGAGGAGGAGCAGGAGAAGATGAAGGAGGCTCTCATTTCTACCTTCCTACAGGGGTAAGTGGGCACCCTGACTGACTTACCCAGTGGGCTAGGGTGGTGTAGCCCTGTGGGTGGTCACCCCCTTCCCTGTGCAGCTTTTCCACACTATAAAATGAAGTTTTTATGGACCCCTTCTGGTGTGGAGCCCCTGATTGTGGTGTCCTGGCCCCTAGGCCCCCCTCTATGGGGAGCAGAGTGGTGGGGTCCAAGCTGGGCTTGCAGGACACCCCTCCTCCCCTCAGGACCACCCAAGCCATCTCAGCACAGATGTCAGAGTCTGCTGGTCTCATCGGCCTTGCTGGGCAGAGGAAAGGTATGCCTGGGTTGGGTGCAGGGGAGGCCGCCCTTTGAACCTGAGCAGCCTGGGTTCTGGGCAGGTCCCTGCCCTCTCATGGCTAGCTCCCAGCTCTGGTTGTAGTCAGAGCTGTTTCTAACCTCTGTGGTCAGGGGGCCCATGCCCAGTGGGCTATGTGGAGGTTTGGGTTCCAGATGTTAAGAAGAGCCACAAAGTCACCTCAGCCCCAACAGCCCCAATCCCACCTCAAGCCTGATGCCAGGCTGGATCCTGCCCAGCCCTGTCCTCAGCTCCCTCACCATCTGCCTGCAGCCCTGCCTGCCACCTGCTGCCCCTTAGCTGTGCTTGCCGTTCTCTGGCCACTTGCTGCCTCTTCTGTTCAAACTTGTTCCCTTCATTCTCATCCCTGCTCTGCATCCTGCTGACCCCACTGGTCTCTTCCTGCTGGCACCACCTCATGGTCTCCCTGCCAGGGCCTGGTCTCCTGCTCACCATCATCCCCTAGGGGAATTGCGGTGAACTTTTGGGGGAAGCATGACCACACAGTGTTGTGTTTGCTCCTCCAGGGGAGGCCCTGGTGGCTGAGGAGGCCCACGGCCGCCTGTCCCTCGCTGAGGTGGGCACGGAGGAATTCCTACAGAAACTCACCTCCCAGATCACTGAGATGGTGTCGGCCAAGATCACACAGGGTGAGGGGGCCAGGATGGGCATCCAGGGTCCCCAGGGGAGGCTGGGACCCTGTGTCCTCACATGGGGCCTGGCCAGGACTCTGTGCCTGGGAGCCCTGGAGACTGGCTGGTGGTAGGCAGTAGGGGGACAGCCTTCCAGGGACATCACAACCCTTGTGTTCGCCCAGCCAAGCTGCAGGTGCCTGGAGGTGACAGTGATGAGGAGTCCAAGACTCCGTCCGCCTCCCCCCGGCATGGCCGGTCGCGGCCCTCCTCCAGCGTCCAGGAGTCATCCTCGGAGTCAGAGGACGGGGACTCCCGAGGAGAGGTGAGTTGGCTGGAACCCTTGGGAGCAGGGCTTGGGGCCTAACCTGCTGAAGAGACAATGTGGGGCTGCAAGGGCCGGGTGCCACCAAGGGAGGGGCATCACCCCCAGAGACACCAAGGGACACCAGAGGTTGGAGCAGAGGGCAGGGTCTCTGCACGTGGGTTCCTGCAGAGCACTACCTCTGATGTCACTCTCACTGCCATCTGTGGAGAGTGTGCCTCTGTCTCCAGAGCCCCACCACCTCTTGGGTTGCAGGGGGCAGTGGGCAGCAAGGCGCTGTGAGCAACCACAGTCTAGGCGCCCATCCACGTGGGCAGGAGCCAGCACCTGTGCAGAGTGACCCTGGGGGCTCCTCCCCTGTGGCCCTGGATTGGGTACCTCCTCGGCCCCTGGACTCAGCACCCTCCCCTCTGTGCTCTTGGGGGTTTTAGGGGATTGGGAGAACCTCTCCCTCCTCAGAGGTGGGGGGCCATGGGGGGCCTTGGCAGGCCTCGCCCCTCTGGCCCCGGGACTTAGGCCCCTTTCTCTTTATCAGATCTTTGATATCTACGTGGCCACGGCCGACTACCTGCCCCTGGGGGCCGAGCAGGATGCCATCACACTGCGGGAAGGCCAGTATGTGGAGGTCTTGGACTCAGCCCACCCGCTGCGCTGGCTTGTGCGCACCAAGCCCACCAAGTCCAGCCCCTCCAGGCAAGGCTGGGTGTCACCAGCCTACCTGGACAAGAGGCTCAAGGTATGGTAGTCTGGAGCTGGGGGAGGGTGCCAAGGCCCTGGGATCCTGGCCCTTGGCCAGAGAACCCTGGCAGTAAGGGACAGGAGCCCGGTGGCCACAGAGGAGGTGGAACAAACTGGTGCCCTGGGACAAACTCCTGTCTCTCAACAGCTGTCTCCTGAGTGGGGGCCCAGTGAGGCCCCCGAATTCCCCGAGGCCGTGTCCGAGGATGAGTACAAGACCAGGCTGAGGTATGTATTGGGGAGGGCCGAGGGTGGAGCCACAGCTGGCTGCTGGGCCTCAAGGGCCAGCTGGGGTTCTGCCCTCCTTCTTCATGGGGGACCTGTGCTTGCTGAAGCTGTGTGAGCCTCCTTAGGTCACGGTCCTGCCCCTGGTTTCTGCAGCTGTGCCCTCCCAGAGTCTCGTGCGGGAGGACTTCTTGGGGAAGAGGTGGTACCCTTGCTCTACCACCTACCCTTTCTGAAGCTGGGTGACAGGCTTCTGATCACAGGCACCCCGTTTAACTGCAGTGCGAGGGAGCAAGCTCTCCATGTGTCCCTAATCCCCATGTGGAGAGTAGGGACAGTGGGAGCAGGGCAGCTGCTGGGCCCCCCTGATGCCACCCTTCTGCCAGCTCTGTCATCCAGGAGCTGCTGAGCTCAGAGCAGACCTTCGTGGGTGAGCTTCAGTTCCTCCAAAGCCACTACATACAACAACTGGACCGTGCTCCCCGAGCGCCAGCAGCCGTAGCCAGCCAGAAGGCAGTCATTTTTCGCAATGTGCAGGACATCAGTCGCTTCCACAGCAGGTAGGCAAGGCCACACACATGCATGTGAGGTGCATGCACAGCTGTGGGTCAGGCCTCGTGGAGGGTGACACGCAGCAGCTGGGGTAGGAGCTCGATTTACCCATGGGCACATCCCACTTGTGTGATGCCCCAGTGACAGATGCTCGCCATATGGATTGAAGGCTGCAGAATTCCTGCCACCCATGAGCACTAACACAGGCCCATGTGCATGCACATGAATGCACACGGGCACACAGGAAGTCCCATGTGCACACCACATATGCTCACGCACCCAGCCTCAAATGTGCATGCACATGTGCTTGATATGCATGTGCACATAGTGTACATGTGTGCACACATACATATGTGAATCCTGTACAAAAAATATGCATACATGCTGGATACACATAGATATATGCACTCACAAGCATGCTGATCTCTATGCATGTGCACTCTTTCACACTCACACAGGCATTTGAGTGCACGTGTGTGCCATATGGACATCCACACACACACATTCAGGCAAACACATGCACACATACTATACACACATGCCACACATGCATGGCTACATCTGCACACTTGTGTATACATGCACAGTCACATGAATGCACACATGCACCCACACACATGCACATGTACATGCATGTACCCACGTACACATGCACACATACTACACATCTGCACACTCGTGGGCAAGTGTACATACCCATGCACTTCTGTACGTGCCCACGTGTCTGCACACCCAGCTTAGTATACTCAATCTCACAGGCCCAGAACCCACTCCTGGGCAAGAACCATAGCCTCTCAAGGAGAGGGCCCAGGACTGGGCTGTGAGCTGTGCCTGACCCTGTCCCTGACCCTGTCCCTCTCTGTGGCAGCTTCTTGCAGGACCTGCAGCGCTGTGACACAGATGATGATGTGGCCATGTGCTTCATCAAGAACCAGGAAGCCTTTGAGAAGTACCTGGAGTTCCTGGTGGGCCGTGTGCAGGCAGAGTCCGTGGTTGTCAGCATGCCCGTCCAGGAGTTCTACAAGGTGCCCGTGCCTGGTTCCATGGCGTTGGCCACCGGGCCCCTCCCTGGCTGCTCCCAGGCCTAGTGCTAGCCTTGACTCCCACCAGAAAACTCACTGACCTGAAAGTCCCCTGAGGCTTAGCCCTTAGCTCATGGCCTTAGTTCATATTCCCTTATCTCTCCCCTCAGTCCCCAGGGCCCCTTGAGCCTTGTAGCTCTGTGCTCCTGGGCTGGCCACTTCACTGCCCAAGTCCTGTGCTTGCCACCAGCTAGATGGTAACACAGCCATTACCCAGGTTCAGGGCCAGGTGTGAGAGTACCCCTGGGATGTCCTATACTGTCAGGATGCCCTCACTGGGGCTGTGCCTTCTTGCCCGAAACCCGCCCTGCGGTGCCTACAGAAATGCGCTGAGGAGATGCTGTCTGCTGGGGACCCCTCGCAGCCACCCCCACCCCCACTGCAGCACTACCTGGAGCAGCCGGTGGAGCGGGTGCAGAAGTACCAGGCTCTGCTCAAGGTGGGCAGCCCTGTCCTGCCCCAGCCCTGAATGTCCAGGCCGGGCCTCGGGGCTGAAGCGGTCTGGGTCCTGACCCTTGGTCCATCTCAGGAGCTGATCCGCAACAAGGCCCGGAACCGGCAGAACTGCGCCCTTCTGGAGCAGGCCTACGCAGTCGTGTCGGCGCTGCCCCAGCGTGCCGAGAACAAGCTGCACGTGTCCCTCATGGAGAACTACCCTGGCACCCTGGAGGCCCTGGGGGAGCCCATCCGCCAGGTGGGGGGACTTGCGTCTGCTGCCATGTGGTTGGGTGTGGCTTTGGTGGATGCTGGGCTCATAGATGACCCTGGGGTCTGCGCCCAGGGATGGGCCAGGCAACCACAGTCCAACCGCATCTACTCACACCCCAGGGCCACTTCATTGTGTGGGAGGGCGCACCAGGGGCCCGCATGCCTTGGAAGGGCCACAATCGCCACGTCTTCCTGTTCCGGAACCACCTGGTGATCTGCAAGCCCCGACGAGACTCGCGCACCGACACCTTCAGCTATGTGTTCCGGAATATGATGAAGGTCTGTGGTGCCAGGAGCTGGGGGTGTCATGCAGGCCGGTAGAGGTTTCCCTGTTCCTGGGCTCCAGGGTGGCCACTGGAGCAGAACTTGCCATTGTTCTGGGGTGACCTGGGCATGGTCCTACTGGACCCTGTCTGTCTGGGGATGCTTAGCTCTGTCCTCCCACTAATGTTGCACCCCTCAACAGCTAAGCAGCATCGACCTGAATGACCAGGTGGAAGGGGACGACCGTGCCTTCGAGGTGTGGCATGAACGGGAGGACTCTGTGCGCAAGTACCTGCTGCAGGCGCGCACAGTCATCATCAAGCACTCCTGGGTGAAGGAGATCAGCGGCATCCAACAGCGCCTGGCCCTGCCTGTGTGGCGTGAGTGTCCCTGGTGCTGTGCTGGGGTGGGGACCTGAACATCACTTAGATGCCCAGCTGGCTGCACCCATGCCAGGCACGTGGGCATGGGTTGCTTTCTGCACTGGTGTCTTGGTTCTCCCCTTGGTCAGATCTAGCTGAGGGAGCGGTGGCTTTGGCCTCCCAGGGAGCCCCAGAGCAGGAGTTGAGCTGACCCTGACCCAAATGGGGGACACAAAGGGATGTAGTGGGGACACGGCATAGCTCCAGACTTGGGGCATCTGACCAGGTCATGTTTGGGTGTGATGGTCTTGCACCCTGGTCTGTCCCTGCCTCGTGCAGCCACACCCAGCTTAGCCAGTAACCAGGCCCTTGGATATGGGGCCACTGCTGTTGTTGGGGGCAACTTGTCAGGATGCACCCAGGGGACATAGGCCTGACATCCCACCCTCAGAGTCCTCAGACCCCCACGTGTGTCCTCAGGTCCACCGGAATTTGAAGAGGAACTGGCTGACTGCACGGCTGAGCTGGGGGAAACAGTAAAGCTGGCTTGCCGCGTGACTGGCACACCAAAACCCACTGTCAGCTGGTACAAAGGTACCTGCCAGGGCCTACAGACTGACCCTTCACAGGAACCCCCACCAGGGGTGGGCTGCACAGGGGCTGAGGACAGCATGGGGTCTGGTCAGTGGGCTGGGCATGGGGAACAAGAGACAATCCAGGCCTGTTCAAGGGCAAACATCCTGGGGATGGACAGTGAACAGGTAAGTCAGGTGGTGCCATGGCCACCCGGGGGAATGAGCAGGGTGAGGAGTCAGCACAGGGCCGAGACAGACGTGCCTGAGGGCAGCCGAGAGAGCACCAGGACCACAGAGGAGGCCACAAGCAGGCACCTGGGTGCAGGAGAGGCCTGTGAGCTTAATGGGCCAGGAAGGGTGCTTATCACACTGCACCTTCAGGGTCACGGAGCACAGGCCTTACGTGGCTCAGGGATGGGAGCTGCCAAGGTCAAGGGAGGTCAGGTGTCTCCCAGGCCCGTCTCACTTGACACTGCCACAGGCTTGGGGTCCCAAGACCACTCTCACTTCTGACGTCCAGTTCACTGGTCCCCAAGGTTACCTTCAGGTTCAGTGATTCACCAGAAGGTTTTGGAGTTCAGAGCTATTATGCTCAGGGTTAGGGTTTACTTCAGCATAAAGACAAGACTGCAGCCCCTGAGAAAAAAGAAGAGCACTTTGGGAGGGTCCAGTGTCACTACTTATGAGCTGCCAGCCGTCCGCTCCCAATGCAGCGAGGAAGAGCATCTTCTCCTCCCAGTGACACCTGAGAACACAAACAGACCTATGCCAACCAGGAGGCTTAATGAGACTTGACATCAGCATTTGTCACTGGGACTCTGTCAGACCTGCATGGCTGACCGCTCATGTAGCTGACCTCAGGCTCTAGTCCTCCTGAAGTCAAGATGAATGGCCTGAAGCCCACTATGAATCTCACGTTAGCATAGAAGACAGCATGGAGCTCCACTAGGAAGCTCATTGTTAGTGTAGACGCCAGTGTGGCCTGGGTCATCCATCAGGAATCTCCTCATTGGTGTAGATGCCAGTGTGGCCCAGGAATCCCGTTGTTGCCATAGACACCAGCGTGGCCCTAGTCATCCACTGGGAATCTCATCAAAGGTGTAGACACCAGCATGGCCCAGGTCACCCACAGGAATTTTGTCATTGGCGTAGATGCCAGCATGGCCTGGGTCACCTACTAGGAATCATGTTGGCGTAGATGCTGGCTTGGCCTAGAGCATTCATCGGGAATCTCATTATTGTTAGAGATGCCAGCATTGCCCTGGTCACCCACCAGGAATCTCATCATTGGCATAGATGCCATCGTGGCCTGGAGCATCCTCCAGGAATCTGTTCATTGGTGTAGACACAGCATGGCCTGGGTCACCTACTAGGAATCTCGTCGTTGGCATAGACACTGGCATGGCCTGGGTCACCTACTAGAAATCTCCTCAATGACATAGACACAGAATGGCCTGAGAATCCCCCCAGGAATCTCATTGTTGGCATAGATGCCAGTGTGGCCCAGGTCACCTACTAAGAATCTCCTCATTGACATAGATGCCAGCGTGGCCCGGGTCACCCACCAGGAATCTGCCAGTTGGTGTAGAGGCTAGCATGGCCCAGAGCCTTCTCTATGAATGCCATTGTAAAATAGAGTGTCCAGTCTGGCCCTGAGCCACAAACCTGTAGGCTAGCTGATCTGTTGTGGCCCAAGGTTCCAGAAAATCCGAGGCTCTTCCCTGGCAGACTGTTCTCGGGTCCTGAGGCACCTTGCTGGTGCTAGGGATCAACATGATTCCTTTGGGCAGCATGGAGCGTTGACTACATGGAAACCCCATGGTGTTGTGAGCAGCAGGGGGCATAGTTCAGATCTGTCATCTGTCACCTTGGGTGTAAGTGCCAAGGGCCTGCTTAGGGACATGGCATCATGTTGGTGGTGGCCATGGTTGCATCCTGGATGCATTTTGAAGGCAGAGCCAGCCAGATTTGCTGATGGGTTGCATGGGGTGTGTGGAAGAGAGATGGGATCCAGGAAGCAGCACAGGGGGTTGTGGACAGCAGAGGCCACTGGTCCTATTCACAGAGGTGGAGCAGACCCACAGGGAGGCAGGCCGGTACATTCTGAGCTGGGCAGGGAGGAAAGAAACCCAGATTTGTGAGGTTTTGAAGAATCCAGGTGCCCATAGGGCTCCAGGTGGTTATGGAGGGGATAGCTTGAGAATAAATCTAGAGCTTAGGAGAGATGTCTGGCTGGAGGTGAGAGATGGCAGGCGGGTCCTTGGCATACAGTGTGTCTGAAACTATAGGTCAGATCTAGTGCACAGCCCCCAAAACAATCCCAGCAGCTCAGGAGACTGAGGCAGGAGGATGCAAGTTCAAAGCAGCCTCAGAAACCTAGCGAGGCCCTAAGCAACTTAGTAAGACCCTGTCTCTAAATAAAATGTAGAAAGGGCTGGGGATGTGATTCAGGCCCTTGGGTTCAATCCCTGGTGCCAGAGAGAGAGAGAGACTGAGACTGTAGTCAGTTTGAATGTGGAATGAGCGTGAAGAGATGAGGTTCCGGCTTCAAGGCTTGGGATCTGGGATTCACAGAGTCAGAGAGGTGAGGAACATAAGTGAAGAGCCGGCGAGCCAGAGAGATGGGAGGGATCCCAGGAAGCCAGCAAGGAAGGGCAGCCAGGCAGAGAGGGCCCAGGAGTGCCCAGAGCTCTGGCCAGCCCCCAAAACAATGAATGAGTCCAGCTTCCCTTTCCTGGGTGATGAGGCTGGCGAGCTGCCGTGTCAGTGTCAGTTTAGCTAGACCATGCAAACCCAAGCCCATGAGTGGAGACCCCTGGACCCAGATTCTCATGGAGTCAGCTGCCTTGCATCAGGGAGTGGAGTCGAGAGTGGAGCCCACCCTGCCTTTGGGGGACGTTCACTCATTCACAAAGCTCTCTTCCTTTTGATGAATGCGGCTGGGAAGCCCTTATCTCTTGTTCCTCAGGGAGTCCAATTGGCCTATCCCTGAGTGGAAGATCACAAGGCCTCACTGGATTGGGCATCTTGTTTCCTCCAAAGCCCCACTGCATGCTGATTTTCAAAAGTGGTGTCTGACAGCCATGTCTGGAAGGGGATAAGTCCCAGACCCAGGGGACGCCTCACTCATCAAGGACTCTAGCCTCAAAACCGTCTGTCTCAGGAACGTGCGACATGTCTTGGTTCATTTCCTGAGGTGGCCAACAAGACACCTGAGTCTGGGTTACTTATAAAGTGAAGAGATTGTTTGCAGATTGAAAGTCCAAAGGGCATGGTGCCATCTGGTGGGGTTCCCCTTGGTGGCCTCATGACTTCTTGGGAGTCTTGCTAGGGGGAAGGAGCAGTTGCAGTGACAGAGAGGGGCTCAGGACCAGGCTGGCTTTTATAGCAGCTTGCTGACCTCTGGAGACCAGCACCCATGCCTTCCCAAGTCAGTGCCCTCAGTGACTGAATTCACTTCTGCTGGGCCCCACCTTTCAGGAGGGGAGCGCTCCCAGGGCACCCCATTCGGAGCCACCCCATCCGGAGCTGCTGGGCTTGCACGACCTATGTATGTGCCTACCACCTGGGGCCATGGGGGCAGCAAGTGGATAGAGCTGGTGGTGATCACTCTAGCGGCCAGCTCCCTTTGGCCATTTCTGCTGGCCATACAAGGACATCAAGTGGCGATTCATCTTCTCATTACCTTGGCTGCCTCTGTGCTATACCAAGGCCTGGCACTTCCTCTGCCAGCCACACAAAGGCTGGGAAGTTGGTGTGTGGTGTCCACGCTCTACTGCCAGGTCTTTGCGTGGATCTGTCCCAGCTTAGCTGGTTAACTGTCAAACTAAATGGCCATGCCACTTGCAGCAGCCCCTGGGTCAACAAGGGCACATTGCACTAGCCAGAAGAGTGGCCTCAGGAAGACCAGCAGGATGCCTGGCTCCCCCTGAGCAGAAGGCTGGTGCTAAGGGTCCACCATGTGTGAACTCAGAGTCACACGCAGTTTCAGGCCAGAGTTCAGATGCAGACATTATCGCCATGGCACCCAGAGGTCCCTGTCCACAACTGGGTGTCCTGGTGCCTGTGTCCAGCAGAGCCATGGAAATCTGAGTTCCTTCTCAAAGCCCCCTGCAGATTGGATGGGTAGAAGGGCCCTCCATCCCTCTGCACGCTGTGATGAGGGACCAGGTGTGGGTGGGAGGGAAGGGGTGTTAGGCAGTGGATTATGTAGCTGTAGGCTTGGTGGGATTGAGTGAGGATGGGCCCATAGCCAGGGAGCTGGGCATGATCAGCACATGGGAGGTCTGCAGGGAGTCACACTGGGGCGGTGGGGCGACCACGGACTTAGCTGTCCATGTGGATGTCTTCTGTCAGGTTCAGGTCTCTCCACCTGGCCCTGCATCTAGCTAATGTCCAAGGTGGACATAGAGACACAGAGACAGAGGTCTGGGCCACACCCTCTGTGGAGAGAGGGGAGAGAGAGAAAGAAAGAGAAACAGAGACAGACCCAGAGAGGTGCAGGCCAGCCCCAGCCTCTCATCCACCAGGGCAGGCTTACAAGGTCCCTGCCCCGACGACAGCCCTCACGCCTCCTTTCTAGATGGGAAGCCAGTGGAAGTGGATCCTCACCACATCCTCATCGAAGACCCAGATGGCTCCTGCACCCTTATCCTGGACAACCTGACTGGGGTCGACTCTGGCCAGTACATGTGCTTTGCGGCCAGCGCCGCTGGCAGTGCCAGCACCCTGGGAAAGATCCTGGTGCAAGGTGAGCCTGGAGGCCTGTGGGGCAGGGAGACACCCTGACCAAGCCCACCACGTGGCTCTGGTGGATGGGTGGAAGGGCCCTCCATCCATCTGCTTGCTGTGATGAGGGACTGGGTGTGAGTGGGAGGGAAGGGCAGGCAGGCAGGCATGTGGAGGTGGAAGCCCTATGTGGTCATGGGCTCACTTAGGGCTCAGGAAGGAACGTGGGGACTCGGACACCCCCAGCTCCATCAGAGTGGCTCCCTGTCTCTCTCCACCCTGCAGTCCCCCCACGGTTTGTGAACAAGGTCCGGGCCTCGCCCTTTGTGGAGGGAGAGGATGCCCAGCTCACCTGCACCATCGAAGGCGCCCCACACCCTCAGATCAGGTGGGCCAGCACATGGTGGGGCACCAGGGGAGGGGCTTCAGGCTCCTGTCTGCAATACAAGGGTTGTGCAGCTTATGGGGCTGGGCACAGTGACTGTCTGATCACTGAAGAGTGGGCATTGTGGGGCTGAGACCCAATGGGCATGGGGCCTCTGCCACAAGAAAGCATGGCCAAGCTGGATGTGGGCATCCAGAGGGTGGGTTCACCAAGGACTGTAGAATCTGGGCCAGGGCAGCAGGTCTGCAGTACAGGAATGTCACACCCTGCCTCATGGACTCTTGGGATGGGTTCTAGGTGGTACAAAGATGGGGCCCTGCTGACTGCGGGCAACAAGTACCAGATGCTGAGTGAGCCCCGCAGCGGCCTGCTGGTGCTTGTGGTCAGAGCAGCTGGCAAGGATGACCTGGGACACTATGAATGCGAGGTAAGATGGGTGGGCAAGGGGCCTCATGGCCAGCTGTCCACTGGGGCTTGACAAGGGAAGGGCCTGGGCCCTTGGCACAGGCCCGGGGACACCAGGCCACTGTCACCCATCATCCCCAACCCACCACACCGTGCCTGGCCTTGCTTCTCTTCCACAGGAGGCTGAGCCCTGCCACCTGACATTGTTCCCACCCTCTCAAAGAAGCCCTTTGTTTTTTGCCTTTCTAGGGAACCCAGTGCTGACCTCAACTTTCATCCATTTATGTAAAAAGTAGTGTTAGTTTCTACCTTTGCCTGGTGTCACATAGGTGGGACCCTACAAAGGGAAGAGCTGCCCTGTCCCTGTTCACTGTCCAGAGGCCCAAGGCTGGGGCTCCTGAAGGCAAGGCCCAGTCTGAGCCTCTGGTCTTCAGGGCCTGTCCTGGCACACAGTGACATTGAGCAGGTGTGTGTCCGCTACAGGGCCCCTGAGAGCCCCAGGCTCCAGTCTCTGGCTCTTGTCTAGAGGCCAGCCTCCTGCATGTGGGCCCCACATGCAAGTTCCAGGAGGCAGGGAGACCCAGCCAGCTCTGCACTTCAGGGGCTCAGAGCCACACACGGCCAGCAGCCATCTGCACAGTGCAAGATGCCTGGGCAAGGCCCTGGCTGGGAGCCCTGTCCCCTTTGGGGGACACAGTCTCAGTGGGGACCTGAAACTAAAGACCACCAGAGTGGACGAGAGACAGCTAGGTCCCTTGAGGATAGGGGTCCTGAGTGGTTTCTGTCCATCTTGCAGCTGGTGAACCGGCTTGGCTCCACTCGTGGTGGTGGGGAGCTATACATGCAGAGCCCTGTGCTGCCGGCCCGGGAGCAGCGCCACAGGGAGCAGACTGTGGCTGCCGTAGAAGGTAGGTGCCACCAAGCCTGTTGCCCATGCTGCCTAGGTGGGTCCTCAGGCTTGAGCCTTTTGTCACAGCTGCACAGCCAGCCAGGACTGGGGGCAGCAGACCTACCATGTCTCAGAGCAGGTGCACTTCCTGCGGGGGTGGCTGGGCAGGCATCTTGGGCGGATGACCTGGCGAGAAGAGGAGGCTGTGGGGAGGAGCCCAGAGGCTGCAGGCCACCTGGTCTCAGCACCTGTGGGGCAGGTGGAGGTGGCCAAGAACCCGGAGTGAGCGCTGGAGAGGCTGCTCTGTGGTGGGGAAGTGTGAGCCCTGCCCCTGGCCTGCAGGAAAACCCACGGAGTCACCTCTGACCCAGGGGAGCCTGCCTGGCAGTGGTCACACAGGCCTCCTGCAGGCAGCAGCTGGGATGGGCTGTACTTCTAGAGAAGGGGGTTTTCCCCTGAGGGCAGAGGGCAGGACAGTAGGACATCTGGAGAAGAGTGTATACACTGAGGGCAGAGGGCAGGACAGTAGGACATCTGGAGAAGAGTGTATACACTGAGGGCAGAGGGCAGGACAGTAGGACGTCTGGGGAAGGGGTGTCTCCACTGAGGACAGAGGGCAGGACAGTAGGACATCTGGAGAAGAGTGTATACACTGAGGGCAGAGGGCAGGACAGTAGGACATCTGGAGAAGAGTGTATACACTGAGGGCAGAGGGCAGGACAGTAGGACGTCTGGGGAAGGGGTGTCTCCACTGAGGACAGAGGGCAGGACAGTAGGACATCTGGGGAAGGGCGTCTCCACTGAGGGCAGAGGGCAGGACAGTAGGACGTCTGGGGAAGGGGCGTCTCCACTGAGGACAGAGGGCAGAACAGTAGGACATCTGGGGAAGGGCGTCTCCACTGAGGGCAGAGGGCAGGACAGTAGGACGTCTGGGGAAGGGCATCTACACTGAGGGCAGAGGGCAGGACAGTAGGACGTCTGGGGAAGGGCATCTACACTGAGGGCAGAGGCAGGACAGTAGGATGTCTGGGGAAGGGTGTCTCCACTGAGGGCAGAGGCAGGACAGTAGGATGTCTGGGGAAGGGCGTCTACACTGAGGGCAGAGGGCAGGACAGTAGGATGTCTGGGGATGGGGTGTCTACACTATGGGCAGAGGGCAGCACAGTAGGATGTCTGGGGAAGGGGCGTCTACACTGAGGGCAGAGGGCAGGACAGTAGGACGTCTGGGGAAGGGTGTCTCCACTGAGGGCAGAGGGCAGCACAGTAGGACATCTGAGGAAGGGCGTTTCCACTGAGGGCTAAACTGATGAGTGGAGAGTCAGATATTGGTGTGGCCCTTTCCCACCAGGCTGAATTGGCCTTGGAGAGGCCTGAGCATTTGTGGTTTAGTGTCCCTGCCCTGGCCTAGGTCACTCCCAGGGTCACAACAAGTCACTCCTACAAGGCCCCATCTGGGTGAGCCAGTGCCCAGGCCACCAGGATGGGAGGAGGGCCACTGTTATATGTCTTGGCTCCCAGGTGGAGTTGTCCCCCTGGAAGGGCTGCCTTGGCAGGTGGGGAGTCCTTGTCCCTAGAGCCATCGAGCAGAGGCTGGACCCATGTTGGTGGAGCCACAGCTTCCACAAGAGGGTGGTTGGAAAATGTGTCATCCAATTCCTGAGCACAGGCTCCTGTGGAGTGTTCCCACTACAGTCTGTCCATCCCAAGGACCAACACACAGGGTCTCTGTCCTTCTGGACCTTCAGAGGACTAGGCCAGCCAACGCCCTAGATCCCAACCCTAGGAACTTCGAAGCCCCCATGGCCCTCATGGACTCTTTCTCCAAGGGCAAGTCCCTGTGTGAGGGCTTGTGACCCTCACCTGCCATATTGGACCTGTGTTCCTGGGGACCCGTGACATAATACTGTCCCACAACCCGGGGACAGCATCACCATGCATATATACTTTTGCCGCCACCGGCTCGTCCACTTCCTCTGCATTGCGTGTCTCATG